GCGCGTATAGCTACCGGGGGATCCCCACGAGGGGCTCGGAAAGCTAGCGCCATTACAGCAGCGTGCTGTTCAAGTTTCCGAGGGCTCTAAAATCACGAAGCACCCACCTTTACCAGAGAATTTCTCATGAAAACTTCCAGGTTGTGATCAGATTACGTTCACACAACACCCAGTCTTGGAAACCGAAGTTACACAAGGCAGCCCGCCAAAAGTTGAGGATCATAAAGCTGAGATTTCCCCTCTTACTTGCACGTCCGCCTTCTCTTGCTGAACCGCGCTCAGCCCCGTCTCGAGGCTCTCCTTCTCTTCCTTGATCTCCGCGAGCGCCTCTTCCGTCTCGGCCAGCTTTGCGAACGCTTCGTACAGCTTGGCCGACGTTTCGGACGCGTCCGTGAGGGCCCTGTTCAGCTCGTGCTCCAGCCTGGCGACGTCGCCTTTGTGGGTGTCCACTTCGGACAACAGGACCCGCTGCTCCTCGCTGGCGGTCAGGAGCGCCTGGTCGCGCTGGGCGAGGCCCTATAGATCGAAGAGGAAGGAGCTAGCGAAGGGAAAGATGGCAGGAGCTCGAAAAAAGGAAAGCAGCAATCACTTGATCTGACCAATTGTGCTGCTTTGAAGAGGACCGTAGCAAAGCAATATGGCCCAAAGAGGTCCGGAACACACGCCAACTGCATCCCTCGTTTGGGAGAAGGATTGTCAATATGATAGGGTTCTTTGGCCGAGAATTCCTATTCTCCTTCACTAACCTGAACCCTACGTTGTGGTTCGATCAGGGAGCACACGCAAAAGACAACAAGACAACAAAAGCCTGCTCTTTAAGAAGCGAGATGGACAGCGGATGCCTTCCAAAGGTTGTCTTGCAAAGGTGCAAGAGAAATTTGAATCGACTTTTCATTCGTTCGCAGAGCGAAGTTCGACAAGGGAGACCCTGACGCCGCCAATCTGGCACGAGTAACGACGACAGCAAACCAGGCAAGGAAAGCAAGTCGTATCAAGTTCGAAATAATACGTCATAAGAAACAAAATGTTGGAAGTAAAATCCAAGCGCCTTACCTGCAGGGCCTGTCCAAGCTTCTTGTCCAGTTCCGTGCCCCGCTGCACCGCATCACTCAGTTCGCCCTTGAGCTTGCTAACCCGCTCCGCGCCCTCCTTGACCTTGGCCGCCATCTTCTCCTTAACCGCGGCCAGCTCCGCTCCGCGCGCCTTAACCTCGTTCCTAACCCCCGTTAGCTCGTTACCCAGTTGCGCCACCACGCTGCGAGTCTCCTTCAACTCGCTCTCAACCTCCTTCTTCTGGGACTTGGTTTCCGCGAGCAGCGACGAAACCTCGCGGTTGCTCTGCTCGGACGCCGACAGTTTCGACGCGAGCTCGGCCGCGCGTTTCTGCGCCACCGCTAGTTGCAGCTCCAGTTCGGCCGCCGCGGCCTTGGCCTGAACCGACGACTGCTCCGCTTCGTGCTTCTCGCTCCGTAGCGCGCCGAGCTTCTTGTGCAGATCCGCGACTTCGGCGATAACCTCCGAGAGGCGCTCGTTGAGATTACGGATCTCCCCGGTAAACATGCTCAACCGCTGGTTAAGCTCCTCCTTGACCCCGGTTAGCCGCTCGACCTCCTCCCAGGCCTTGTTCCGGTTCTCGTCGCTCTTAGCGAGCCTATTCTCAGTGTCGGTCAGATCGTCGTTGGTGTCCGCAAGGTCCCGCGCTAACTCCGCGCTGTTAGGCTTAACCTGCGCTAACTCAATCTTCATATCCTCGCACTCGTTCTTGAGCTGCGCCGTCTCGTCCCGCGACTCCTCGAGATCGCCCGTCCGATTCTCCGCCAAAACCTCGAGCCCCTGCTTCTCCCCTTCCAACGCCCCAACCCTCTGCGTCAGTTCCCCGATCTCCTTTTCACCCGCCGCTAGTTCCTCGCCCAGTCTCCTCTCCCGCTCGCCCGCTGACGTCAGCTGCGCCTCGAGGTCCGCGGAGCGACCCTCCTCTGACATCAGCTTCGCTTCGAGCTGCACGATCGCGGCCCGCGCGTTTTTGAGCTGCGCGTCAGCGTCCTCCTTGGAGCGCTTAAGGAGCGCCAGTTTGACGTCGAGTTCGGCGCGCTCGCGCATGAGTGCCGACAGGCGTTCTTCGGTGCGGGTCTTGACGTCGGTCAGGGACTGGATCTGCGCGCCCGACTCGGCGAGCTGCGCGATTGCGGCAGCGTCGCTGGCGGCGGCCTCGTCTTGGAGCGCCTGGGTAAAGTACACGAGGGTGTAAGACATCTAGATTTCAACGTCAGAAAATTGACGCGATCCCTCAGTCAAGGATCGTCATGAGATGGCAACAATCACCAAGGCTTCCAACCCAGTGCCCTCTTGGAAAGACTTACATTCCGGATGGAAACACAAGGAGTTACGAAGGACGTCGCAAGAGGTGCGAAGATGAGACTTGCGTGTCCGACGATCTCCTCTTTGCACAGCCCTCGCATCCAAAACCCTTGCGCTTCACATGCATCAGTCTAAAATCGGAGACAACGCCTCGAATCTCGTTATACCGGAGTATGATTCAGATTGTTACCCAGCCACCAATCCGGAACACCCTCACGGACCCACACAAACACCCGTTAACCGGGCCGCTAACCCACCTCGAGGTCCTCCTCCAGCTTGCCTCCCTGATCCCGCTCCTTGTCCATCAGATTCAAATAAGAGCAAATTCCTCAAATCTCAAAAAGACCCTCCGCTAACCCCAAACACACCCATTAACCCGGCCGCTAACCCCCAAACACACCCATTAACCCGGCCGCTAACCCACCTCGAGATCCTCCTCCAGCCTGCCCCGCTCCTCGCGCTCCTCGTCGAGCTCCTGCCGCAGCTGCGCCGCCTCGGTCGCCTTCTTCTCCAGGCTGGAGCCCATTTCCGCCATTCTAGTTTCCGCGTCCTTCACGCGCCGCTCCAGGCTCACGCGCACCTCCTCGGCCTCGGCGACTGCTTGCTCGCGCATGCGCAGACTGTCCTCGGCTTGGGAGGCCCTGTGAGAAAAACGGACGATTTTGGCTTTGTGGGAATCAAAAAGTTCAAACGTTTAGAGCGTTAGACACCAAAAGCCAGCATTTGCCAATGGTGCAACGTTGGAAAGTTAATCTGTGTTCCGGAATAAGAGGCAAATATGTGTTGGAAGAACCCGAAAAGAGATCAAGGCCTGAAAAGCTGTGTAAGGGGTGATGGGGAAGGCTTCAGAAATAAGAAGGCGTTTCGAAGGTACTGGGCGGAGACTCAGATCTCGCAGGTTGGTTGTTGCAATTGTCAGCTATTGCCAACTCCAAGTGACGAATAGAGGGTGAGTTTGAAATCGGAGACATAAAAGACAAGCATAAATTCTCGCGCAAACGCGGAGGCCCTACATCAAGAAGCGGAAGCATTTGAAAGAAGAATCTGCCAGACAGGAGATAAGGTCGGGGCTCTTGCATCCAAACCCAGAAGATTGGGGGCGGCTTTGCGAAGGTTCACAGAGTTGAATCCAGGCGGCACACTAAGAAGGACTCTCAATAGCAAACGCCTTGTCGATAAGCGGGGCAAAGTTCAGAACGTCTGCCCTTGTAAGACCAAGTCGACACCTTGAAAGACTCGAAACATTGGTCAGACGACCATTAACGACTTGTCGACCGCCGAAAACTCCCTATCCGACTCACCATCTCTGAGCCTCCTCTAGCGCCTGCGAGAGCGACGCCACCTGTAGCACCCTGCCTCCGCTGCGCTCCGCCGCCAACGGCGGAATCCCGTTCCGCGGGGTTACCGAGCCCTCCTCGCTTAACCCGATCTTGGTTATCTTAACCGCCGCAATCTCCGCGGCGAGCCTCGAGTTCTCATGTGCCTTGTTGCGCAGTTCCTTCGCCAGCTCCTCGCAGCGGTTTTCCGCCGTATCTAGTTGCTTCCGGGTTTGGTTAAGCCGCTCGGTTACCTCCGCTAACTCGACCCTGAGTACGCGGATCGTGTCGCCCGCGTTCGTTTCCCCGCCCTTGCGCACATCGGCGCGGTGCTGCTTTTGGGCCTGCGGCAAGGGCGTCTTTTCCGGTCACAAGGGCCGCTTCTTTGGCCTTGGTCGCTTTTTCTTGCTCGCCTGCGAAACGGTTTGCAACAACAATCAGCCCTGAGTTTGCGTGTTCCGCGAAAGCTGACGTGACTTTCGCGTTCTGCTCTCAGCTTCGCCATGAAGTACGTCATGAGAGTTGCATCACGAAGCAACACGAATAAAGTTGCTGCCAGAGACACAGACTAAGCATGCTGACACCCACGTCGTATAATGAGTCGGCTGATAAGGAGATTTGGTGCACCAGAATAGAACGGAGCATCCTTCCAACCACACGAAAGCCTTGGTGATCCAGTCCAACAGGATGGTTCCTGCATGCACTGCTCAGATCCCATATACCTGATTCTAGATGGAGCCTGCCATATTGTATATGATTGTCTTCGTTTGTTCGTTGACAGCTTGTTGACAGTCAATCTAGAACCCTTGCACCGTATATATGCAGCTTCAAGCTAGGCCGGCCACGAAGGTGAGTCCGATCTCCTTAGCACCGGGTTGCTCGTCTGAAGAATTTTGCCATGCTGTTAATATATATGGAGCTTACTTGTCACGCGTTTTACACCGGAGGACCGGCGTTGTGTAGGTGTGGTACCGACCGGCCAGCTTCATAGATCTGTTCATTCATAATCGCGGCACGGGAGGGTGTTAAGACAGAAAAATTACTGGAGACACTAATACAACAATGTAGATCGTCCATTTTGCGCCAACAGTGACGCACAGTCTCGCTAAGACTCGGTGAGTCGGTCATGCAGGTCATGGGTCTCCTTTGAAAGCCCGGGCGAAAATCAAGGCGCGCTGCCAAAACCGGAGCCAATCATTTCCGCCGTACGGAATACCGCGCGGCGGGCGCAGCGAAAGGGGTCACGTTCAATCATTGACCCATGCCGACGGCCCGACGCCACTGCTTGCCACGAACCGGTGTAGCTGGACCTGGCCGGCAGATATGACAGATGCACCGGTGCCGAAGGCACGTACCCACCGGCTGGAAAGCCGGCAAAAAATGCTGGGCGCCTAGGCAAACCCGGCGCCCGGTGCTTTAGCCCGTGTGGCCAGCCGGTCAGCAATGTAGGAGGGCCATTAGACAGCCGGCACCGGTGAAAGTTGGTGGCAAAGCCCTGGGCCCCCCTGGCCGACGCGGCCGCGTTTCAGGCCCCGGTAGGACGTTGCAATGATTGCCATGCAGACTCCAGAGGCCCGGCCCGGGGGTCGTTGTTGACGATGTCAACACTACCGCGATTTGCGCGATAGATTTGTCAGAGCGATCGTGCATGCATCTGTTCAATGGCGGAGGAGGGAGTGCCTTGGAAGAAAACTGAAGGAGGGAGTTGCCAAGGCCTGTTAATGGCTTGGCATTTCTGTGGCCCTGGGTCTTGGATGGGAGAGTGCCAAGAAAGACGAGGAAGGGAGGTTCCAAGGCCTGTTCGGCTTGGCACTTCTGTAGATTTTGGATGGTGAAAAGGCCGGTTGGTTTGGTGGCTTGCAGCTTGCGTTGCTACTTGGCATGTCAAGGTGAGTATTGGTGGGCTCTTTGAAGACCGTGTCACTGTGGATAAACCCCCTCTTTTTCCATCATTTGCTGTACTGCTGAAACTCTGAAAGGTGAGAGTGGAAAAACAGCTCTGAAGGACTTCCTTCAGAGCTGCTGTTTGTGGAAGTGCGCCTTTCAATTATCAACTGCCACGCATGTTGTAGCTAGTAGTAGCTGGACCAATGGGTTCTAGTCAGAGTCGATGTTTCTAATCTCGTTCTTTTTCCATCAGATCCTAATATTTCGTCGCTATGTATTGGTCTTGGTTGCTTCCCAATTTCTTACCATGACTCTTTAGTATACTCTCTGTATGCATCGCCGAAGTATACGGAAAGGTCCATCTTGTGATCAAAGCTTCAGAGGATGAGAAATTCCTATGGTGGACCCCACTTCCAATAGCCAAACGTGGGTCTCTCGTCTCTAGCAATCCAAGGCATCAATCTTCTTCCATCAAAGACATTTGGCTTTGGAATGCTCTAATGCTCACTTATGGCCTCTGCAGACAGTCTCTGGTCTCATCCACAAAGGCTATGCTTCCATCTCCCCTGTGCGTGAGGTTGCTGGTCCTGGTGATCCTGTGCGGGTGCAGGCTCATGGGCGAGGTGCGCTCAGCCACTATGGAAGAGATTGGAAACCTAGTCAAGGGCCCACTTTGGAACCAGAGCAAAATAGACCTTGGGTATAAAGGCCTCAACGGCACCATCCCCCCCGAGCTTGGCAGGTTGACCAACCTCACCTACCTTAGTCTTGTCGGCAACAAACTCTCTGGGCCCATTTCCCCCCAACTCGGCTCCCTGACCAACCTCACACACTTGTTCTCGGCGGCAACAACCTCTCCGGCCCCCTTCCCCCAGAGCTCGGCAGTCTGACCTACCTCACCAAACTTTACCTCTTCGAAAACAATCTCTCCGGCCCCATCCCTGTGAAGCTTGGCAGCCTGGCCTACCTCACCAGACTTTCCCTCAGCAATAACCGCCTTTCTGGCCCCATCCCGCCTGAACTCGGCAGCCTGACCAGCCTTTCTAACCTTGCCCTTTCCAACAATAACCTCTCCGGCCCAATCCCGCCTGAGCTTAGCCAACTCACGTTGCTCAAAGAGCTGAAGCTCTTCAAAAACAGCCTTTCTGGCCCCATCCCTTCGCAGCTTAGCTACCTGACCAGGCTCATCACGCTTGCTCTTGGGAGCAACACTCTCTCAGGCCCCATCCCCCCGCAGCTCGGCGGCCTCACTAGCCTCCAAACATTACTACTCAATGGCAACATACTCTGGGGCCCTATCCCCCCGCAGCTCGGCAATCTCACCAGCCTCCAAGTCCTCTACCTCGACAGTAACAAATTCAGCCTTATTCCCCCGCAGCTCAGCACCCTTTCCGAGCTTCAAATCCTCTCCCTTCGCAACAACTACCTCTCAGGCCTCATCCCCGGCCAACTCGGGAATCTTACTAGTCTCCAATTTCTCGACCTCAGTAACAACCGCCTCCTTGGCCCCATTCCCTTGGAGCTTAGCAAACTCGCGAAACTGGAAGGCCTCTACCTCTCCAGCAATAAGCTCTCTGGCCCAATCCCCCCACAGCTCGGCAACCTCACCAAGCTTGCATATCTCCAGCTTAACAATAACGACCTCTCGGGCTCCATACCCTTAGAGCTTGGCAACCTTGCTGATCTTAGCGACCTCGACCTCTCTTTCAACGACCTCTTGCACTTAATCCCCCCACAGCTTGGCAGCCTCACCAAGCTTGCATATCTCTCTCTCAATCATAATGACCTTCGTGGGGCCATCCCCCTGCAACTCGGCCAGCTCAGCCTGCTTAGCAGCCTCGATCTCTCTTCCACTTACCTCTCGGGCCCCATTCCCCCGCAGCTCGGCAGCCTTGTGGGTCTTGGTACCCTTAACCTCAGTTTTACCGACACAACTTGCGAAAGGCTTGACTTGTCCCACTTTCGATTCTTGACAACCCTAGGGCTCACATGCCCTCTACCCTCTTCATTCAAAAACACCAATGTCACATATGTGGCGCTGTCCATTGGTAACTCGTTCACGAAAGACCTGGATCTTTCGTCTGTGCCAAACTCCTGCAAGATTGTCAACCTGACGGGCTCGCACCCCCATCTCGATAGCATCCAATTCTGGGGAGGCTGCGATGAAGGGTGCATTGTCAACTTAGCGGGCACTGGGGCGACATTACCGCGTAGCACGCGGAGAAGGGTGTGCTTGGGTAGAATATCGATCTTCCTCAACGGTGACATTCCTTACCCAGTCTATGACTTAAGCAACGCTACCAACCCGTTTACCAATACTCTTAAAAATGCACGAGGCACAGTCTACGACTTGATGGACCCCAATTTCGTGGACAACATCGATCTTGGGCCCGAAGGGAGGGCGTACACGGGAGTCGGTTTCTCGAGAGTCCAGGCGGGCAACCTGTGTGGCAACCCTGAAGCGAAGAAGGTCACCGCGCTCGTTTTCGGGGTGTTCGCTTCCGCGGTGCTGTTGGCAACCATTCCCATCGTCGTGGTAGCCCGCTGGCGACGTCGAACCCGAGGAAGCGGTCTCAAAGAAGTAGATGCGGGCCAGATCCATGGGTAAGTCGTTCTTTTGCGCTCTTTACCTATACGTCCCTTTTTCTGCTTGCTTGAATTCCCATAAATTTTGAAACTCTGTGACTTCTGATCATTCACACGGGATTCACACTGGCCCGCCTTGGTTTCCTCATCCTTAAAGCTGACGTAAGTTTGCGCTTATGCGCAGCTGGAGGCGTGGTGGCCTCTTCTTGTGGGGAGCTGCGCTGGGCGTCCTACCTGTGGTGGACATCGTCACTGACTTCCTAGTGCTGAGCGAAGTTTATGGGGCGTGGCCTATGTGGGTCATCCTGGCGTCCGTCTGCGCACCGTTCGTCGTGGGGGCGTACATGGTAGCCAAGTCTTGGGTCTCGACCAGGAGCCCGGTGCGTGGGTGGAAAGGGGTGCGTGTGAGGTGGTTGTGGCCGCTGCCAGAGCTGGGCATAAGTGGAGCGGTTGAGGGGAATCAGGATTCCGTGTTTTCTGGGTTGGTTACAATACTCCTGTTGCCCGTGGGGCTGCTGGGGGTGCTCGTACAAGATCTCCTGTCAGTGGCGGAGAGGTTTGGGCTTCATCTGGCATGGGGGGGACGAGATCATCGTCTTCGAGCGTTACCACGAGGCTCGGGGACTGACTGAACTGCTGTTGGAGTCGCTACCCCAGGCCATTTTTCAGTCCACCCTGTACGTCCTGGGGAGCTCCAGAGCAACGCGCATTTACATCGACCAACGCTTATTCGTGCAATCCATTGTGGTGTCGTTGTGTAGTCTGTTGATGCAGTACTGCTGCTTGCTCTGGGAAGCAGTGTACGAGGGCAAGTCGCTCATAAGGGTGTTTTTGGATCGATTCTATAGTGCAGGACAGCCCATCGTCGTTAGGATAGCCTAGAGGATGATGGATCCAACAACGGGGAAGCTTTACAAGTGTAAAGAAGGACGTTCAGATTTTGGAGTAAGTTGGCTTGTTAGGTTCCTTGTTGTGAGATACCTCGGGACGGTCGTGGGACGGTCACCCTCTGGATACCTTTTTTAAGGCCTGAACTCTAGCGCTTTGTGGATAGGTGTGTGGACGATGTGAATCACGGGTTGGAGTAGGCTGTAAACGACGAAGCATGACATGGTGCAAGCTGGTCATGAATTACATGATGCACAATTCGGAACAACGCTGATGTGAAGCGTGCATCTCGTGCTTAAGATCTATATATGGCTGAGCCTTTCAACTCAAATTAGCCGGGCTTTTTGCCTGCACGCAAGTGAGTCTAGTGGGCCGCAGTTCTGGATTCTATGTTCACGCAATTGCTTGACTGCATCAAACAATTCTCTTCGCCGTCTGCGGATCTCTCTTCCATGTTGATGTACGCTGGTATACTTTGCATTTTCAACCTCCTTGCAACGCAGAAAAATACAAACTGACCAAGAGTTTGTTGAGGGCCTGATGCTTGGATAAATGGTCGGCATTTGAAAACGCGCATTCCACGATGATAGACTACTGTATTGGCATATGTTGCGCGTGCAACTTTAGCTGTCCGCATAAATCGGAGACAACATGCATGCTCAATTTGAAGGCCCTAGGCCTTTGAACCAATTTCAAGATTAGCTCACGTCCATTCACATACGACATGCAAGTTTATTTCAAAGACCCTTACCCGTGCTAATATGTTGAAGCTAAGGGGTTACGTTACATGATAGTTATGCAGCGGGAAAAGTACCCCAATCAGTGATGCAATCACCCAAGTATACAAGGACTTGGGTTGAAATGGAAGTGTAAGCCGGTCTGACATCACCAGTAGTAAGTTGCACCAAGGCCTCCAACAATTCTGTCGACTTGGGCGGCACTTTTGGGTTGGGTATCCCGCTCAATGGGCAAAACGAAGCTACAACCTATTGAAGCATACTCTGTGTTTCAGCCACAACCCTACCTAAAGCAGTGCGGTAACAATTGTCCGTCGAGAAATACGGTCCTACTCGCGTAACCTACTCTACTCCACCGGACCACCCAATGCAATTCCAAGCACACCCATGTTCACCCATACGATTGTGATTCAAATCTTCACTTGGCAGTTTGGCCCGGCTTTGTCGGGCTATTAGCGGGCGACGTCGCCTTCGCCAGGAACTTGCCGAGGCTCACGTTCGACATGTCCGCCCCTTTCTCACCGCGCGCCCTCGCCATGCGCCGCGTAAACATCTGGGGGGTCTCTGCGTCGGCCCCCTTCTCCCCCCCCTTCTTGGTCAGATCCCTCAACAGCTGGCGCCTCGGAAGCACAGTGGCCGGAGACTCGGGGGCGTAACCGGGGGAGGGGTATGGAGCCCCGTGATCCTTGCCCGCTTGCGAGCGGTGAGGCTTGCCCCACATCATCCCTTGCCACGCGTCGTTCCCCGGTTGGTCCCCGGGGTTGTCCCCCGGGTACCCGGCCCCCCTCTTCTCCGCAGGCAGATTGGTCGACTTCTCTGCCAGGGGCTTCTCCCCGAGGACCTTCCTCGGGGGATCCCCCCACTGCCTCTCGGGGGCATCCTCCCACACCTCATCGCCTTCTTTCTCTGCCCCGGGGCCTTCTACCGGGCGGAGCCTCCGGACCGGTAGGCTGCTGCTGACGGACTCGGAGCCGTCCACCGAGAGGCGGGGGTTCCGTGGTCGCTGCTCAATGGGCGCGTCGTCCATGCCGCCATGGGCCGCAAGGGCGACCAGCTGCTCCCCTAGGGAGTGGATCTGGGACTGCGCCTCCGCCATCTGGGCTTCCTGCAAAGAGAGAGTGTTCGCTGACGTCAGCTTTTGTTAGCTTCGTTGTAAACCGGCAACAGCTTGCGAGCAAGGAAACAAGAGTAAGAGGTGTACAACTGGGGAAGTAACGGACCAGCCGTGTCGCCGACGGATCAGGGTCTCAAGTAACAGTTTCTCAACCATACCCACTGTGCTTGAAGGTCGCCCGGTACGATTCTTTCTACGCTCGACAGCTGCTGGCGATGCAGCAAGGATCATACAGAATTCTGTCTTGGAACAAATGACCAGTAAGGAAGAGGGACGCTGGCTCTAGTGAAAGAGGCGTTCAGCTGGCCGATTCTCTTAGCAAGGTCCTTGTGAAGACGATGAGCTTCGAACCAACAAAGGCATATGAACGATCGAATCAGAGTAGAAAAACCTTGGAAAAAGCGTCAATTGCAACTAGACAGGGACGCTGACCCGGGTGAAGATGAGGTTGAGCTGGTAGTCTCTCTCGGCAAGGTCCTTGCTCAAATTAATCACTTCGACACAACAAAGACGAATCGAACAATCAAACCAGACTCGATCGAACCTAATTTGCAACTAGAGGGGACGCTGACCCTGGTGAAGATGGGGTTCAGCTGGCAGACTTTCTCGGCGAGGTCCTTGCGCAGCGCGTCCATGCCGCTCTGTTCCCCGGCCGCCTTCTCGCCGCCGTCCAGGTACCGCTGCGCGTTCTCGAGCGCCGTCTTGTGCCACGACAGCTCCTTCTCCATCTTTTGCTGCGGGAAGAGAGAAACCAGGACGGTTCAGCAGTTGCGGATTCGATCAGAGGACTTTCCTTGATCTGTCTTTCACATGAGCTTTTTCTCTATCTTTGCTACGAATTCAAAACACTGCGAAGGAACCACAAAATAATGGCAGTTCTAACGGGAAGTGAGGGGGTAATAAATGAGTTGCAGTACTCCGCCTATTTTATACAGTCTCTCGAAGATACCTCCAAAAGTTCCTGCAAGGAGGGCATTCACTGCACGGATGTCCCTTCCGCAGAAATTGCATGGCACACTAGTGTCTCTTCTACCGGAACGGGTTAACATCGGACTGTCGCGAGCAGCGCTCGCTAATCGTGCAAAAGCAGGTTTTCGTTGTGTCATCGATTTTCGCAGGTATGCTTGCTTGCTGACGTCGTTTACCTCCGTAGCCGACCAAAGAAGCGTACAGAAGGCCACCAAAAGTGAAATAGTGCATGCTAAGAACAGGTGGGAAGCACTTAGGAGGCTAGAAACAGGTTCGCGACAGGTTCCAAACCGTGAGAAGCAGCTTTGGAACACTTCAGGACGGGTTGAAAATTTTCAACCAGTTACGAAAGGTTGAACCAGGTCGGAATAGGTTGGAAAAAGGTTCTCAACCCCCCCACCTGCATGGCGATGACTTTTTCGGTCATCTCGCGGACCTCCTGGTCGCCGGACGCGAGTGGGTCGTCGGGCGTCCGGCGGCTGAGCACGGCGGTCAGCTCCTCGCGAAGGGACTCCACGGACTGCGCGGCCCAGCGGCTGACGTCAAGCGCGCTCTGCAGCTGCGACTCCTTGGCCTTCAGCTCCTTCTCCACGTGCTGGGCCCTGGAGAAAAACGAGCAGAATCTGAGTGTTAACGAACATCTGAGTGAAGAGAAATATCTGAGTAACAGGGTAAATCGAAGTCGGTGCTGGCCCCTGGCAAAAGATAAGCAGAAACTGAGTTATAGAGTACATGACGATAGAAAACATCTGAGAGATAGGGTAAGGCGAGGAGGAAAGACGCAGACAACAAGGTCATGTGCCACCGCGACTCCTTATGCTTCGGCTCCTTCTCCGCGGCGAGCAAAAAGGATAGCAGGGTCTAAGGGTGCTGGCAGACTGAAATGATTTACAGGACGGTCCTCTTGTAGTCTTCGGTCCGTAAAAGGGAACTTGTTTCGTTCGACAGGCGAAAGAATCTTGACAACCCGTCAAGCAAGGAGAAGGAATCGAATCCAACCTTGAATCCTTATAAACAAATCGTTTTGACGAACAAACTTGGGTTCGAAAAGTATTGACTTCGGGATTGCCCGTCGATATCGAACCATCTGACATCGGCCCCCTCCAGTCTTACGGTGTTGACAGAGCTTGCTACCATTCAACAATACGCCACAGAATGGACAACGCAGCAGCAACATCCAATTCAAGCCCAGATGAAGCATTCCCACCTTTTTCAATGTCTATTGCCTTCGTTTGAGTCACTTGATACCAAAGCCTCTCGTTTCTGTATCCTTTTAGTTGTCGATTGCATCGACCCGCTATCAAATCCGCCTTTGAATATTTTTGAGAGCATCGAGAGCGGGCAGATTCTGGGCGCACCTCTCGCGCACGTTCCTGACGTGCTGCTGCAGCTGCTCGACGCTCTTGGAGTGGCCGCTGCGCTCCGCCTCTAGTTGCTGCGCCACGGCCGCCAGGCGCGCCTCGAGCTCCGCCACGCGGCTGTCCGCGGACGCCAGCTTGGCAAACAGGTCCGAGCTGCGGGCTGACGTGGCGGCCATGCGAGCGTCGTTGCCGAGCCTGGGAAGCAAGAGACGAACTGAGCTTCAGGAGAAGTACGAAGTCAAGCGAATAAGAATGCTAACGGTCGCGAGTTGCTGGAGACTGTCGCACTCATGCGAGCGTTGTTGACGAGCGTACGCAATCCCAGTAGGACCCGTCCGATGAACGAACTTTTGAAATGAGCCATCTTGGGTGACGTGATGTGAGCTACGCTCGGAAGCAATCAAGTACCACTTCATTCACGATTCCGACCAATTACCCGAGTCCATTCGAATCAGCAACTCAAACTCTGTCAAAGCAGTCCGTAAGCGAAGTCTGTCCGTATCAAAATAGGGCAAATTGTCTCTGACTTCAATGATGTAATAGTAAGAAAGCGTACCTGGCGTTGGATGCGCCCGCCAGCTTGGACCGCAGCTCCCCGATCTCCGCGCTCAGCGTCGCGACCTTTCCGCTCAGAATTGCGCTCTCTCCGGCGGATTCCGCCAGCTTCGTGTTGAGCGCGGCCACCTCGCCCGTCGACGCCGCGAGCAGCGCGCTGATGTCATCACGGTCCGCGCTCAGCTTGTTCAGCTCAGCGGCGACGCGCGCGCGCTCGTGCTGGGCGGCCTCGAGCGCGGCGGTGAGTTCCGCGCACTCGCGGCTGGACTGGGCCAGTTGGACCTGGAAAGAAGTTTGACGAGAGATCAGATTGCGAGCACGAGTGGCGCAACATTGTGCGGACTCGACCAGACAAGATGGGATGTCGCGAGTTCAATGCCGGGACTCGGTGATTGCTCAACCGCTTTCTCTAGCTTCCTTTTCTTCCTCTGACCGCTGATTCGTGCTCCTTCGAGGCCACTCATGAAATGAATATCAGCACTTGTCTGCGAAGAAGACTTCAAAACCTGGAAACCTCTTTCCAGGGACTCGAGATAAACAGACCTCAAAGCATCAACAGCAATACCAGAAGCGGACGGACCCTCACAGATTCAAAACCCTGGTTATTGCAAACTCTCTCTCACGTGCACGTCTGTCCCAAAGAGTTAGAAAACCTGGTTATTGCAAACCCTCCCTCACCTGCACGTCCGCCTTCTCTTGCTGCACTGCGCTCAGCCCCGTCTCCAGCCCCTCCTTCTCTTCCTTGATCTCCGCGAGCGCCGCCTCCGTCTCCGCCAGCTTTGCGGACGCTTTGTACAGCTTGGCCGACGTTTCGGACGCGTCCGCGAGGGCCCTGTTCAGCTCGTGCTCCAGCCTGGCGACGTCGCCTTTGTGGGTGTCCACCTCCGACAACAGGGCCCGCTGCTCCTCGCTGGCGGTCAGGAGCGCCTGGTCGCGCTGGGCGAGGCCCTGTAAAACGAGAGGTGAATTACAAGTCAGTTGAAAAATTGGAGAAAAAGGTTATCGAGCCGCCAACAGGGCCCGCTGCTCCTCGCTGGCGGTCAGGAGCGCCTGGTCGCGCTGGCCGAGGCCCTGTAGAATGGAACAGAGGATGGGCGTCCGATAAGGGCTGGTTGGATGCAAAGGACCAGAGATTTTGCGGAATGGAGGCAAACAATGTCCACTTGTTTCGAGAAGGTAAGACGCTGTGAACGTGACAAAAAATATGTAGAAGTGACGAAAGAGGTCCCGAAAGCACACCAACTCATCTCGTCCACTGAATGAATGTCTCAAGGGTCTGGGTTTCTCCTGTCATTCCATATTCTGTTGCTCAAGCCTAAGTACTTGGTACATCGCCTCAAAAGTGCATCAGGATCAAAAGGGGGAAGGCATATATTTGGATGTCTGGCCTCGGTAATAAAGAAGCGGGACGTCTTTTCCGACGGTCCACATGAGACATTGGGGAAGAGGTGGCGAAGTCTGACACAAAAGCAAAGACGCCGTCCATTCGTCTCGAGCAAGAGAGCAAGTGAGGGATGTGAGGCAAAGACAGGCAAGCCAAATCTAGATCTAATGGCGTTCATCCCACCGCGCAGTCGGTAAGTATATACTGTAACGGCGAAAAAAAGCACAAAAATGGGAACTCAAAACGCAATTTTGCTCGGTCCAAAGGGCTGAGCTGCAGGGTCTGTCCGAGCGGCGACACTACAGGCTGATTACAAGATCCAAAACGTGTCGAAGCAAATAAGATCAGCTCCAAACGGCTCACCTGCAGGGCCTGTCCGAACTTCTTGTCCAGTTCCGTGCCCCGCTGCACCACGTCGCTCAGTTCGCCCTTGAGCTTGCTAACCCGCTCCTCGCCCTCCTTAACCTTGGCCGCCATCTTCTCCTTAACCGCGGCCAGCTCCGCCCCGCGCGCCTTAACCTCGTTCCTAACCCCCGTCAGCTCGTTACCCAGTTGCGCCACCACGCTGCGAGTCTCCTTCAACTCGCTTTCAACCTCCTTCTTCTGGGCCTTGGTTTCCGCGAGAAGCGACGAAACCTCGCGGTTGCTCTGCTCGGATGCCGACAGTTTCGACGTGAGCTCGGCCACGCGTTTCTGCGCCGCCGCTAGTTGCAGCTCCAGTTCCGCCGCCGCGGCCTTGGCCTGCACCGACGACTGCTCCGCTTCGTGCTTCTCGCTCCGTAGCGCGCCGAGCTTCTTGTGAAGATCCGCGACTTCGGCGATAACCTCCGAGAGGCGCTCGTTCAGGTTACGGATCTCCCCGGTGAACATGCTCAACCGCTGATTAAGCTCCTCCTTGACCCCGGTTAGCCGCTCGACTTCCTCCCAGGCCTTGTTCCGGTCCTCGTCGCTCTTAGCGAGCCTATTCTCAGTGTCGGTGAGATCGTCGTTGGTGTCTGCAAGGTCCCGCGCTAACTCCGCGCTGTTAGCCTTAACCTGCGCTAACTCAATCTTCATATCCTCTCGTTCGTTCTTGAGCTGCGCCGTCTCATCGCGCGACTCCTCGAGGTCTCCCGTCAGATTCTCCGCCAAAACCTCAAGCCCCTGCTTCTCGCCTTCCAACGCCCCGACCCTCTGCGTCAGTTCCCCGATCTCCTTTTCACCCGCCGCTAGTTCCTCGCCCAGTCTCCTCTCCCGCTCGCCCGCTGACGTCAGCTGCGCCTCGAGGTCCGCCGAGCGGCCCTCCTCTGACGTCAGCTTCGCTTCGAGCTGCACGATCGCGGCCCGCGCGTTCTTCAGCTGCGCATCGGCGTCCTCCTTGGAACGCTTCAGGAGCGCCAGTTTGACGTCGAGTTCGGCGCGCTCGCGCATGAGCGCCGACAGGCGTTCTTCGGTGCGCGTCTTGGCGTCGGTGAGCGACTGGATCTGCGCGCCCGACTCGGCGAGCTGCGCGATTGCGGCGGCGTCGCTGGCGGCCGCCTCATCTTGGAGCGCCTGGGTAAAGTACACGAGGGTGTAAGACATTCGAACTTAACGTCAGAGATTGACGAGATCCCTCAGTCAAGGATCGTCATGAGATGGCAACAATCACCAAGGCTTCCAACCCAGTGCCCCTTGGAAAGACTTACATTCCGGATGGAAACACAATGAGTTACGAAGGACGTCGCAAGAGGTGCGAAGGTGAGACTTGCGTGTCCGACGATCTCCACTCTGCACAGCCCTCGCATCCAAAACCCTTGCGCTTCACACGCACCAGTCTAAAATCGGAGACAACGCCTCGAATCTCGTTATACCGGAGTATGATTCAGGTTGTTACCCAGCCACCAACCCGGAACACCCTCACGGACCCACACAAACACCCGTTAACCGGGCCGCTAACCCACCTCAAGGTCCTCCTCCAGCTTGCCTCACTGATCCCGCTCCTTGTCCATCAGATTCAAATAAGAGCACATTCCTCAAACCTCAAAAAGACCCTCCGCTAACCCCCAAACACACCCATTAACCCGGCCGCTAACCCACCTCGAGATCCTCCTCCAGCCTACCCCGCTCCTCGCGCTCCTCGTCGAGCTCCTGCCGCAGCTGCGCCGCCTCGGTCGCCTTCCTCTCCAGGCTGGCGCCCATTTCCGCCATCCTAGTTTCCGCGTCCTTCACGCGCCGCTCCAGGCTCATGCGCACCTCCTCTGCCTCGGCGACTGCTTGCTCGCGCATGCGAAGGCTGTCCTCGGCTTGGGAGGCCCTGGGAAAGAACGAAAGATGGTTGAGTGTCGAGTTGAAGCCTTGGAAGTGAATGCGAAAAAGGCTGTTCTCTGATTGGGAGGCAATGTGGAAAGAACGGATGAAATCGAAGTGTCGAGTTGAACTGTCGGAGCTAGGACGCAAAGTGTGCCAGAGATAAGGGATTGCGAGGCCTGTGGGAAGAACGGATGAATCTATTGAAAAGCACGCAATCGCATGCAAAACGATGGTCTCCTGATTTGGAGAAATCAAGTCCAAAGGAACAACATTGAAACAAGGGACTCCAGTCCGATTCAAATCGCATGTTGAGAAGCCACTTAGGATCGCAAGAGATGTCCATACCGGGCTGAACTCCAAGGCCTGCCCTTCTAGAACGTTTTGACTCGACTTAGATCATCAATTGCTTCAGAACCAATGCCTTTGATCGTGAGAAAATTCTGAGCGACTCACCATCTCTGCGCCTCCTCCAACGCCTGCGAGAGCGACGCCACCTGTAGCACTCTCCCCCCGCTGCGCTCCGCCGCCAACGGCGGAATCCCCTTCCGCGGGGTTACCAAACCCTCCTCGCTTAAACCAATCTTGGTTATCTTAACCGCCGCAATCTCCGCGGCGAGTCTCGAGTTCTCCTGGGCCTTGTTGCGGAGTTCCTTCGCCAGCTCCTCGCAACGGTTCTCCGCCGTATCTAGTTGCTTCCGGGTTTGGTTAAGCCGCTCGGTTACCTCCGCTAACTCGACCCTGAGTACGCGGATCGTGTCGCCCGCGTTGGTTTCCCCGCCCTTGCGCAGCTCGGCGCGGTGCTGCTTTTGGGCCGCAGCGAGCGCGTCCTTTCCGGTCACGATCGCGGCTTCTTTGGCCTGGGTCGCCCGTTCTCGCTCGCCTGCGAAGGTTTGCACGAACAATCGGCCCAGTTTGCAGGTTTCGCGAAACATGACGTAGCTTTCTCGATCTGCTCTCAGCATTGCCAAGATTGGATGGAAATTGCAACAACACGAATCAACACGAACAAAGTCGCTGCCAGAGACACAGACTAAAAGTCTCTGCCTCTTGGGTCTTTTAAGCCGTGACATTCAGAAATGGTGCAACAAGATAGCAATGGAGCATCCTTCCAACCACCATCCTTCCAGCCTTGGTTCCAGCCCAACAAGAGGACTCTCAGGCACTGCGAGTTGCCCATACCTAGTTGGTGCTCACGCTCGTCCAGCGAGATCATCTTGGCTTGCATCATCTCCTTGACGGCGAGCAGCTCTTGCTCCATTTGGACGACTTCGTCGCGCATCGCAGCGAGCTCCTCGTAGTCCAGCGGGGCATCGGTCTGCACACCGGCAGCGGCCTGCGCAAGAAATAGATTGATCAGATTTCAGGCGTTCTGAAGAGGTTCAAAAGTCCCATTACTTATTGTTAAAGATTGCACAAATATAGAACACGAGTTTGTTCTTGGGAGTGTCCTGCTCCAGCGGGGCATTGGTCTGCACTCCGGTGGCGGCCTGCGCGAGCCAAACCTTCTGCTCAAGAATTTGTCGAATGGTTTCGAGTAACCGATTGCGGTTGTTAGTGGCTGTTGAGTGACCGACGGAAAACGACAAGTGTGTTCTCAGAAGAGCCTTGTACTCTTAAGCAATTTCGTCACTCGTCACGGCTAGCTTCTCATAGTCCAGTTGGCGGGTCGGTCTGCACACCAACAGCAGCCTATAATGGGATTAACGAAGAAAAAGTCCCAAAAAGAGTTCTGCCAGATTCGCGGGCCTGTAAGACAAGACCCAAGCGGGGCAGCATAAGAAAACTTCAGGTTTTCTGACCGAAGATGCGGATTGCAACAGAATTGGTAGGGAGTACAAAAGAAGAATAGTGTAAGGATTGGATAAATCTTCGTTAAGTACTGTGACAATGACAAAGCTCCTTAGGTAAGCTTGCTTGTGCTGCCGAGAAAGGATCTGACCGGACCAGAGAAAAGTCCTTCATGAACTCTGGATTCAAGTGCTGGGCGCATGTATTGTGTCAAAGGCGTGATGACTTTGAAGAGCTTGAAGTTTGGTGTAAGAGAGAGGAAACGAGCCAGACTGCAGGCGAATGTAAGGTCTGGAAATGAAGACAGAGCGAGAAAGATACCCTAAGCTGATGTGGGAGCACCTGTAATAATAACTCAAGGGAGAAGGACCAGACAATTGGGAGACACATCCAGTCACATCTAGACTGTGTGTTTGTCTTGACTAAGCGCCAAAACCCGGAGGACAAGCACAGAATAAAGGCTTAGGTCGAAAGCAAAAGAAGCCAACCAAGAACGCCATTGAAAAAGCAGCCCGTTTTAGGAAGCAAACCCTGGTAAAGCCCTAGACGCCTAGCGATGGTTCGTTCTTGCCTACCAAGACCTACCATTTCAGAAGCACGAAAAAGCGCAGTTTCCAAGATTCTGCCACGTCTCGTTAGAAGGCTCTGCAGGCGCCCCAAGAGAGCAGCCTGGGGGCCCGAAGGAAGCATTGGAGCGCTCTGCTTTGCTTGACTGACAGAGAGCTTAGCAAACAGACCTCACTTCAGGGACTCTGTCCGTTATAGATACAGGCATTCACCCTTTGCCTGTCACATCCAGATGTTGAAATAAAGCGTCACGCTTGCTTCGACTTTTCAGAGAACAGTCATAGTCCGCATGAGGCAAACAAGCCGTCACATCAAGCCTCGACGTACTTCGAATCTGGCTCGACATTGTTTGAATGACCTCAAAGCAATTTCAGAAAGGCGCCAACATCGATCGAACCAGAATACGGTCTCACCTATTCCGCCTCATACACTGTTGCTTAGTTAGACCTCTCCACAGAAGACGCTCGGAATGAGGACTTTAGCAAAGCAACTAATCTAACAAGGACATTCAAACTCAAGAGTCCAAAAGACGAACAGAACGCGACTCCGCTTACCAACCTGAGCCGGCCTAAACCGAATCTTCACACAAAGCAGCCGATGAAAACCGAACAACCTCAAGAAACAGAGCGCAATTATTCGCTGACCTTGGGCCGGCTCGCCGTCCTCTCCTCCGCCTCTTTCGCCGCCGCCTCTAGTTGCTTCTGCAGAGCGCGCCGCTCCCCGCGGATCCGCTCGAGCGCCGCCTTCATCTCCTCCCCCTCCTTGCGCAGCTTCGCCTTCTCCGCTTCAATCGCTTTCTGCGCCTCGAGTCCCGCGTCTAGTTCCTCCTGCACACGTGCGCGCGCCTTCTCTGCTTTTGCGCCCGCGTCGCGCGCCTTCTCGCTCTCCTTTTGCAGCGCAAGCACCTGTTACAGATAACGGAAATGAAGAGCTTCAGGAACACTAACCCCCAAAGTAGAAGTAACAACTCAAACCCCAAACTTCTCGCTCTCCTTTTGCAGCGCAAGCACCTGTTGCAGATAACGGCCGACTTCAGAAATGATAAGCTTCAGGATTAACAACCCCCAAGTGACAACTCAACACAAGATCTCATGCTCTCTTTCTGTGGCGCATGCACATGTTGCAGAAGACTATCGATTCCAGAATCGGTAAAACCTAACCCGAGACGTCACGACCCTGCTTTTCACCTGTCTACGAATGATGGTTGCCAAGAAAAGTGTTTTGGTGGTCCACACTAAGCCCTCAAAGTAACCCCTCACATCCCAAATTGGTCACCTTGATAATCCCGCAACTTGGTACTCCAAAAAAAATGAATGACCGATTCTTTGAGATGTTATTCCACTCCCCTACACGGATCTTTGCTCTTGTCCAAGCAAAACCGCTTAAGATTCTCACCAAACTATTTGACCCTCACCTGTTGCAGCAGCTCTTTCTGTTCTTCCTGTGCCGAGATGAGCTCCGCGGACAGGCCCTCGCGCTCGATGTTCGCGGCCGCCAGTTTAGAACTGAGCTCCACGACCTCCGCCGCGGCCCTCTGGTCCTTAGCCGCCTCCTCGTACTTCTTCTTAAAATCGGTCAGCTCGCGCGACGTGTGCGCCAGCTTCGAGTTCGTCTGCTGCACTTCGTGGTCTTTCGCCTTGACCACCTTCTTGAACTCCGCCAGATCCGCCGCCAGTTTAGAAACGGTGTCCTCCTTCTCCGTTTCCAGCAGCCGCAGCTGCTCGGCGACGACCTCTTTCTCCTTCTGCAGCTTCTTCTTGGTCGCGGCGAGCTCCGCCCCCAAGCGCTCCAGTTTAGAAAGGGCCTCTTCCTTGTCGCTTTGGACGGCGGCCAGCTCGTCCTCTTTCTCATTCAGCGCCGCGAGCGACTTCTTCTTCGCTTGGTTCGCCTCCGACGCAACCTTCTCCGCTTTTGACACCGCTTCGTCCCGTTCACTTTCCACTCCCCTCAGTTCCTCGGCAAGAGCTTCTCTTTCCTTGGCCGCCTGCGCCGCCTTCTTCTTCGCCTTCTCCAGATCCCCGGCCGTCTTCTCCAATTTAGAAACGAGCTCGTCTCTCTCGGTCTGCACCCCCTTAAGCTCCTCACGGATGGCCTCTTTCTCCTTTGCCGCCGAATCCACGCGGGTCTCCAGCTCCGAGATCTTCGACAATGCCTGCGCCATTTCCTTCTCCATCTTGCTCTTCTTCTGCTTCAAGTTTTGGACGTCCGATTCCAGAGCGTCCTTCTCTTCGGACAGCCCTGCAAGCGCACTCTCCAGTTCCGTAACCCGCTTCTGCGCCCCGGCAACCGCGCCCTCCTTGTCCTCTAACCCCTTTTTGACCCCGTCCGTTTCCTTCCTTAACCCGTCAACCTCCTTCCTCGCTTCTCCCAGCGCCTTCTCAGAAGCCGCCACCTTCTCCTTCATCGCAGCAACTTCCTTTCTCGCGTCTTCAGCTGCCCTCTCCGCTTCGCCGTTCTTCTTCTCAAGCGCGGCAACCTTCTCCCGTGCCTCCTCGAGCCGCTTCTTAGAATCGGTATCCCTCGCCCCCTGCTCCTCGAGCGCCTTCTGCACCCGTTCTAGTTCCCGCTTCGCCTCCTGAGCGGCCTTCTCTGCTTCGCCGTTCTTCTTCTCAAGCGCGGCAACCCTCTCTTTCTCCTCCCCGAGTCGCTTCTTAGAATCAGTATCCCTCGCCCCCTGCTCCTCGAGCACCTTCTGTACCCGTTCTAGTTCGCGCTTCGCCCCGGAGCCCTTCCTCTCTTCCTCGGCCAACGCACTTTCCAACTCGGTCACACGCTTCCGTGCGCCGTCCAGCGCCCGGGAGACTTCCCCGAGCCGTTCGTCCGAGACCGCCGCCTCATTACTCAACTGCGAGATCCTTAGGCTAGCGCCCATCAGATCGCTCTCCAGTTTCGCCAGCTTTTCGTGAGCGCTCATCTTCTCGCTGTCTTTCTCCATCACCGTTTTCTTGAATGAGTCCAGCTCGGCGCGCGCGCCCGCCAGCTGCGCCGCGGCCTCGTTCGACGCCTTCTTCGCAGCCGCCAGCTCAGCGCTGACGTCAGCGTGGGCCTTCTGCGCCGCGGCGAGCTGTTGCTCCGTGTCGGCGGAACGCTTCTTGGAGGATGCGAGCTCGGACTCGAGGGCATGCATCTGCTCCTTGGTTGCGCCCAAATCGGCTGCATGAAAGAGAACTCAGGTCAGCAGATTATTTGACCCAGAGTCGCAGCTAGAGGCGAACGGAAAGAGCGGCAAGACAAGAAAAAGGACTAGACCATGGACCTTGGAGTGAGAAGGAACAGTTTTCAGGTGTCTTCCGAACAACTTTGAAATAGGTCCGATCAAAGTGGTGATGAGAATCGCTCGTTTTCAACTTCGCTTCCAACCAGAGAATACTTTGAACTTTGGGAATAGATTGCAATCATTTTGATCCGGCCACTACGGGTAGGTCAAAAGACAACGTGCAGCAAAAACAGCCAGTCCTCCGTAGGCAGCCACCAATCTCGTTAAAAAGCAAAGGACTGAGACGGAAGCCGGAGATACAACCGAGAATTCACAGCACAAGGAACGCGAAGAAACAAAGTGCAAGACGCATTCAAGCCCGTGGCAACCAATCTTCCTCCAACACAACCATTTCTTGATCACAGGCGCGAGGCTCTTTCCACTCGGTCCAGTGACCCCAAAGCGACAAATACTAGTGGGAGCGACACCATCTACATTCTGAATTGTGTCCACTAACCGTCGAGATGGCAAGATCGGACATTTATTTGATGCAGACATAAGCTGCTCAGCACTCAACTTTTCACGAACTCAACTCAGCACACACAGAACAATCCTTTGAACTTTCAGGTTCACTACATTTCCCAAAAATCTGGAATACTCAACAGACTCGGCAGCATTTGCTTGCTCCTAAGTCCAAGCACGATGATTTTTCGGACGCCAAAAACAGAAGTCAATCACCCACCGTCGAGATCCGACACCCTCTTGATAGCGGCCGCGAGCTCCTGGTCCAGGTCCGCAATGCGCTTGCCGCTCTCGGCGGCCGCCACGTCTAGTTCTGCGGCGCGCTTGGTCGCGTCTGCGGCCTTGGATGCCAGGTCTTCGCGCTCCTTGCGGAGCGCCATCAGCTCCGCATCGCGGCGTGCGACCTCGACTTCTTTGTCGTGAAGTTCGGTGTCCTTCTGCTTCAGGGCCGCGCTGCAATAAGAGGAGGCGTCGCTTTAGTGTTCAGTCTCCCGGCTGCTGGTTGGAATGAATTTGTAGAATGTTGTACAGTCCGAAAAAGAAAAGTTCGGGGTCAAAAGTCTTACAGAGAATCCCCGAAAAATCACTGTCCTTCTGCCCACGCTGCGCAACAAAGGACAGGTGTCGAACACGGCGAGTTTCCTATGGCGTGGCGCTTGAGAGATAGACAAATAAGAGCGTGAGGGTTTCAAACTTTCTTTCAGCGATCAAAAATTCAAAGAATGGGACCTTCACATTCGGTTCGGAAAAGGTTTTCACGAGAAATGGTTTGACCAGTATCAGCTTCGAGCAATCCTAATTGATTCGTGCGTTTGTTTCTGTGGAGATGCGCGAAAGAGCGACAGTCGACGTGGGGCGGAAATGGACGTCGCGCGTCTTCGTGCGGTAGCGAATTAAGCTTCAAGCTATGTCCTCATCCTAACGAACTATCCACTTAGGGAATCATCTTAGCTGCACCAGACTCTCTGAGAAGCTTCTCTTAGAGGGACTGAAGTTCGACAACAAAAGGTTCGGAATCCGATAGTGAAGTGGTCGAAGCGACAACGAACTGCCTGAAACAAGGGGGAGTTGTGTGCTTGACAACGACGAATCCCAAACCCGACAGCGAAAATCAAAAGTGCTTGACAACGACGACTTTCAGGACCGACAGGGAAAATTAAATCCAAAAACAAGAACAAGAACTTCAAAACAGAAACAAGCTCACGTTTTGATTGCCAGCTCCGCCCCCTTGTCCTTGCTCCCCGACGCCAGCTTCGCGCTCAGCTCCGCGTTCTTCCCGCCCAGCAGCGCCAGTTCCCCGTTCAGATGCGCGAGGCGCATCGTCGCTTGGGCCAGGTTACTGTCGAGCTCCGCAACCTTCGCACTCTTTTCCGCGAGCTTCGCCGCGAGTTCGGCGTTCTCTTCCTTTGTCGAAGCGAGCTCGGCGCTGGTGGATTGGAACGCTTCGTTGCCGCCCTCGATGGCCTCAAGCTTCGCGTCAGCAACCTGCTTCTCCTGGTAAGAAAAGAAAAGAGGGAAGTGAGAAGAACTCAAGGAGTAAACAGGGGAGTGCATACCTCTGTCAGAAGGAGGGGGATCGTAACGAGAGGTGCTCCTTTAAAAAAGGTTCCGTGAAGAAGACATGCTTCGTCGAGAAAAGCGTGCAGCAATTACCCGTGAACCAATAATGAAGCCGAATAAGATGCTTAGCGAGAATTGTAATGGGTGCCGGTCAGATGCTAAGGTTGCGGCGCGGAAGTACACTTTGCTGAGTGGAGTTCGTTGTTGCCAAGACTCAGAAAGAGCACTCATTGCAATCGTGTCTCCCAGTACTCGAAAAAAAGTGAAGCAGGTTGATACATCGTGTCACCTTTGCCTGAATTGGGATAATTGGCAATATAGAAAGCGCCCTACCTTTATGATGGTGGCGAGGTTGGCTTCCAGCTCTGCGATCTGCCCGTCCGCCTCCGCCAGCTTGCTCTGCCGGTACTCCCGCTCTAGTTTCGTCTGCCCCAGCTCCGCGTCCAGCGCCCTCTTCTCCTGGTTAGCAAACGCTAACCGCGCCTCAACCTCCGCCTTCTCCTTAACCAGCCCGGCCAACCGCGCCTCCGCCTCGGCCTTCGCCTCCGCGAGCGCAGTCATCGCTTCGTCGGTTAAGCCCGCTAACCCCGGGCCCCGTTTGCCCGGTTGATCTCCCTCTTGGAGCGCCTTTCTCACGAGCGCCTTGCGCAACTTCCCGACCTCCGCCTCCGCCTTCTTAACCGAGATCCGTAACCCTTCGGCCTCGGCGACCGCGCCCGCGCGCGCGGCGATCGCATCCTGGAGGGATCCCTCGGCGGACTCGAGCGCCGCGATCGAGATCTTGCGCGCCTTTTTGAGGGGCGACGCGACGACATCGTTGCGCTCGTCATCGGGCGTTTCGGGCGACTTCGGAGCCTCGAAGCTGCCGCGGAGCGACGCCTCGCCGCCGCGCGATGCTTCGACGACGCTCGCGAGCTTCTTGGCGGCCGCATGGAGGCGGAAGTCGGTGTCTTCCGACCCGGACTTCAGGTTGTCCGACAAACCTGCAAAAGGGATGGATGAGGTCAGATCAGATTGTACTTACTTGGACAGAGTCCCAGATTCGTTTGAAATCGTATCTCGAACGTTGAAAGGAAGGGGGGAGTGCTTCTTCAGATGGGAGTCATGTCCATGGAAGGGGTTACGAGAGTCGGATGAAAAAGCATTTCTAGTTTTCCTCTCTTTATTTCGTAAACGATGCCTGACAGCATGTGAAGAAAGTTGACAAGGAGGCTTTGGTGGCGTTCAATAAGAACAGCTCTTCAGATGTTTTCTGGTTAAGGATTTTGCAAGCCAATGTGCAAATAATCATTGCGATGTCCTGGACGTGTTGTTAAAACAACCAGTGCAGCGTTTTGGTCTATTGAGGAGACCTTATGAAGCCTTCATGGCAGCTTACACCTAGAAGAATCCAGCTTCGCAAACGCAGCAGCTTCCACGAAATAGGATCTGAAGGAAGACAATTCTGGGATTTTTTTCGGCACTCTACAAGAAACAGGTCTTCAAGAAAATGTCAAGCTCTTACTATATTTCCAGGCTGCCTGGTCAAAACGAAACCTATTTCCGTTGAGTCTCTGGAAAAAAGAGATTTCACGGAGATTCAAGTCTGGACCCTAGACAGAGACTTCGGGCACATACTCGTAAGCTCCTGAAGGTCGTCCGTTGCCAGCAGGTTCTTCTTTGGAGGCCCTTGATGTCATTGACTGAAAACTTGGGCTTTCCAACAATCTAGGCTGACATGTCGGCAAAAAGCTTTCTCACGAGAGGTCAAATCGAAGATCTCAACAGGTTTTGGGCACCTACTCGTCATCTCCTGGAGGTCGTCCGTGGCCAGCGGGTTTTTCTTTTGGAGGCCCCTGACATGATCGCTCAGAAACGGAGAACAATCAAACAATCCAAGCTGACATGTCAACAAAACGCTTTCTCACAAGAGCTTCAATGTGAAAATAACACGAGTTTTGAGCACCTACTTGTAAGCTCCTGGAGGTCGTTGGTCGCCAGCAGATTCCTCTTCTGGAGGCCCTTGACGTAGTTGGACTGAAAACTTGGGCTCGCAAACAGTTCAGGCTGACATGTCAAACAAAACACCTTCTCACACGCTCAAAGGTGAGGTTTTTAGCATATTTCGAGCACCTACTTGTAAGCTCCTGGAGGTCGTTGGTCGCCAGCAGGTTCTTCTTCTGGAGGCCCTTGACCAAGGCCACAGCGTCCTTGCGCTTCCCCTCCGCGTCGATCAGCGTCGTCGAGCGTTTCTCCAGCCGCTTGGCAATGGCGTCGAGCTCGCGGTTGGCCTCCGTCAGCTGATTGCTCAGCGCCTTAACCTGAGGAGGACAAAAGAGGAGTTTGGAAGGTTGTCATGTTCCTGAATGCGTTTGGGGGTGAAGTTATTCAGTGCAAGGGATGACTCAGTTAGGCGCTGACGACAGAGGTTGAGTTGCGGTGTGGAAGGACCTAAAGGTCGTGAAAGAAGAGAGTCGTGAGGTTGGAGCCTTTTACGAGGAGAGAGTTTTGGATGAGGAACAGGGCAGACAAATGAGGGCCCTTTGAGGGAACCGATTGGTTCGAACAAAACTGATGAGAGAAAGGTCGGAAATCTCGAGATAGAGGGAGAAGACTGGCTAGACTTTGTAGGTCTCAGAAAGGTGAGGAAATGAAGTGAAGGAGGTTCCAGCCTTCGACTCCAGGAAAGAAGGAGAATGAGGATGGTGATCCGAGGGCTGAGGTTTCATTACTCTAGCAAGTGAAATGGCCGTTCAAGCACTAAGGATGCCTAAGAAAATTTTGAGATGAGGTCGGCCACAGTAACTCCTGTCTCTTGCTGTAAGGAAGTTCGTTGATGCCTTTGGTTGGGTAGTCCTGTTTTAGTATAAAGAGCCATGCCAAAGAAGCGGCTCGTAACAAAGGCATAAAGGTGCCCTTTGAGAAGATGCTGAAGTGCTGAGCTCCCATACCCACAAAACGGGTCTAATATCTGCATGTTCCTTTCATTCAACTCCATTCCCGCCTTAGACGCTTGCAGATTGAGGTTTTCTTTCCAGTGTTACGAAGACAGAGCATACAGATAGTTGTACCCTTCTACTTTGGAAATCAAAAGCTTTCAGTGTTTCAATAAGTGTTAATCAGTGTATCCAGCCCTCACCTTGGCTGCCGTCTGTTTCTTCAGCTCTTCGATCGCACCGTTGTTCTGCCGGGGGTCTGCGTTCTCCTTTTGTGCCAGCTGGGACTGCAGCTGGCTCAGTTGCTCCCTAGAAGCCAACGAGCAAACTCGTCAGAATATAGACAAACCTTTTGAAGTGTCCTCTGGAATGTCTGTATAGCAGTTCCATGCACAAGTTTCTTTTCAATTCAAAGCATATTCAGACCTTTTGCATGTGCCGCAGATCTTCCCCAAATCATAAAGATGCTTCCTTTACAGACCTACTTGAAGCAACTGCAGAAGCGGAAGGTCTCTGCATGGAAGAGCTCAACTAACAAAGAGCACCGATTGCATGCAACCACCCCTCCAAGGCCTCTCCTTTGCCTGGCACCTTTTTCCTCGGAACACGTGAAGCTCGCTGCCTCTACAAGCAAAACTTTGAAATGAGAATCCTCACCTCAAGCTCGCGTCTTTCTTCTTGTGCTGCTCGATCTCCGCCCTCAGCTTGGCCTCTTTGTCTTGGGCCTCCCTCACTTGCTGCAGAGCTGCGTCCCTCTCGCGCTTTGCCTTCTCTTCATCTTCGAGCAGCCTCTGTAGGTCTTCCTCAAGAGCAGCGGCCTTTGCCTCTGCTTCCTCCCAGCCTGTGACGGCATCCTCTGCCACCTTGGCGTGACCGGCAGCTTCTTCCTCTTTGGCAGCGACCTAGAGGAGAGAATGGTTAAGGAATGTCAGAAAACCATTGCTGGCCAGCAACTCCCGTCTGAATAAGTGCTTCTTTGGGTGCACGAGGGTGTTACTTCTTGATACTGGAAGATACTGGAAGCATGATTGCGGAAGAAAACGGTGGAGTGGTAGTTGAGAGGATCAGCAGTGGCCAGAGAGCTTGATCCGCAGCCCTTTGTCGCAGCAATTTTGGTGCGAGTGCTATCATGAATTGTTCCTTCAGCAAGTCGGGAATGACGGAAAGCTTGTGCAGAAGGAAGCTTGACCGGTTTTCAGTTCCCAGACCGGCAATCTGGCATTCCCAAGAAAGCGGTTAACTGGTCAAGCAGGAACACACAGATACTGATAGCATCCACATTTGCAGATATCAAGACCAACTGAGACAAATCAGCCCGGATCAAGATCATGCTGCAAGACAATCCTCAATCTGCTGGAAAGCTGTCTCTTTGGAATCGATTTGAGGCCAATGATTCCACCAATGGCAAGAAAAAAAGAACAGCATGCCTTCAGTCTTCCATGTGGACAGCAGGCAATCAGCCAACACAGGTGGCGACCAAACAACATGCCGCTTCTGGAGCCGCCATGCATTAAGCAGTCTGTGATACTGGCCTACAAAGACTTGAGTGCAACAACCCAAACCAAGACCATGCACAACAAGCAGCAGTCTTGATGGAACTGGTGCATCCCCTCACCTGAGCGAGCGCTTCTTCCAGCTGCTTGCTGAACTCCTTGGCCTTCTCTTCTGCCACCTGCCACCCCGCCAGGGCCTCCTCGAGCATGGCGGTCTGCTCCTCCAACATGGCCGCAGTGTTCTGCAAGCAAAAGGGGACCGGGATCGGTGACAGCTACAGCACGATTTCCTTCAAGAGACACGAGCTGGGATCAACCCACAACCATAAAAAGGTGCTGACTGGGAACGACCCACAAAAAGAAATGTGGTAGAGATGCTAACTTTGGAGAATCCACAACCAAAACTGTTGAGCGGATGCCGTTTGGAGATGACCCACGATAGGTTTCACAAAGGAGGTGCTAAGTAGGATCAAGATACAATCAGGTTCTCTGAGGACGTGCCGAGTGGAAATAACACGAACCCAGATTCCTTGAAAAGGTGCTGACCAGAGAAAACCCACAGCCCGATCTCCTTGCTACATGGTGACAGCCCTCGATAGTTTCCGCAAGCAGGTGCAATCTGGCAACACACTGGAAAACTCAATCCTTTGCCAGGAAGCTACTTTGCAAGAATTTAGTAACCCACTCCCCAAACAATCTTGGAGCAGAGCTGAAGTGGTCAGAGACACTGAGAACAAGAGCGTGAGAAGAGAAAAGAGCATTCAGAGCAACAGCTTCAAAGCAGTCAGCTACACAGAGCTTGAAAAGCCAGAATGATGCAGCTGATCTAAAGTTGGGTGCTTTGAAACCCCTGCAAGCGTTCAGAAGGTTCCAAGAATCCGGGATCGCTCCCGCTGCTATAAACAGTTGCATTGACTGCAGGTAGTATTGTGCCGCTTCGCAAGGCAAAGCAGCGTCATTCAGGACCCACTCTTGTCAGCTCTGAAAAGAAGGGTGCCTTGCAGAATGACTTGACAAGTGAACTAAAAGTCCTTGTCCTCGTCATAGTTATTAAAGTTGGTGAAATTCGAGTTGAGCATGAGTGAATAGCCTTACCTCCTGAGAGTCCCCCATGATGGGAGGCTCGGTGATCCTGTTTGTCAAGGTCGTTCAAAAACTCTTGCTAGTGCTGTTGCTTTCGCAGATTCCTCAATGCAAGTACCTCATGTTACTTGAATACAAGCCCAGAAGGGCTGCTAAAAAGGAAACCCTTCTATACCCCTTCTTTCCTGCGCTCGACCAACTGAGGACAGGTCGCTGTAGCCTGTAGTACGATCTGGAAAACCTGGACCGCCTTTGCAACGGGGGTCAGTAGAGCGCTCCTGCGCAAGGACTCCAAAATTCGAATGCACTTCAGGACTTCAGCTTTCTAAACACCAGCAGTTTCAGCTGACTCACTGAAGCAAAAAGGCGGGAAAGCGCCAATTCAAGATTATTTGAATCACCGTGACAGAGGCAGAGGGGTGCTCCGGTACGCACCATTAGTGAGGCCCTCTTCCCCGAGTCAGATGTTTGTTTTTAGCCTAAGGGTTAATAACCAACCGGAGGGGAAGCCCCGCCCACTCCCGTACGTACCGCAACGATCTTTCCAAGAGTGTACCATCGGGAGGTATCGACGGTTGCCGTAACCCACTAGTTTCGGCCTGGCAGTTTTGCACCGTGCGATCCAAGAACAAAACAGCGGACGGCCATGACGTATACGCCTTCAAGTGTTGAAGGGTTTACATAATGTAATCAGGGTTCCCGACTTGGGCCGGCCGCGCTACTGCCAAGTGGGCCGCCGCCCGGCCCGCGGCCGGCCGCGCGTAAATGTATGTTTATCATATGAGTACGGTCTGCGCAGGATTCTATCTTTCTGCTTTGCTTTCGAAACCTGCAGAATTTATTGGGTACCACTGTATCCTTGTGTTTCTAGCTCCTATTGCAGCTGGCGGTACCAGCTGGAGTTGACCCTGGGCACTGCACAATCTACGACGCCGCTGCCGATATATGTGTAACATTTCCAACGCCATCTCACTGCAAAGATATTCTCATTGGCCTGCAAACATCAATGAGCGGCCAGCAGGCAATGCTGTGTGGAAGGAAGTAACAACTCAGCCCCACAGTGATACGTTCCTGGTATAGGGCCACAGCACCAGACTTTTTGATCTCAAAAGACCAAAGAAGTCTTAAAAAAACCTGTGAAGCTGGCGGGGCCGCCCAAGCTGCTCACACTGAGCTTGGGGAGAGGTCCACAGATTGGCACTTATCACAGTCCTTTTCGAAATGGAACTCAGCATGACCATTTGATAGTCTGGCCCTAACGGGGCTGGTCACAGCATGGAAGCTATTCTCACCCCACCACCTCCCACTAAAAACCAAGAGAGTAACCAAGCCCCAGAGGCTAGGAAAGTGAAAGCCAACCCCCATGATTGGCCCTGGGTGCATGCCCTTGACAAGAGCAATACGGTGGGTTGTCCTCCCTTCTTGAATACAGAACCCGCAGTCTGGGTTGCATCAACTGCTTCTTGAATGATGAGAATGTGGAGCTTTGCTTGAAAGCTGAGCCTCCCGTATCAGTACTGCTTTGTAGGCGAACCACATCCTGCACTTTGCATTTCTTGGGGACAGCATCATATATTGGGGCAGACTGCAAAAGATCTTGCTATGTGCAGTAGGTGCCATGGCGTTAGGCGTTGAATTTATGCCACTCACATGACTCGTATTTCGTAGTACAAACTTGAATCCCCCTCGAATTTATCAACCTTATATGGGATCCTGATTCTTTGTAACTCCTTCACAGCCGCCAACATGTGGTAAAATGGAAGGGCGCTATTAACAACTTCATTGATAAAACCCACTCTTTGCAGTGTTGTCCTTCGGAGAACTCCACGTCTGACCTTTGACCAGCTTCTTGCAGGTCTTCATTGTCATTGACATGCAGTTGGACTTTTGTGAGAAGGGTGGCTATGTAGATTCCATGGGCTATGACGTCTCCGCAATGCGGGTATGTGGAGCCACCTTCTATCTATTTTACCTACTACAGCCCATGTATGACAAGAGATTCGAAGATAATGACAGAAGATAAGAGGTGTAGTTGGGCTGATGTCTTCGTTCAAGGACTTCTGTGAGGTCTCTTCGCCTGTGACCTAACGTTGTGCGACATGTCCCGCTTGACCCTTTCAAAGTTATTTTTACTCCACTAACATTTGAGTGCCAGCTTGTGGAGGACTTCTTGCGCTTTTCCAAGTTAATGTGATCTCTTTCAAGTCAAGTCATTCGGTTCTTCATGCAGGAACCGATTGCGCCAATCAGGAGGGTTCTAGATGCGTGTCGGGCACGTGGCTTTCACGTCATTCACACACGCGAAGGGTATCGACCAGACCTGGCAGACGTTTCTCCGCACAAAGTAAGTGAAAGTTTTGGCACTCTCCAGTTGTATACTTTATCTATTCAAACCTAGCACTGAGGCCGACCAGAGTGCATTTCAAGTTTATTCGCAGGGACAGCCACCACCGATTGGCCCAGATAAAAACAAAATTGCCATTTCTGCCGGCACAGCCGTTTTGGGGGGCAGTCTCAGGGGTTGCCCAGGCCCTCTTATAGGCACTTCAAAAGCTCTTATTGTAGGAGCTTAATAACGGCAGGACACAGCTGCATCACTCGATATCCTTGGCCGCAAATCCGCCCTTGGCCTCAATCCGCTACATTAGGCTGGCACATGTCTACTATATACTTCGACTATGCCTCGAACGAGACGTGCTCACACACATTCTGTACTCAAACGGGACTGGCCAGCTTCGCTATCCAGCACTTTTTCTACATTCAAGCGATCTAAGAACATTTTTGAGAAATAATCAAAGTGATCTCGAGCCGCCAGCTACTTGTTTACTTCCTTTGACCTTTCCGTTATTTCAACTTACAGCTGTTCCGTTCCAAGAAGGCCGGCGGAGCGATCGGCAGCGAGGGCCCCCTTGGCCGCTTCCTGATCCGGGGGGAGAAGGGCCATGACATCATCCCGGAGTTGTACCCGCTGCCCGGAGAGCCGGTTATTGATAAGCCCGCATATGTGCGTGTGTGATGGTAAAACTTTTTTAAAGATTGCTTTTAATTCAACCGAGCGATGCCGAGGCTGTCCTCTCGAATGGGTTCGATTGCTAACGGTTTCGAGAGGGTTGGTGGTGATAGGAAAGAGGGCGGCGGCAAGCAGAACAGGCTATAAGTTGGAACCTCCTTCACCTAAAATTCTACAACGACCTACATCGACTGAGAAGTGCTAGGCTCGCCAGCTTCGCATGTTTGATCCGCGTACAGCTTTGTACCTTACCGTCCCAACTACGATTTGTTCCAGGTCTGCACTTTTACCACGTGATCGATCGAAGCATTCTCATTGGTCCTGAGGACCGCAGATGAGCGCTCACCCCGTTTCAGTCGACGCGGAATCTAACCTGATTCGAAAAACGGAGCCGTCCGGTCTTTAAGAACGGAAATTGTTGAAAGTTAGGAAGCTCTAAAACTAGCCGCTGAAGAGAGTTGTAAGTGCGGGTCAACGAGGAGCAAACTGGAAATGGGCGCTCACCCGTTCCAGTCGACGTGGAACCTTATTTGAGACCGGTCGAAGCGACAAATGTTCCTGAAAGTAAAGAAGCTCGAAGAGAGTTGTATGTGCGGGTCAACGAGGAGCAAATTGGAGCACCAATAAACATTCTCTCTTGTGTAGAGCGCGTTTTGCGGCACTGATCTTGACATCATCCTCAAGAATAAGGGCGTGACCAACGTTGTGCTGGCGGGGGTCACTACGGACGTGTGCGTACACTCCACCATGCGGGAAGCGTACGACCGCGGGTAAGTCACGACTATAATGAGTTGCCATAAGACGTACTTGTGTTCCACCGTAAGCGGGGTCAGGACAGTCACGTGGATTTAGGAGCCGTGTTTCCAGGCCAAAAAGGTTTCCCAAAAGGAAGACATGCCGTTTCTAAGCAGCACTTCTATCGACGAACTACCATTCCCCAGGGTTTCCCCTCACCTTATCTGGTCGGGGACAGACAATCCGAGTCGAGATGTCATTTTTGCAGATCTTGTAGCTTGTATACGAGATCCGAAGGCGCCCGGCGATGAGTCGAAGGACTGTACTTTGGGCTGAGCGCTTTTCGATGGATCCTGGCCGGCTCTTTGAAAACTTTAGATGTGCCCTCGGTGCCACGTTCGGTGACTAGTCCTTTCATACCGTCCCAAGTTTTCAACGGTGATGTTTATATTCATGCAGGTACGAGTGTCTTCTCCTAACGGACTGCACGGCAGCGACGGACGTCCGGAATCACGTGGCAGCCCACAGGATGATCGTCAAGGAGGTGAGGCCACGCGTCTTCCACATTTTCTTATCGCCCATGAAATGACGCCGCCGAGACTCGTGTTCAAGTGCTTGTAGAGGCACTTATCCACGAGGTTTGTGCTGTCCCCATCCCCTCTTTTTGCCTGTCGTCGTTGAACTGAAATATTGGTTACATTCTATCTGGCGGAGCTTCGCCAAGTGCGCATCGCGTCCTTCCGTTCACTTATTTGTAAACCCAGCATCACTGCACTTGCGTCCGTCATCAAGACTTCGATGGCAAGTAGAAAGGGACCGGTAAACTGGAGGCAAAGCTTCGTTGACGGCCTGTGCTTTTGAGTAAAACAATAGTCTTTTCGGGCAGTCTTCCTGAGGATCCCTCCAAGAAGCGTGCTGCCAAGACGGTTGACCTGCTTTTGCCTCCAGACTGGACATAGGGGCACACATGAAGCGCGAGCGTGTTGAGGCGCACCCATTCTCTCTTGCCCTTCTAGTTTGAGTTCAAGGGGTTCAAGGGTTCTCCTTCTCATGTGCAGGGAGGGGTTTTCGGCGCAATTGCCACGTCGGACGACTTTATTGCTGCAATTGCTGCAACATAGGCTGCCCGCTTGCTATGCGAGCGTCCCTTTGAAACGAAGCCCCGCTGGCTCGTCTAGCGAAGCGTTGCCATGGCAAAATATCATCATGAGCTCAAGTGGCAGCCTGCTTGCAGCTGCAAGCGAGGTTAATAACTATAGTACTCTCAGTCAGTTGAATCACTAGATTGGGTCGCGGCAGGGGCCCGGGCGCCACGTATAGGTAACGAGCTTGGATATAGCAAGCAGCGCCCCATGTGAACTTAATCACCGTCCCACTGAGGAACATCGTCGAAGTTGGTCGATCATGCCGCACGCATGATCAAATCTTGATCCATTCTTAAATAACATGATTGACAGGTGCACAAAATCTCATGTGACGGTATTACATGCACATGAACTCAAGGCGCACGGAGGCGCGCGCGCCTCGATACCATTAATTGCATTATCAAATTGCGGCCGCCCCATATATGTATACTAACACGTGTACAGGCATGCATATAGGTATCATAATTGTTCAGTACCTTAATATATAAGCATGGGCGGCCGCGCGCCTACATGATTGCTGAAACGGTACGGTTGCATATTCATATATAGCTATAGCTCTAGGCCGGCCGCGCGGTCAACCAAGCTAGCTTGGGGCCCACATATGTGCATATATTCGATGACGCGGCTCAGTATGATAAAGACGCGATCTGGGCTGCTAGCTGGATAGCACACGACATCAAGTCTCCATGAGCAGCTATTGGCAAGCGATTTGCCCGGGCCCACTGTTTTTGTGCATGATGTAGAATCGCAATTACCACACACTATGTGCCGCGCGGCCGGGAGCACTGTGCACTGCATGTGACATGCGTCCCTACTCAAGAAGATAGTGAAACGGACACAAAAGTGGCACAGACATGCGCTGGAATATGGCCGAAATGAAACCAATGAAGATTGCATACGTTGACTCAGCGACGCTCAGGCGAAGCAAGCTTTTCTCGAGTGGGAGCCAAGACACGCACAATAGGATCAAAAGACGTTCTGACCTTGCATGATTGCGTTCCCAATCCTTGCGATTACTGCAATATGCTCTAACTTCACTGACGCACAATGTCAAAAAGAAGACTGTCATTGCACAGTGGAGAGCTATCGAACATGAAGTGCATGACGAACCTAGGACTTCGCATTTGATGCATCTTCGCTCGGCACTTGCCTCTCGAGAGCAGCCTTGAGCTCTTCCGATGCCATCCCTCCTTGCTTGGGACGCTTGAAAGCGTACAGCCTCGTAACGACCTCCGTTACTGTCTCTGCCGGCTTTTCTGCATCTCCGCCTTTCGTCGGCGTGCTAGTCTCCTGCGCACAAACGAGACCATTTCCCTGACTCAACCTTCTCTGTGGAGCAAACTTAACCCGCTTGTTGCACCCTTCGTCACCCGGACATGGTTAGAGTCGGCGTGCCTAATGCTCAGAGTCGAGATTCAGGCGAAACGTGATGAGCTTCCCCGTTACAAACCAGATTGATGCTCAGGCTCGTCTCCCGAACGGGTTGCATCGAAAAAGTGTATGCTTGAAAAGCGCAGCTTCCAAAACGGCTCCGCTTCTTTGAGTTTCGCCCTTCAATTCAGGACGAGATGGAGGGTTAAGGGCCAAACCCACCGTGGTTTGCAAAATCGTGTTGACGACATCTTTACCAAGTTCCAGCTTCATCCCCACGTACAACCGCGCGTTCAGCAGCACCTTTCCCCCCTGCAAATGAGCGATATCGTGTAATCGTTAGACCGACGGTTAAGTCCGTCCTCTTTTTGACAAACAGAAAGGAGAAGTGACGCGCCTGTCCTGACGTTGACAGAGCAGGCACCGCTGTTGACAACAACCCTAAACCTCCGCCTTTAATGTCGACTTCCAAGTCATCAGCCCTCATTCTAGCGGCACTTTGTGTCCACCACCTGGAAGGGCTCCATGCCAGGATCTCGCCTTGAGAGTTTCCTTCCAAGTTCTGTAAAACATGACTCGTAAAAAGTGTGTCTCTACCAATGAGAACCGTTTCGTCTTCAGCTTTTCGGGAGTATCATTGTTCTGTCTCGCACCATGTAGTCTCTATTCAAGAAGCAAGCGCATCACGCCGTGCTTACCGGGTTTCGAAAGACGATCCGCGCGTTCGCCTCCTTGCTCTTGAGCGCCGCCCCCTTGTCCCTTTTCAACATGAGGGACCCCGTACCCTGATCCTCCCACTGCACCAATAAGACGCGGGTTAGCGCGGAGTCTACAACACGCTAACATTAGCGGAATGCCCACTACAATCACTGGATAGGGTCTCCCTCCAAACGGCAGGCACGCGTTGATGCGGACAAGCTTCATCCTGTGGTGACAGAACGCATGGAAGGAGAACGTGGACTCCAGTTTTCATTCCTGGACCCCCACACCGGTTGGTACTCTGCACACGCAACTCATATTGACGTACTTGGTTATATTCCGGGTCACCGGGTGGTTTCTTCGGCGACTGCAGTCGATCTGTCAGGTATGAACGCCTAGCTGCATTCGAGCGCTCGGTGGAGTCGGGCTGGTCGGTCAACAGAAGGCTTTGAGTTACGTTACTATGGGTTATGCTAGACCACGCGCATGGCCAGCCCTACTTCAATCTGCTTGCGCGCGCAGAGTGACCAGTACCAATCGGTGTGGGGGTCTCGGACTGCAAACTGCGGTCCGCGTTCTCCTTCCTTCCGTTCTGACATGACGTGTCAGCGAGCTTTTCAAACATGAGCCATGCAGGACCTTGATATGTCTGGACGAGATTTTCCAAGAAGAATAAACCCGGACCTGCTGCCCGACAGGAATGAAAGGATCCTTGGTGAGTCCTTGGTCAACTGAGTTCGACAGAGAGTTGAAGGAATGCATATATGGACCCAAGAAACAAAAGATAATCAAGAGTCTTAGAAGATGAGAATGGACTCGACAAGGCTGAGTTGAAGGACTCGTCGCTTGCCTTGCCGTCGGGCCCTGGCCCCTTTTTGTACACCTTAATTGGAGTGTCAAAGACGTTCTCTACCCCTTCCTCCTCGGCAGCCTTGAAAGACGGGCTTGGAGGCTCGCTCGGGGCCTCTCCTGCAAAAAAAGGGCTTTTGCAATCAAGAGACGATCTCAAAAAACCAGAGAGGGAGATACTACTCAAGAAACTGACCTCTCATAAAAGAAGAAATGGAGTCACTTGACATCCTTTTCGCAGCCAACGCAGGGCAATGCGAAAAATCTGGCCAGCACAAGTAGGCAGCTTGCATACAATGCTACAGCAATATTATGCCAAAACAAGGATCCGGTTTATCAAACCCCCGTGAGCTCTGGCAAAATACTGAGCAACCAAAGGACCCTCAACAATTGAGATTCCGGTGAGCATACTCGTCCTGACCAGATTTCCCCCGCTTGTCACCTCACCTTCTCCAGCCTCCTCTTCCCCTTTCTTCTCCTTTTCCGCACCCTCTTTCTTGCCCTCTTCTTCGGCTCCCCCCGCAAGCGCCTTGGCTCCCGGAAGCGCAAAGCTCGGAGCAGCCCCCGACTTCGGGACAGGATTTTTAAATCCAGCCGCCCAGTCAAACGCGCCCGGCGTGACCGAGGTTTTGATTGCCGGGACCAGTGCAGCCTGGACCAGGCTCGGGAACTTTGGGACGGAGAAGACCGGTGCGGTTTGCGGCCCCGTTTTTGGCGTTTCACCGGAAGCACTTTTCCCGCCCGTTGTTGGAGGGGCGCTTAGACTGGAGGGTTGGAAAGGAGGGACAGTGAAGAGGGGGGAAGGGGCGACTGCGGCAGAAGTTCCTGGAGTAGAGGCAGGTTGACCGAAGAGAGACGTGGTGAAAGTTGGCGCTGTTTTTGGCCCCTCAGAAGCGCCCCCCATTGGGAACTTGAAGGCGCTCCTTTTGTCCCCTGCTTTGAACCCCACCTCCATACCTTCTGCTTCCTTCTCCCCTTTCGAGCTAGTGTTGAAACCGGACCCCCAGCCAGGAAGCGCGCTTCCCCCAGTATCCGTCTTGGACTTTTCTCCGGCGGTGAAACCACCAAACCCCTCGTCCTTCTTTCCAAAGGCCAGACCAGGAAAGACCCCTCCCCAGTCCCCGGGCTTATGGCTAGCACTCAGATCCCCGCTTTTACCCGCAGGCGCCCAAGCAAAGGCCTTTCCCTGCTCCTGGGAAGCGCCGTTTGCCGCGGGCTTCTTACCATTCTCGTTTTCAAACTTTCCCCAGCCTTTGAATGCAGGGGCATCCGCCGGGGGCGTCTTGGTTTCTGGGGCCTTGCTGACCTCGGGTTGCTCGGCTGTTTCTGTGGTGCTTCCATTCTGGCCTGATGTTGAGCTGATCCAATCGACCACGTCATGGAAGTCGGACTGCACATGGAATGCTGAGGTAAATGGCTGTGGCCAGGAGTGGTCTTTACAGTGTGGCACACGATCTTGTGGAAGTGGGGATGTTTTTATGATACAGATTAAGTGAGGGGCGAAGGCAACGTTGAAAGCCCTTCTGGCGCCACATTGTTATACTCGGTCTCTAGATACAGTCACAGAAAAGTCCAGATTGCTTCAATCCTCAGAGGCATGCAGCCACTTCAGGAGGTTACCTAGCAAAAGCGTTCAATCCATATCGAAGTCGAGTCATTCGCCCTCACCAGGATCTTTTCTGCATGCCTGAGGTAATCCTGAGCGCCCGTTCTCCACAGATCAAACGGCCTGTCCTGCTGCTGCTTCTGGATCCAACTGCAAGCAGATGTCAAGGAAGACATAGAAGTGAAACAGAAACTATTTATGTCAGAATGGAAAGTCTGCCCCATCTTGCAACGCTTGATCTGTGCGCCCTCTTGAAGGCATCATATTCTTGGCTTTGAAGAAACATGCAGCAAATGTTGACTCGGAGTCAGAGGCATGATTTCTGAAGAACTTAACTCGTTCGATGCCTCGTTGTGCAAGCATGCATGGTTGAGTTGGCGCGCTCTCAATAACACGAGTCTTACCAAGGCGTCAAGCAAAATGGTGAGAAGTCTGGTCACCTACCTGGCAAACTGTGTATTCAATGCCGTCACAGTGGTTAGGCAGTCTGCTTTCCTACTGCTATCAGGGGCCTTTGGTCCAGTCGAAGGAACTTCGGCGTCCTGCAAGTGAAGTGAAGGAAGAAGAAAGAACGTATTCAGAAGGTTTCTGATAGTGCGCCCCTGACACCACTGGTATAAGCCCAATTTCGTTAACGACAGTTAAGAAGATCCTGAGCGACCTTTAACATATAGCCTGACAATCTACAAATATCGACGAATTTGAGTGAAGGCATTACCTTGAAAGTTACGAGGTCAACTTCAGAGCGTCACAAATTCCTCTTTAGAAGGAAACAGGAACTTACCCGCACTCCATTCTTATAGCCATCTCCTCTATCTAGTTCTTCCTCTGCTTTCCGCTTCCCTCCAGCCATGATCGAGATAGGCAATGAAAGCCCGTGGGAAGGTTCAACACTTTCTCACTACCTAGTCACCATGCAACGAGCTGCATGCCTGCCTCCTCAATGCAGCGGCCCACCGTGCATAAGAAACAAAGGTGCAGATCAGTTCGAAACTTTATACCCGGCGTACAATGGGGACCGCTGTGCTTACAGTGTGCTCAAGAAAAGATGGTAGCCAGAAAGAAGACTTAAAGAGGGATAGCATGCGACGCGAGCAAGCTGGCCAAGGGAATACTTTTAGGCCTCAGTTAAGGCTCGTCCCTGGGCCTAGGCTCAACTCCTCAATGACAAGGACGGTCCATGAATCAGAATGATGTATCCATTGAATGGCAACAATGGCGCGCTTTTCAAGCAAAACATTTCGAAGTGGCCAACGGCAAGTGTTTCGAAGAATGCAGTCCGATCCTGTGGCGTGACTCCTGACTCCTGCTAATTCAGCTTGACCCGTTGCCAAAATAGCAATTTTTGGTTATCAAAAGGAGGGCTTTGGTGCCAGAGCGTGACCTAGAGCTGGTCAAAATGTGGATTCAAATGATTCGGTGGAGAGCCCTTCAGGCTTCGTAGTCCCAAATATCCTGAAATTTTTGCACAAAGTTGGTTGTATATTCGACCATAGGACCCACATAAGTGGTCGATAATTGGGGTACCTAATAGTCTAGTGCAGCAGGCTGGCAAGCAACAGCTGCGGTCCAGCCAGTGGCTGGCGCTCATTCTAGGGCGCTCACTCAGTTGGCAAGAGCCTGATGGCAGCCCCTTTCTTCAGCTGATGCTGTCATTTTGGGGCCATCTTATGATGATGTTACAGGGCTGACTGGTTTTGGAATGAAGAAAGCGGCTGATGTGGCGGCCACAGTTTGTAGAATGAGCAGGGCCGGGATAGCAACGCTTCTCTTGGGATGTCAGGGGGAATTGCAGCTAATGGGAGCTGAATCTTTTCAGTCTCAGGGTTTTGTTACTGCTTGGGAAATGCGCACCCATCTTAAGCAGATTATCCTTCAGTGCGCCAGCTCTTATATGTGATTGTGAAGGTAATTCTGAGGCCAACAGAAGCAGGCTGTGAAGGTAATTGTTGAAGTGAGTTGTGGCAGTGGCAAGCGACAGGGGCCCCACACTTGTACTCCAGCAGTGACAGCATATTTGAGACAAGTTCTAGCGATCAGCTTTGACGGTAGCCTCATTCTGGTTCTTTCAAAAGTGAGCAAGGCGCCGTGGATGAATTGGTGTGTGTTAGGTGGTCGTTAGGAACTGCAGAGGAAGCTGTGTTTTGCCAATCAGGTAGTAGTTACACGAAAGCCGCACACGATGGAAAATTACCATGTCATTGAGTTGGTGGGAGAGGGGTCATTTGGGAAAGTCTATAAGGGGCGGCGGAAGTACACCGGCCAGACAACCGCCATGAAGTTCATCATGAAGCACGGCAAGAGCGACAAAGACATCAAAAACCTGCGCCAGGAGATTGAGGTACGGGCCTATTGTGGCAGAGACTTGTCAGACTTTCATTCTTTGAAACTGGCGAGTCCTGATGCAATACAACTTTCTTAGGATAAGGCGGCTTACCAGCTATGCTGATTAGACGATGGCAGGAGTTGGTCTCATCTCTTAAAGCTGCAAGGCCAAACTGTTCGTTTCAGATCGCAATTGTTTTTGTGGTTCTTGTTTTAGACTCGGGTGGTGTTGGATATGGTGACAGATACTGAGTTGCCCACTCTGTGATCAATGCTACTCAACTTCCAGTGAACCGGTGTTCTCAAATATCCACCCAAAACCGGTGCAGATTTTGCGGAATCTCAGACACGAGAACATCATCGAGATGCTGGACGCATTTGAGACGCCCCACGAGTTCTGCGTGGTCATGGAATTTGCCCAAGGGGAGTTGTTCGAGATCCTGGAGGACGACCAATCGCTGCCAGAGGCGCAGGTGCAAGACATAGCCAAACAACTGGTAAGCTGGTCAACACAGCTGGTCAACTCATGTCTTTTGTCCTTTGAGCATAGTGGTGTTTTGTCAATCCATGGCCATGCCCCGTTCCATGTGATTGTACGTACTGGCAAGGATTGGGGGAAAGGCACGGGCTTGTTGAGTGCTCCTTGAAGATCCTTAAACAAAAGGAAAGGGCAAGCTTTGATAATCCTGAAGTTCTCGTGTTCCTCTCAGGTCCGGGCCTTGCACTACCTGCACACGCACCCAAGCCGCATCATCCACCGAGACATGAAGCCTCAGAACATCCTGATTGGAGCGGGGGGCAACGTGAAGCTGTGCGACTTTGGTTTTGCGCGGGCCATGTCTGCAAACACGATGGTCTTGACATCCATAAAAGGTGTGTGTTTGGACCATTCTTCTTCTCAGCTAGATTTCAACTCCTTCGCCCTTCGTTTTGATCTCCTTCTTAGAGAAGTCACACACTTCCTCATTTTTTGTTGGGAAGGCTGTGAATGTTGAGAGACATCAGATCTAGCTTGAAAGTGGTCTACTTACCTTCATGTAACAACATTGAACTGAGGCATTGCAAGAACCGCAGAACCCAAGCAGAGGAACCACGTAACCTGCCATTCCAATTGGGAGCTACTGCGTGAATTTACTAATCAGATCTTGACATACTTCAGCTGATGTCATCGTTCGTCACACCAGGTACTCCTCTGTACATGGCTCCTGAGCTGGTACAAGAGCAGCCCTACAATCACACAGCGGATCTTTGGTCATTGGGGGTCATTCTGTACGAGCTCTTTGTCGGCCAGCCGCCCTTCTATACCAACTCCATCTACACTCTTATCCATCACATCGTGCGGGTGAGGCGTACTCCATCCAACAGACCTTTCCTTGTCATTCAAAAATGCGCTTCAGGCATGATATCAGCATATAAACTGGCGCAGGGAGGGGGAGCCCCCTCTCATTCAAAGGATACAAGCGAGGGCTCCATTAACAACCTTGCCTCCTAACCCCCTATAATAATGTATGTGAAAAGTTGTTCGAAGTCAGCAACGCTTCCAAAGCTCGATCAAGCTTACATATCCCACGAGACTTTGCCACCTTGCGCAAGTCCATTTTCTCCGCGCTCGCCCTTCCTTGTGCATCCCTTAATGTTGCTCCTGAGCTCTTCTTTTTTGGCGCAGGATCCTGTCAAGTACCCTGACAACATGAGCAGCGCATTCAAGAGCTTCCTGAAAGGCCTCCTTAACAAGACCCCGAACCAACGGCTGACGTGGCCGCACCTGCTGGAACACCCGTTTGTGCGGGAAACCCCAGAAGAGCGGGCAGCTCGGGTCAGATTCTTGCTCAGCCAGTCGCGCTGCTTTTCTATCGACCGACAGTATACACTCTCCGTACGCTTTGATCGGGGAGCGCAGCTCCATCACGAGATTCTAGAATTCTCTAGCTTTGTGCCAGAATTTTCATTTCGAATTTTCATCTCCCTCATGCACTCAAAATGATTTTAAGCTCCGAACTGTCCAGAGGCAAGTCGGGGGTGTCGAGTATGGTTCTTGTTTTACCATTGCTCTTTGAGGAACAACAAGGGTCCCCTCAGTGTTCAATTCGAGCTTTATCTCCATCATTTACTCAGATTGGGTTAACCTCCGAACTGGTCCAGATGATGGTGAGTCGGAGGGTTCGAGTACGATTCTTGTCTTTCCCTCGATCTTTGAGCAACAACAACCCGGTCCCTTCAGCGTACATTCTTAATCAACACCTTTCAGGCAGGTTTGTGCGCATGTTTGACATACTTTCCTAAAATACTGCAGGAAGTTAGGGCTGCGCGGGAACTAGAGCGGGGCTGCGACGCTGCATGGCGGGGGGAGATCAATATCAGCGTATTCCAGGGGGGCCGGATCGCTGGAGCCGCCAGCAATCAAGCGCAGCAGGTCCTGAGTCGACCGGGGTCGCAGCAACAGCGGGCGAGGGACTTGCCGGATCGGATGACGAACCGCGACGCTCCTGCGGCGGAGCCTGCACAAACGTCCGGGCGGCAAACGCCGACCCGAGAAAAAGCGGAGCCTCGAACCCCTGGTAAGTGCGAGGAAGCTTCGCGCAGGGTTCTTGTGGGGATCGGTTGAGGGGCAAACGTTGCAAGAGAACGGATTGGGTTTGAATCGTTTGTTTTTAGGGAACTCGTGCAGAACATTGACGAGTCGGGAGTGCTGACCCAAACAACAAAGTTTCAACTTCAATCTGCTTGCTGGTTGTTTCAATAGGTTCGCATTCGAGCAGGTTCGCTTGGATCTACACGGGGTTGGCAACATGTTCAGCCCAAACAAAAGAAATGTTGCTGCAAAATCTGCTCCGCAAGTAGAGCGCAACGCCTTAGGTTTCCTTCCTTACGCTTTGCAGAGCGCCCCGAGAGCACCCCAGCCAGTAACGGCCAGGCGAGCCCCTCCCTCCCATCCCCTGCCTTTGTGGGCCGTAGCCCCAGCCCGCTTCCTGGGCCCCCTCCAAAGACCGCCGCGGAACAGACTCTGGAGCGAGCGGAAGAGCTGTCAACGTCGGCGGAAGGGGCGGCGCACCTTTTGAAGCAGAGAGCGCCGGTGCAGACCATCTGTGAGGTGAGGACTGCGGACGTGAAGGGGCCTTATGGCCGTCCTGTCTGCAGAATGGAAGAAACTTCTGTCGATGCGAGTGCCAGCTTGTTTGCCGAAATATGGGTGCTTCCTGGCAGCATGTTTGTGAGTTCAAGCGTGATGTAAGCGCTTCATGGCAGCATGATCCAAGCGTAACGTGTCTGGTTATCTTGGAAGCCGGAGGGTCGGCTTTAGTGGATACGACCGTTCGGTAATTCACTTGAATGCAAAGACTGAAACACATTTCGGGCGTTCCTGCCAAGTGACTTGCTGTTTCGATCCGGATGACGTGCTCCATTGCTTGCTTCAAATCTGCTCATTACCTCCGACTTCATTCGTCAATATTGGCGTCAGCTCTAACACCAGCTTTCGCTTTCCCCTCAGGCCCTTCTGCAATTGCAACCGGGCGCCCTTCCGACCCTTGCCCCCGCAGACTCCGCCCTGCGAATCGCCTCCAACCTCCTCTCTCACCCGACTGCCTGGACCGCACCCGTCCGAGACGAGATTCTTAAAGCCGTTGTCCACGTGGCATCTTCGGATGCTTCGGACAGTCATTTCCAGCCCGTCCAAACAAAAGCCTTTGGAATTCTCCGGCGGAGCGTCTCCGCGTTCGGCCGGGAAGCCAAGGCGACCGTGCTCCTCGCTGCCGCGGCGCTGAGACTCTACGCGAAGCTGGGGGTGACGTCACGCACAGGGGCGGTGCTCGAGGGGACGCTGTTCGTGGCGGATGCGCTGAGGTCAGCGGGGGAGCTGTCGCGAGCGCCGGACGCGGAGGGCCGGGAAGTCGCGGCGCAGGCATTTAGGCAGGCGATGGCGTCCGGGGTGGAGAGTCAGCTGTGCAAGTCGCTGGATGTGGCCGGTAGCGCAGAAGGTGAGAGGTCAACCTGTCTGGCTTACCTCAATTGGTTGTTCATTACTTTAGTCGTCCACGACAGCGCGCGTTTGTAGAAATCCAGGGGCGTCGGTGCTGCTCCGGACGCTGAATCGTTCTGTTGGTCTTGATATATTGAAGACCGCCTCTCAATTATTCATGCGCTGCCGTTCAGGTCAGGAGGCAACAAGGACAGGAGAAAGCGGGTTACGCTTTTGCAGCTGCTTGTTGACGCTCCAAGAAAGGTCAAGCTATTGAGCTTGTAGCGCTTGCCACGATGATGATTTCCCTCCCTTAAATACCACGCCTGACCGCTGTCTGGATTAGGGACGGATGCCCTAAACCAGCACACTCCCTTGCAGGGGAGAATCTGCACCTCGCCGTCGGAGCCACGACAAAGACGTCCCATTTCCTTGTCCCACGCTTCTTCATTTTTCGAAAAACGGATCTGTCAACGGAACCTCGAAAGTACGCTCCTTCCTGCAGGGGAGGACCTCCACCTAGCCGCCGCGGCCACCGACGCGCTCCTCGGTCTCATCGCGGGCATCGAGGCCACCGCCGGAGACACCAGCTGGCAGCGCTGGAGCACCCGGACTTTCCCCCTGACCGTCGCCCGGGGATTTGCCGAACCGTGGGCGCGGGAACAGGGCGAGGCCACGACGATCGAAGCGGGGGGCCACGTGAACGTGTTTATCAACCATCTGGTGAACGAGATCAGCCCTCGAGAGGGGGCGGTGCGCGCGTTGCGGCGGCTGCTGGAGAGCAACGTTGCGACGCGCCATGCGTTGAAGGTGGGCCGTGGAAGTCTTCTTGATTTTGTAGTGCTTCTGCACGTGTATTGTGGAGAATCAGTATGAAACCGCATAGGGTGGTTCTGAACCGTATAAAGTGGTGCGGTCTCAAACAATCAGTCCGGACATGGATAGCTTCGTCTGAATCTGGAGAATGATGCTTTGTCCGATGAGCGTTTCTTAGATTGCTGTGGAGAGCGGCATCGTTGACAATTTTTGATTGTGTCGTTTGTTGTTCAGTTGTGTAGGTCAGAAAGAAAGACTCGGGAGAAGGATGAGCTCACGATTTCCTGTGAGAGTGCTTATTTGGCCCAGAATTCCAATAGCTGAAAGTCTTTGACACCTGAGAATCCTCTAATTCTTGTCGCTCTTGCAGGTCCTACTCCACTGTTGCACAGAAGCCCCCGCGTTCGCCACTGTTCTCACGGGGATCCCCCAGGCCGCCTCCCCCCGCCAAGAACGCCGACGCTCAACGGGGTCCGTCACCGGCAGTGCCGGCGGTGACGACACAATCGTAGCCGCTCTCTTTGCCCGTCTCTCCCCCCAGAACAACGCCCAGAGTACAAATAAGCCGTATGAAACGAAACCGGAGGAAGGGTTAGCCAACGCGGGGTTAGCTGCGCTGGTTCTCGCGAGCTGCGGCAAGGGGCTCGATTCCGCAGGGAAGCAAGGGTGGGCCTGGATGCTAACCGCCGACGAGACCGAGCAGCAAAAACGGGTTAAGAAGCTGTCAGCGCTCGTCGGAACGCGGCACGTCAAGGTCCGGTCAGCGGCCGGGTTAGCGATGTACTGGCTGATGGAAGTCGAGCTCAACCTGCGGCAAGAAGCCCGGGCCTCGTGGATCGACACGTCAGCTGAGGCGCTTCCGCCGATGGCTGCCTTTGCGGACGCTCTCCGGGGGGCGCAGAATCCGGACACGTGGCAGACGTCCGGTTCGGACGGGGAGTTTGAGTGGGGGCTCGGAGTCGCGGCCGTCGGGAAGGGTCGGGACGGGTTAAGAGACGGCGTAGTGGGTTCGCTGGTGGCGATTCTGCAGCTGCGGGGGGGTGCGGCGGCGGAAAAAGCGGTCGCGGCGGAGCTGCCGGCGATGCTGGTGCAGTTGCTGACGGCGAGCAGCGACCGGGGGATAGCACCGGGCAGGTGAGAGTGTTGGCCGCAGATTCTGCCGTTCACGTGCGCCCATTCCTCCTTGTTTTTGTTGAGTTTGTTGGGGACGCATGTGGACATCGACTTGGAAGTCGAGCGAACCTGAGCACGCCTTGTGACATAGTAAACCTTGCAGCTGCGTAACGGTGAGAACCTGGCGCAATTGACAGAGGCTGAGTGTCATACATGGAAACGCCTTATCGAAGAGTTGTTGCCGGCCTCGGCACATTGACAACGCTTGTGAAGGGGGCGTTCCGGTCAGCAAAAGTCAAATGTTCATGTTGTCCAGGCTACAGCAGAGCCAAAGTAGGCTGAAGCACACAATGGTGCATCGGTAGCTGCTGGTTGCAAGTAATGGAGCGGCAGATAGTTGCGGGACGGTAGAGAATGTGGGTGGATGGACCAGTAATAAAGGTCATTTGCAATACGCTTGCGCGTCTGGTTTTGTTGGTTGGCCTCGGTGATGGTGGTCGCAAACGGGCAGTCAGTACCAAGCGGTGCAATTGTCCGTACGTTGGTGAAGGGATGAGAAGAGTGCCAGAAGATTGCCGAAAAGAAACTGCGGATTGAAGCTCGGAAGATTGCCAAATCCGAAGTCCTTACAATATGAGCAGAAGTCATTCCACGGATAAGCTTGTCATTAGGGGAGGGGGGCCCGAGGTGCTCAGAGAACAAAACGAATAGAGATGGCGCCCTGCTCAGTCCCAAATAAGCGCGAAATCCGGTCTGAGGCGGCAAGGAGGTCTGAATCGGACCCATACGATTGGCTTGACATCATCCAATCTTGCCCAGCTTACCAAACCCCCTGCTTCTTGCTCCCATTCTAAGAAATGTTTCAATGTTTTAACCTGCAAAAAGGGCAGTGGAATGGAACATAAGATGTTTTTGCTCCCCGCAGTTCCCCTGTCCCTTTCGACCCCCTGGAGCTCTCCCCCAACGGCGTCCTCCGCACCCTGGCCGCGCTCCACAGCTGCCTCCCCTCCGGCGCCTCCGCCGCCGCGCTCCTGTCGCGGGACTGCCTCGCGGGGCTGCTCGACCTGCTGAACACGTGGCCCCACGTGAGCCACGTGCTGCAGTGGCCGTCGCGGGACGGCGGCGGGCGCGAGGGCGTCAAAGAGCTCATCGTGGCCGTGACGGCGATCATAACCTATCCCCTCCAGGCAGCGTCGCCGTCCGCGAGTGAGTGTGGCTTTTCGCTGCCGTTTTGCGCGATAGGTGCGTTGGAGAGTGTAGAACGAAAGGCTGTGACGAAGATCCATGGTTCTTGCTACCTTTTAGACGGTTGGTTTTCAAAGGCTTTCAAGCCGGGTCTCGGCTCGATTGTGAATATTACAGCGGGTAACCCCAGGTCTGCCGAAAAGGAGGAGAGTTTCATAAACAATCACTCGGCATCGGATCCGCCGGAATCAAACAACGGTACGGTATCCGGTATCCGGTCTCCGGTCTCCGGTGGTCACCTTTTACGGTACATTACATTGTACCCTACATTACATTCTTGTTCCATTGCGATATTCGGTGCGTTACGTCATCCGGTACATTACATGTTAGGCTAAGTCGTCAAAGTACGCTGTGCTAGACCCAGAAACTCTCTCTCACCCCACGCAGGCACCAGTGCCAGCTCGTCCGACCTCGCAGCGCTCCCCGCGTACTTGCAGGCCCTGGGCGACGGGAAAGTGGTGTATGCAATCACAGCGTGCCTCGAGCGGGTGGATGGGGACGAGCTGGGGCCGCCGGTCAATCTGCTATCTAGGCTGGTGAGCTTCTTCGCGTTTCGTCCATCTTCTCAACTTGATTCCTGTCTCAGTTCGTTCGCAGAGTGCGCTTTTTCGTCACAACACATCGGGGCTGCGATTGCTTTTTGTTGGTCTGTGCTTGGACCCGAAACTTGAGACTTCGTATCAACGGATTTTGTGTTTTAGAGGGCTGGTTTCTCTGAGCAGAAAGATCCACGGACTCCGGCGCCAAAGATCTTGCCCCTTCTGATTGAGTTCGCCTCGGAAAGACAGTCGATGAACCAGGAGAAGGCTGACCGGCACAGTATGCTTCGGAACGTGCGTGAATGCTGTATTGACGGGTGGAATGCGTTCGCGAATGCACTCGGTCATCACAGTTGTCAAAGTTCATCGGGGATATATGCAACGTGATAACGAAAGTTAGTCACGTTTTAACCGACATGTGATAATCAAAGTTATATAACTACTTCATAACTGCATCAGAAATTTTAGTCAGTTATATTACAGGCACTGTGAGCTTGCAGTTGGACAGGGCCCACCGTAAATGTCAAAACGCTCAAAGTAATCCCGTACGCAACGGATCTCCTGTTCCTTCTCAAGCACGCCCCAAGTTTGTCGGTCGAGTGGTCTGTTTCTTTTCTGCCTCCAAGTAGCTCCTTGGCTATGCGAAACTGCTTTCGCCAGACGCCTAGCCCCTCAAAAAGGCATGCGAATAGCTACCTGCAGTCCCGCTCTTTGGCCCTTTTCAAAACGCCTCTGCCGACTCCGTGCAGACCTTTGTATTCGCCTGAAGATCAACCGTAGTCCAACTCAATCGAGGGCCTCAGTGCAATCTGTGATCCTGAAGGTTCCTGAAGCCCAAAAACCTTAAATTCCGTCACACACCCAAACCCCAGGCTCTGAATCATGTAAACAACATCCACCATTTTTTGCAGATTCTGTCGTCCCAGGGGTTGGCGCGGCAGTACATCGAAGCTGGGGGTCTTGCCCCACCGGTGGCTGCGCTACTAACCCGCCCCGCAAACACGACCAGCGTGGTGGTGGATTTCCTCCTAGCGATTAGCCAACTGGCAAGGCTCAGCAAGGACTACTACGAGCCGATTGCGAAAGCGAACATGTACGACGCGCTGCGGAGGTGAGGCTCTCAAGGGCTTTTTGAGGTGCGCTTATCTGGTGTGCAGGTCTCCGTATCACCCGGTTCATAATCCCATGGATCTCATCGACTGGCTTAACCAGTTCTACCTTGTATGCCCGGTCAGAGTTTCGGACGGTGATCTTCAGATCTGCTAAATCACTGCTCCTTTTTATGCAGTTACCTGATTCACCCGTTTACCTATGCCATGGGTCTTCTCGACTGGCTTAGCCTTTTCTACCTTACATGCCATTCAAGTTTCGGAGGATTTTCTTAAAATCTGCTAATCGCGGTTCCTCTTCGCGCAGGTACCTGATTCACCCGTTTCCCCATGTCATGGGTTTATCGACTGGCGTAGCCTATTTACCTCGTCGGCCAACCACGGCTCACCCATGCCATCTTTGTCTCGACTTTCCAAACCCTGACTTCCCTTCGTCGCTCCTCGCTGCACCTCTCTAGACCTGCTAAACCCCGCTCCGCTTTGCTTGCAGGTACCTAAACCACCCGGAGGGCAACGTGCGCTCGCGTGCGTGTAACCTACTGGGCAACATGTGCCGGCACTCCGCATATTTCTACCCAGCCCTGGTGGAACAAGGCATCCTTCCCATCCTCATCGAGCGCTGCAGCGACCCCGACAGAGCTACCCGCAAGTTCGCCTGCTTCGCGGTGAGCCTCTCGGGGAAGTCCAATTTAGCATGGGCGAAATTTAGATTATGGGGGCACTCTGGTGTCAGATGTCGGCGGGATCGACAAAACGAACTTGCGTGAGTAGCGACAAAACTGATCTGGTCCTGAAAGGAAGCAAGGAGGACTCAAGGTGTTTGCTCAGACGCCCTCAAGCTTCCCCTGTCAATCAACATCCCGTAAGGGTTCGCTGGCAAGGGGCGTTGATTGCAGGCCTCTTGTTTGGTGGAAATTTCGCCCTGCACGTGCTTGTCCAACCTGCTGACGTCAACTCGCACTTCCGTCTCGCCTCCAGGTCGGAAACGCCGGCTTCCACAATGACTCCCTCTACCGCGCCCTCTGGCCCGCGATCCCGCACCTGACCGCACTCTTGAGCGACCCGGAAGAAAAGACACGTGCCAACGCTGCGGGCGCACTCGGAAATCTTGTCCGGAACTCGTCCGTCCTTTGCCGGGATCTTATCGAGCAAGGCGCCGTGCGCGCCCTCTTCGAGTCGGTGGTCTCTGCAGCGGGGCGGGGGCCGGAAGCGGACGGGACGGGCCGGGTGACGTCACCAGGGGCCGAGTCGGGGCAGTCGCCGCTGCGCATCGCGTTGTTTAGCATAGGGAACATGTGCAGCCACACGAGCTGCCGGGAGGTGTTACTAGAGTTGGACTTGTTCAAAGTGCTGCAGAAGCTGCAGAGGCTGGGGGATCCCGTGATCAGCAAGTACGTCCAACGGATATGTGCGAAGTTCCAGGAGAAGCCTGCAAGTTAAAGTGCGTGTAGAGGATTCCGACTATGATTGAAACGAGGGGCTTGTCGCGAGCGCTCTCCTAGACTGCTCGACCAGATGAGGGCCGATTAGGTGCCCGACTGCCGCAGTGCATACGTCTAATCTTTGTAGCTAGCTGCCCGGCCTCTTCCAAACGCTGGTCAGTACAGATCACAGTCCGCATTTGTTGTAACACAGTAGACAGGTATCGTTCAATATTCTCGCCCATGGCTGAAATGGATGCACGTTTGGATACTCGTGCGGCGGCCTGTATTCCTGGCCCGCCTCATGCATTCACTCCAGAGTGCCATGCAAAGAAAGCATCAACGATCTCATTGAACATTTTGTGAGTACGCTTTTGCCGCTTTTCAATGAAGTGACATTTGTCAATCAAGGGAGATAGGATTCAGTAGAAAGGTACATTCAGTTACATTATTTATCCAATCCCGCGGCCAGCCTGCCATGTACGTGCTAATACGGATGTCAATCTTGGACATGTTCTGCATGGCATCATTGTGATCTAGGTACGTCTCTACGATTAGTGTTGCAAGTATGAATCTTTAGTTAAGGACGTATACTGTTTGAACGCCGCGTCCCGGCATGTGCTCGAGCTGTTGACCGCGTGTCACACATGTTTGTGTTTTAAACATGCTGAGCAGCTACAGCCGGGCCCGGCCATGAGTACATGCAGCAAAACAGCGGCATACTTCCGTTTTTCACTTCGCGCGATGCCGCCATGCCATATCGACCCAGGCCGCCTCTGTGTGTTCCTTGTATCAACGTCCGAGGCGGCAGATCTCAAGGAGATGAGCGAGTTTAAGCAGTACGTCAGCTCGAGCTCGACACAGATAGGTCCTAGAACACAGATAAAACCTGCATGAGCGGCCATGCAGATGTGTAATTTATCACGAGCGGCAGCGCGCGGCCGAATCCGACGCTCGCACAATTGGAGTAACTTATGCATGCGTCCTAAACCTGGTAAACCTCGAAACCCTCCGGTCAGCTGCGGTACGCGCGGAGGGCGGCCGCGAAGCCACCGTCGATCAAACCGTGACGTAACTGAGTCATTTATAAATTATAGTATGGTATCATGCTGTTGGTCAGAAAGTTCAATCCAAGAAGCGCTGCATTGGCGCCATGCAGTCGGTGGCAGTCTTGCGGACTCTACAGGGAAACTTCTTGAGGTGAGTCTCGTCGATAGCTCGCGGCCCTGACAGTGAAAGCGTCCCTCAAAGCTTTCTTCATGCGCTCACCTTGGTTTGCTTTGAGATTGAGATACGAGCTTGCAGTTGAGGTCTGGAAGTGTAGAAGTTAAGGGCGGATTTGGAGGCCGCATCTTGCCGTTGCGGCTGCAACCAGCATACGGCTCAGGAGTGACTTCTGAGAAGGTATCTTTTGAGAGTTCAGAGGAACTCACCAACATGATGACTAACCACACTCTCTTTGGACCCTGCCTGGTGGGGCTGATTGTCAAGAGCTAGTTCACAAGAGCTGCCGGCAAAATCGGGTGGGATGCACAATCTGATTCTCAGATACTTCAGTACATGCAACTTTCGCTAGACAGTGAATTCAATACACGACATGAGCAGGAAGTAAAACAAGTGCACTTTATTAGGGTCCTTTTTGGGCAACAATTGCAGGAGCAGGGGCATCTTAGGGTGCGAGCCGCTTCACAGAGGCGCCTCCGCTCTTTTGGAGTCCGGCGCTAGGCTTCCAACCATCCAAGGGGGCAAGCAGCGCGTTGTAGGCCCAGTAGGTAGTGGAATAACAACAGAGCCTGCTGCCTGGAGTAGCGTGCTGACCGGAACATGCTCCTGCAAGGTGAAGATGAGACGATTGGATGCATTGAGGTCGAGTTGTTGAGGAATTGAGCTGCTCCTGGACCCTCTTGGATAACTTCAGAACGATAAAAATCCAAGCGTTTTGACCCCAAGATAGAGTGAATCTGGACCCAAAGTTCGGTTCAGCTTCCTGTGGGAAAGATTTGCAGTGTGGCAGCACTAGACTGATAGATCATTCCTGGATGTGATGGTCTAATCTGGGTTATGTAAATGGCTTGCTCTGTTTGTCAGGGACAGATTTGCTGAATGGTGGTGTATTCGAGGGAAGAAATGTACGGGCGGGTATTGAAATAATGAGCTGGAAGAAGAAGTTCATTCTAGAACACTGGAAAGATGCAGAAGGGAGTGCTGCCGACAAGCACGGTTCAAATCTGAAAATCTTTCGAACACTCGGATGAAAACCCAACGGTTTTGCTGAGTGACAGCTTTACTTGGGAGAAGAAGACGTGGATACTTAGATATGTAAGTAAGGAATTCGGATCTGCCCTTCCTCGAGTTTCCTAGAGATTCAACTTCTTGTTGCGGTGACTAAAGCAGTATTTTTCTTGTTGCCAGTATCGTTACCTTCTTTCTGACTTCGTGACCGACGATGAGGCCTTCAGCATGACGTCGCTAAGTCCCAGAGACGGTACGGGACTGCCGATGACGATCTGGCTGACAACAAGCAAATACTGTCAGGAAAAGTACGCGCATCTAAAAGTGCAAAGTAACTACGATTGGAGAGCGCAGATGGGAAGTTGGTTCCGTGTCAAGCTCGAAGAGCCCATGGAAGTGATCGGAGATCCGCACCCTTTGACGGAGGACGATATCGCAGTTGTGAGAAAGTTCATGAGACTGAACAAAGAGTTACTCTGGGAGTTCTGGGAGGTGGAGTTTTGCGTTTCCAAACTTCTCGATAAGCTAGTGGGAATTTGAAGGGGTCCGTACTTTTCTTGCGTGAAAGACGCCTCCAGGATCCGAGCAGAATGGCTCGCTTGCACGACTATACTTACAAGGAAGTCTGTTTACAAATAGCTTACCGGTATCACCATACACTGGAGAGCTACATCGAACGCCGTTAGAGACTTGAAACCCGCCCTGAGGCGGCCTTCTCTATAAAAGTAGGTCACAGGCAAAAACCAGATGCGCCGAACAGCATTTTATCAGGCGCACCTGTGAATCGCCGCAAAGAATGTTATGATTCTTGCCGTATTAAATTAAGTATGCACTTCACTGTAAGGCATTGAATGGCCTTCGCTTGTCAGAACCGCGTTGCTTTTGCTGTTCTGCGAACGACGTGGGGAAAACATGGCTAGCAACGAAATTGGTGGTCCTCGCCAGAGTGGCATCCTTGCTTGGAACGTATATACCTGCACGGAGCTTGCTGAAACAAACATTGAATCAACGTTCATTGTCCGTCTGAACTCTTGCTATTGCAAAGTCATCTTTAATACAATGCGTTTCAAGATTTCCCCCCCGCTTTTTCTCTACGCGCGGCCGCGGTATCACACCTGACGCGCGGCACGGCCGCGCCTGCTAAGCCTCAAAACCCCCGGGTCGCGGTAGCGGCCGCGAGGCCATCGTCGGATATCAAAGTCTACCTATAAATTTCCGACAAAATAAAAGGCTCCGCATTGGCGCCATGCAGCATACCGGTAACTCTCGTGTGACCTAACGGGCGTGTGACCCAAGATACGAGTAACCCGGGCACCTCAAACTAAAAACCTAACCCAATTAATCAACCGCTCCGCACCCCAACCCACCCTAACCACCATACCAAGGCGCCCAACCCCACCCGTCTCCCGGGTGCCTATCTTAGGTCACACGGCTCTTAGGTCACACGAGAGTTATCGGAGTCCATGCAGCTGGCGGGGGCGCAGACTGCAGGGATGTTTCCCAGGTAAGCGCTTACGTGTGTACTTAATCCCCCGCCACGGAGAATGCTTTCTGAGTGCTTTTGATTGTTAAGCTGGTTTGATTTGAAATCGGGTTCCGGAATCACTGGAATAGGAGCTCGCAGTCAGCTGAAAGCTGGGATTGGAGTCGATTCCAAACGTCTGAATCCAACTTGAATCTGAGAGGATCCTTGCCATCGCCGCTGCGATTCAGCCTTTGCATCAGGGCAGGTGACAAGGTCGCTGACAAGATTGCTACCTTTTTCTCCAAAAATACCACCAAGTGACATTTCTTCCCATAACTAGGAGCCCGCATGCTGCAACCCGCTAAAAATAGTTCGAAGAAAGCTGCTGGCGAAAGTTGAGACCATGCACCAAGTGACATCTCTTCCCATAACTAGGAGCCTGTATGCTGCAAGCCGCTAAAAATAGTTCGAAGAAAGCTGCTGGCGAAAGTTGAGACCATGCACCATTCATTCTTAGCCGCCTTCCGTCGATCAGACGTTGACATTGATCCGTATAAACTGCAAGCATCCATCACCCATCCATCAACGAACGAAAGAAGAGAAACTTACACAAGTACACCCTTTCAGGAAATCCATTTTACGTGTCTGTAGGAGCAGGGGCGTCTTTGGGTGCGAGACCCTTCGAAGAGGAGCCTCTGCTCTCATGGAGTCTGGCCTCAGCCTGCCGACCATCCAAGGAGATAAGCAAGGCATTATAGTCCCAACAGCTAGTGTGGGGACAATCGGGGTTGCTGCTTGGAGTAGCGTGCTAACCGGAACATGCTCCTGCAAGGTGAACACAATTGTTGATTACAGCGTGTTTAGAAGATGATCGGGAAATGAGCTGCTTCGACCTTTCTTCGAATAAATCAGACGACGAAGTAACCAATCCGCGCTCTCACCGCAACGTCCAGTGATTCTGAATCTCGCTTGCAGATGGTTCCTCTCTTTGTTTCATCTGTGTGCGAGCGCCTTAGAGCGATCGACAAAACAACGTCTGGATACTACGATCTGATCTGGATAAAAACGGGATTTCGATCTTGTGAGGGACTTAACAAGATCCTCTGTAATCCTCTGTAATCATGAGCGAAGAAGGAGTCTTAAGAAGGGCGTGGCTGAAGAAGATGAGCATTGGCATTCTGGGTCAATCTGGATGACAATGATAGAATCTCACAGGTCCAGCAGCACGTCTGAAACTGCAACCAAGCTCCAGCTCACAATCCCAGACGGCAAAGATGAAGTTTCCTGAATCCTTGGCTGAAAGTTTCACAAGGTCCGACAGAAAGCTTCTTCTCTGACACTCGGAGATGGAGGACCGCTGGAAACAGTTATAGGCATCTCAAAATAAGTGTGTCATAAGTTACCAGATTGAGTAGCCCTCCACCCAGAATGAGAGATTCTCGGATGCTCGGATTACCGTGACATTGTCGATCCGCGCGTATCACGTATCCTGAAGTGAACCTCCTGACTAAATTCTTCTTCCTAAGGTGACTCAAAGACTAGTTTCCTTGTTGCCAGGACATGTACCGTTACTATCTCGGCGATCTTGTGAGCTAAGATGAAGCCTTCAGCATGACGTGGTTGAGTCCAAGCGAGACGGGACTGCCAATGTCCATCTGGCTGACAACAGGAGAGCTTTCTCAGGAAAAGTATCCACATCTGAAAGTGCATAAGTTTGAACATTGGAAAGCGATGGGAAACTGGTTTCGTGTCAAGCTCGAAGAGCCATTGGATGTGATTGGAGATCCCTTCCCTTTGACGGAGCTTGATCTTACAGTTTTTAGGAAGTTCATAAGGATAAACAAGGAGATACTTTGGGAGCTGGGAGGTCGAGGACTTCAACATTCCCAGGTTTTTCAAGGTCCTGGTGAAATTTGAAGGAGCTTATCCTTACCTACTTTCTCTTACCGCGTGAAAGGTCCAAGTAGATGCCACATCAGAACGATACATGCACATGAGAAAGGAAGATTCGCTGAACTTGGAAATGCATGCGTTGAACGAGAACTGCAGAGAGCCAAAGCAGTCCTACAAAAAGAGGATGCTAGTACATTGAAAGCTGCTGATCTCTTCATCTCTGGACGGATCGGAGACGTAGATGCATAGGTGCATTACTAGGATGTTTGATTTTCACACTTCGAACGCAAAGGACCACATGGGGCCATATCCAGGGCTGATCTGCTTCAAAGTCTTCAAGGCTGCTGTGAAACTCTGCTTTGAGATAGCAGGCGCTCAAACAATGATCTGTTCAAGTTAGCGAAAGGTACGTTGTGGGGAACAGCCTTCGGCTTCGGCTCAAAGACTTCTTAAGGTCAATGGTCCGAAAGACAGCGGTGCAACATTGCTGGTCAAGCAGCCAGTCAAGAGCCAAGTTTTGCGCCGCAACCCACTGTTGAGATAAGAAAGTCAACAGCAAAGCGATGCGTCCTGGTAATCTGAGCTGCTGGAGAGCACACATGCCAAGCTGACCATGCTTACTATCTTCGACGTCCTCGAAACGTCTGGTACCCGCAATCGTCACGCGGCGCAACCTTATCTCATTTAGCATACGAGAAAATGAAGTAATGCAAACAATAATCGCATCCAACCAATGACCCCGAAGGATCAGGATGTGAGCGGCCATCAGAAATTGAGTGACTAGCTTTTCTTGACGTAACGAAGACTTCGTATGCCCGATATGCTTAGAAATATACGCTTCGACCGTACGCGCACAATCTCAGGTGCATCAATCATCCGAGTAGCTGCCGCCTTACTGAAGTCATCATAGATTTGGCTAGTGTACGGATATGGACATGATGCAGCAAACCTGCGCCTCGCCTCGTTCTCACGAGTCGTTGACAGCCCGCTTGTTCTCAATTTATTCGTTGTTCTTGCTGTGGCACACTGATCTGAGCGAAGTATCATGCATGACGCATCATGATCCCATCTGATACTCGCAGTGACAAACAATCGTAACATATATAGTCCCCAAGTCGATTTTGTCCACCATGTTGGGACGCTCCTTAGAATTGTTGCAATTAACCACAATTCGTGGTCTTCGGATTATGTTGACTTAGCCAGACCACAACCATCTACGTGTCCAACGCGAGACTTGCGCGTTGAAGCTTTATGGAAACCCGTCACATGCGCCGGACTGCAATATCATTGAGATGCTCGTTGCTCGCCAGAACCAACGGGGATATTGTCGTCATGAACTGACAATGCTTTTTGAATTATCAGCAACTCAAGGTTGTCCACTACTGTTGATTCGCGCGCGCGCAGTATCATTATAAATATCCTAGTCAATTGTTGCTGAGTTGTTGTACGTTGATGACCCCGATGAGAATTGCACTTGCGGCTCCTAAAGAAATGACGCTGCCTACAACGATCTGGTGCCTACGCATCATCTCATTTCGGTGCAACAAGTAGTAGAAGAGACTAGGTAGCAGCAACGAAGAGCACATGCTAGCAACGCCCCCAATGAAACTTAAAAGTAGACCCAAGACGTCATAAAAGAATATAGCAACTGCATAAGCTAACAGCAGAACTGCTGTTCGGAGACCCCTTTCTAACAAGGATGACACGTGGCCTTGTGCTCCCCCTTGTGTCATGTCGATTAGCAGGTCGCCCAAGACAAGAACTACCGGCGGGGTAGTTGAGAATGCGCTAAGAGCGAGCAGGGCTGAGAGCACTTGGGCTAACCTAACTCGAAAAGCGCCGAACCGCAAGATGACCCACTTTGAAATTGCGCTTGACTTGATGAGATTGTGGGTCACCAGAACGTCGCAGCTCTCGCCAAAGTACTGGTAGGAAAGGCTCCCCATTACAGCGTACAACAAAAACATGGATCCAAAAGCAACGTACAAACACCTCCCAAAATGCTGCGGGCGCCTCATACTTCTCTTCAAAGAGGGCAGCGACTGGTGGCCTGAGAGCGACACGAGCATCACACCAATTCCGGTTGGCAGTGATGGGGCCCTGAGGAACGTGTGCTGGTGTGATCCCTCCCCACTCACGTGCGCTGATGTTGGGTCAATCACGACAGTGCCCACCATGACAGCTGTCAGCACGAGACTGGACACTACCCCAGACACTGCTATCACTGTCAGCTTTGAGAAACCCCGGAGCCAGATTGCCGGGAGTAGCGCCACCAAAGTGGCTAGAATCACGGACTGCCTAGGATCTAAACACACGAGCCCCAGGCACACTCCCCCGCTTGGGGGAAAGAGCACAATCAAGGACTGCCAAATGGATAACAGCAGAATACAGGTGTCGCCGAAGAACTCCGTGACGGAGACCAGAAATACCCCCCACTGCCCCACCGCACCGCCCGCCAGGAAACCCAAGGCTGGGTAACTAGGTGCGGTTTCCCCGGGCAACTTCTCAAAGGACGCGCACAGGAGCTGAGCGCTGAAGCAGAAGACGGCGCTGAAGAGGAAGAGAAATAGGAGGGTCGCCCAGCCGCCTAAAGCAAATGCGTGCCCGATGACAAAGACTCCGATGCCCATGTATAGGTTGATGATGTTGAAGATCGTCTGGAGCTGGTTTGCGGTGCCCGCACCCGCCAGTGCCCGGCCGTCGATCGCTTCGAGAAGATCTAGCTTTGTAAAACCAAGAGAAGAGCTCTGGGCCTTGCCTAGCAATGGATCTTCTGCATTCGAGATGATGTCAACCTCAGCATTGCGCGTCTCCTGTTGGGAAAGTCTGGGGGGGATGTGTGCAAGAGGAGCCTTGCCGCCCTCGGTTAGCAGCAGAGGGTCGAGGGAGTCGTCTGCATTGGGTGCAGGAACCATGGCTGTGATCAAGAAATGATTGCTGAAGTGGGCTGGTTGAAATTGGCCAGGTTCATATGCTGCATCCGCGGGACAGATGTTTTGCCGCCAGCTAGCGCTCTAGGGTGGGTTATCTATGCCTTGTTCTTCTCCACAGAGTCTTGGAAAGACCATGAGCCAAAATGAGAGGGAAGATGAGCTAGGGGGAAAGCGCAGATCGACCCCCTGATCAGCTGGATCTCCTTCTTCACTGTCGATCAGAGCATTAATTTGCAACAGGTGCACTCGGCGAATAGCGTATAAGACTCTCTTGAGGGACCCCTCTGAAAACAGCCGGCAAACCGTTCGATCGTGCTGCTGTCACCTTTCTTTGCGTCGATGGTTCAAACTACTGGCCTCCCCACGCTTGTAAGACATAAGCTATGACTTCCAAAAGCGTGCCTGCATCCACTTTCGCTGCAGTGGTGCATACCTATGTTCTTGGTTCTCCTCGCGTGCAGACAATGATTGCACTGATGTCAGCCACATGGTCAAAAAAGTTGGCGGTGAGCGATCTTCTTTCGAGCAGCCTGATAGGGCGGTCACATATGAACATTGTGTGGCAAGCAATCCTTCAACTAAAACTTCGTGAATTGAGTCGGTCGGCCTAACAGTCTTCTTAGAATTTCTTGGACAAAGTCATGGGTATCATATTTGGGCGGCCGGCCCCTGACGGGCGGCCCGCCCGCAGGAAGAAGAAAGGTGCGGGGAGGCGGAAGAAGAAAGACGAGTTCCTGGATTCAAACAGGAAGCACATGGACTTGGATGAGGACGAGGAGGAACCAAAGCTGGCGCTGAAGGAAGTGTATAAGCTTCTGGCGCAGCGGAGACTGGCGACGAGGTGAGGTGGTCGTGATAGGCGTGCTGTGTAAACAGCGCCTTCAGCATTCTGCTAGTTGGCCGGAGGCAGACGGGACAGCGCCAATAACAAACGACGGCCATCGCGCTTGTTCATTCTGGACAATCTCGTTGAGTATCGAGACTAGATTCCTCGTTGAAAAGACTCACCCTCTGATCCGCATTCACTGCTGGGTGCAACGCACGGTTTCAATGCATCATTACCGCTGCCTTGTGGGAGTAGCGGCCACTCGCACTGTACTGGTTGAGCTCTGGTGCTCATTCATACCACACCACCCAACCATCAGAGCAGATATTAACAAGTTGGTCCAATATAATTTATGGTTAGCCCCGGGAAGTTACGTCCACCACTTGTTTTGTTAAAAGCTGCCACCAAGCAATCAGCAGCTGCTGGATGACCTCTCATAACCATCCGTATTGTTTGTTGCATGGCTCAAGGAAAATGGTTTGTGGCGCTGTCTGAAGATACAGATCTAAAATTGGAGCCTGGAGCGCGTCAATGAGACCAGTCATCAGCCTCTTTTATCTCCAGCTTTTCTCACTTCCCTTTTCGTGCATTAGCTGCGCAGACTCAAGTCGTCCTGGAGCACACCACATCAAATGCTCTTTTATGCACATCACCTAAACGACGGCAACAAGTGGCAATCAATGCTCTTAAAAACCAGCTCGTGGCGGCAAGCTCCCGGCGCCTACTTGCAACAAGACGTCGCATGACAGAACCTTTTCAGATGCCCACAACTGAAAGGGCGTTATTCAAACAGGTTTTTGTTCCCACTCTCAGAAAAACGCTGTCTGTCGCTCGGTGGCACCCGAACCGGGGCCTGGCGGAGGCGTTGGTGATGAAGGGCAACATGTGGCAGAACATGGGCATCGTGCGCCAGGGCCGTATCTTCTGTCAGCCCGAGGAGGCGCTGTGAGTCTGCCGCCTCATTCCGCCGGATCGCTTCTTCCATCTTCGGACATCTGTTTCTGTTTGTCTGTGAACGTGTTTTGGATTGTCCCGTAATTCGTTCGTCATCCTTAGCGAGTTGGTCCCTGTCCTTGCTTATGTTGAAATCTGATCCGGTCATGCAAAGCAAATAAATGTCTGGCGAGGCACTTGATTGAGAAGCCAAGGAAGTGGAGCAAACGACTGACACCTTGTTTGCCAGAGGCATAAAATCCAGGTACAGGATTCTGCAACCAGCAATGTGCGTCTGTGTCCTTGTCGAACAGCAAGAAAACCAAGTTTTGAATATCGTACATTCTTCTCTAACTTTGGGACTAACCCCAGTTTGCATCTTGGCACCAGCCCTTGGCACCAACCCTGGCACTAACCCAGAATCTGCATCCCTCAGGTACATGGTCGAGCGCGGCAGCCTGTTGCTTCTGTTGGGTTCCGAGCCCGCATCCGTTCAGCAAGTCCACTCCCTTTTGCTGCACCAAGGGCGGCCGCTACAGGCTTATCACGTGTACTGCAATTTGCGGAAACTCGGGTACATTTTACAGCGATACGACATGCCGTGGGTGTATCCCGTCTCTCAGAATCGGCGGAAGGTGGATGGGGAGAAGAAAGGGGAGGAAACGGGGGAGAATGGGGAGGTTAGTAGTGAGACAAAGGGTGTTGCCAGTGCGAAAGGAATTGAGGGGGGAATTGTCGAGACCAGTAAAAATGGAGGGGCAGAGGCAGGGGTGAAAAATAAGAAGGAAAAGGAGGGGGGGGGGGGCAAGGAGAAGACGGATAAGAAGGAGAAGAAAGAGAAGAAAGGAAAGAAGGAGAAGGGGGATGGGAGCAAAAAGGGACAGGGGAATGGAGCTGGAAGCAAAGACGGGGCTGGAAACACTGAGGAGAGCTTAGGGGGAGCGGGAGGGGCACTTACGGAGCAATCTGCAAATGCGGGGCCGAGTGCAGCAACCGAACCTGGGGAGGGGGAGCGAGAAGAGGGGACTTTGAGCGAGAGGGGGATCCCTCAGGAGGGGGTCCAGGCAGAGGTTTGTAGTGGGTCTGCTGAGCCGCTGACTGAAAACACAAGCGAATCTTTGGCTGAGGGGACGGTTCGTGACCCCCCTGAAGTTGCGGCGCAATCAAATGGAAACGACGGAGTCCTTTTGCAAGATGGAACTCTTTCTTCGGCCCGAGACGACGGGGAAGGATCGGTTAGCAGCGCTACAACTAAAGAGGCGACCATTGTCGAGGTACAGGACGCAGACCCCGATTCTCAACAAGATCCGCCGGAATTCCAGGGGGATCCCTCCAACTCCGAAGTGGGTACCTCCGTCCCCGAGACAGACCTCGGCCTTTCTGAAGAAGCAATCGCCAATGCTGGCACAGAAGACTTCCGGAAAGGCCCTGTTGAGATTGCGCCGACCGGACGCAAGAAGGGAAAACCGGGGCCCCTTGACCTGAACGAGGCCTCGACGTTCGTAAACCTGAACGTGAAAAACTATCACCCGCTCGCGCCGTACTTGTTCCTTGGACAGCCCAAGAAGCGCAAACGTGGGGGGCCCAAAACCGAGGGCGCGACAACTGGGGGGGACGATTCGCCTGGCGAGGCAGGGGGGGAGACGGAAGAAGCAACGAATAGGGGGGGTGCTTTAGCGAGCGTTGCTGCGGGGGAGTTTACGGAAGCTGCCGCGATGGCACAAGGTGTAGAGATAGGCAGCGGGGCTCCAGAAACGATAGAGTCGCATGAGGCGGGCGGTGCGCCGCGGTCGGATGACGTCACGATCGACATCATTGAGCCGCACGGCGAAGCACGCGACGCCCTGAGCGCGCCGACGTCAGCAGACGCGCCGGACGCGACCTTGCTGACGTCACCGGAGGAGGCGGTCCTCGAGTCGACAGTCGACATGGGCGCGTTGCACGCGTTGCTGGACCTGAGCCGGTGCACGATGCCCCCCCCCATTCCGAAACCGTCCACGTGGCAGAAGCTCCGATGGGGTCTGCGGCGCGCGTTGCGGTGGCGGTGGTGGCCCTGGATGTGGGGCCGGGGGGGGAAGCGGGAACTAGGCACGGGGAGAACGATGAAACCGTTGCAGCGGCTCACTCAGGACCAGCCACGTGGCACAAGACCCGCCCCTGGGAGAAGGGTGTTTCCGGAAGTTGGTGAGAACGCGGAAGTGTCAGTGGGTTCCGAAACGGGGGGTTCCGAACAGCAGGCGACCGAGGGGGGGGGAGCGCTTTACCCGGAGATGTGGGCGGCGGACGAGGGGGAGCGTTTGGCGCAAATACGCGAGCGGCGGTCGGTCGTGTATGACGTGTGGCAGCCGAACTCGCGGTTCCGCAAGACGGACCCGGGGCTCCCATTCTTCCGGCTCATCATCGCAGGGTAAGATTTTGCTGCTCCTTCTCACTCCTCCGTCTCCTTTTGTTCAAAGTTGCGTGATACAATATAACTTTTATCCCTTCATCGAGGCCCGATTCGCTTGCATCTGCGATGTTGTGGGCCTAACCATAACGTATACCCAGTGTAAGATTATCACTCCTCGAAAGAAGAGACACATGATAGGGTATTCAGCGGCAAGCCAGGGGTTTCGGGTGTATGTTACGGTCCTTAATCAAGCTTAGTGTAGAACAGGTGCTTCGGACGTGCGGAGGTTTGGGCTTGCTATTCTCAAAGTCCGCCAGGCCCTTTTGTAGTCTCCCGCGGAGCAGCAGAAGTTAGACGCACTAATAAGCCCCGTGCAGTCGGTGATCTGTCGTTGATACCTTCGCCAAGCTTCAGGGCCACCTGTCTTCGTCTCTGCATTCGCGGCTCAAAGAGACTTTCCACTCGGGATTGGGGGCTCGTACAACAATCCCTAAGCCTTAGGCAGTTCGCAGACGGCCGTGGCCTTTTGCGTCGCTCGTTTGCAAAACCAGAGCAAGATGGGGGCCAGGTTTGCCGCCCCACGTTAGACGAAGTGTGAGCAATATTACAAACGGGATGCGCACGCAATCCGTCACGCTGCGAACTTCAGAAGCTTTCTTGACGTCACGCGTTAGTAAGACTGACAGGATTACTGGAGGTCCCAATCGGGCCACCGCGGACGCTTGGAGCTGAAAGGAAGCTTCGTTTTGCAGGACTCAGCCGCCCACTCGGAAGGAGTTGCACTTGTACCGGGAACTTTATGGCGAGGAGGGCGTGCCCCTCAAGTACTGCTTCGTCGAAGTGACCGGGGCGTCGACGTTCTTCAGCTACGAGACGGTTGCGTTACCGTCCGTGGTCTAAAGTGTCGGTTGCCTGCTTTTGAAGTTTCGGAGCGCGCACGTACGGTAGCCTGTTCAGCATGGCATGGTATTGGGATACAGTTAAAGGAGCGCACATTGAGAAAGGCGAGCTAAACCGAGTCCAATTCCTGCCAGCCAGGCGATGAAGTTGACGCCAGCATTCAGATGACCACGCGTTATGTTGATCATTGGAGTAGTACAGCATTATGAGCGACCGTCTCTTATTATTTGTGCCCATTTGGTTTCAACAGGCAGGCAGCCAGTGCATTTACGCAATATTGATGCGCAAATGCATGGGGCCATAGACAATATCAAGCCTGAGACTCTATTGCTTATATGATCATTGGATAATGCACACATGTTCGATGCCGCCTATGTACGTATATAGACCATGCATATATGTGCGTGGGCCCCCTTCGCCAACTTGAGATCGAGGTAAACGAGATATATAATTCTCCGGCAGCGCACGTGGAAACAGATGCGTCCCTCGATCGCGCACTGGGCCCTAGGACAGAAAAACTTTGAGAAGGGCCGGCCTCATATAGTGGCATGCGTGAGTTTTGCCATACGCAGCCGCGGCGCAATGAGAACCTTTTGCCAGCCTATAAATTCTCATACACTCAGTCTTGACAACCTGAATGAACTTGCTGAAGGCTTAGGTGTAGCAGCACCCACGCAAGCTCCATACGCAGGCATGCTGTGGTGTGTGCTCGTCCAGTATCTCAACAGTTCCGCGGCTCCGTCAACTAGAAGGATGCTCATTCACTTTCTCGTCTTTACTCGTTACTTTGATCTCTTCTTCCTGAGAACCGCTTTGCACTGCGGCTTCTTCTGGCGACTGATCAGCAAACGACTCCTCGCTAGCCCCCTCCTCATTCCCTGAGCTCCCTTCTCCTTCCCCCTCGGTTCCAGGCTCGCTATCCGCCCCCTCTCTGTCAGCTCCCTCCTCCTCTTCCATTTCCACTTTCTCTACCAGCTTCCTTTCTAGTACCTTTTCCAGGACCCCCACGATATGGGATGCCTTGGGGCGAAGAGCCGCGTCGCCAACGGTGCAAGCGTAGAAGACGCCCACGAGGGCCCGCAAAGACAGGGCCTCCTCATCCTCCCCGGGAATTGACACAAGGAGGTCTTCCAGGCTGGAATGCAGGGGTTGCGGACGCAGCTGGTGCATGTCCGAGGGCAGGTCGGGGCGACGACCAATCTGCCGGCCCGCAAACAATAGAAAAGAATCAGAGCCCGAAAAGCATAAACAGAGCCCGACAAGAACTTGAAGGCTCCCATATTCATGGCAATCACGGGAAATTAATGCGCTCACGACTTCTTGAAAGTTCAAGCATTCTACGGAGCGCTAGAAAGGACATTCCGATCTGAAATCTAGGAACGGCAAGGAGGTAAGGTAAACGATAAGAGGGAACCCCCAAACTGAATATTGTCGTGAATGGTTTGTAAAGCATCGAGAACGTATATCCTTGAAAGCGAGGACTCCTACAGAGGATCGGTGATAGACATAAGTTTCGTAGCATTTGGTTTTCGGTCACTGCAAGGCGTGATCGGGAACGCAGAATTACGAAGTGACCAAGTAATGCATTACAACCAAGTCACCAAAGGATGCATCACCTGAATCCATGAGTGCACCTGGGCTTCTGTCAAACCGCTGTACGGGGGCGCAAGTGTCAGCATCTCCAGGACGACGCAGCCAAACGACCAGACATCAGCTTCCTGCAGAGCGAAAGAAAGCGGTCAGTACCCTAGGAGTGTCGGTGCTCCGTTGAACATCCCAGCTAAATTCTATACCAGACTCGTAACGAGCTCGAGTGTGCTCACCAAAAGGACAAGGGAATGTTTTTGAAAGAAAACGGTTGGATTACGAATTTGCGAACCTGCCCCAGAGAAGTGTTTCTTCTGGTGCGAGCAAAAGGGAGCTTGATCAAAGTAGCAGGCAACTTGCACCATTTAAAGAAGCTCAGCACGTCAGCAACAAAGCAGCCCAGAAAGAGCGTTCCTGCAACCTTCACCTTTATCTGGCATGGAAAAAGCTGGCACATCAAAGTGTCTTGAAACGCGAACAAACTCAAGCCCGCGAATCAGATGCAGCCTGTCGAGCTTCTAAATGAAGAAGTTCCAAAGGGAGAAAGTGACTCACGGTTCCATACGGATGCCGGCCGTACATGGCCCTCAGGACGTCCGGCGCCATCCACCTCGGCGTCCCGACGCACACGTCCGCCGGGGGGTTCCCTCCCAGCGCAAAACTCCCCCCCAGATCCGCCGAACTCGACCCCACCGGCACCGCGCTGCTGAAGTCGCACAGCTTCACCCGGGGCGTTCCCCCGGGCACTACTTCCACTAGCACGTTCCCCGACTTCACGTCCCGGTGGATGATCCCCCGTGAATGAAGAAAGCTCAACCCCCGCGCGAGCCGGAGTGCGATTTGAACCGCCAGCAAGGGGGGCAGAGGCGCCTCCAAACCCTGGTCGGACCGCCGTCTGATGAGCGCCTCAAGCGACCCCGACTGGAAGTGTTCGAGAAAGATTCGCAGCTCGTGCGGCGAGCTTCCGCTTTCGGACGCCCGGATCTGGTGTCCGTGGCACCGGACGATGCACGGGTGGGGCCCCAGGCTGTACAGCGTCCGCAGCTCGCTGAGGCCCTGTGGGGCGCAGGCCGCCCGGTTTTGCCCTGTGGCGCCTGCCGCCGAGCCCCGTGACAGGGCCCCGGACGAGACCACTTTGGCGGCGACCGTGGCGCCGCCGATCGTACACCGCCGGACGACGGCGCCGGAGGATCCCCGTCCGATCTCTTCGTGAAGCGCAATCTCCTCAGCGGCTGTCCCGTTACTCGCTGGAAAAGCAGCCCCAAAGTGCTCGATATTGATCCGTTTGAGCGGAAGGTACCGAACCGCCGTGTCACCCTCGCCCTCGTTGTGTATCCGCCCCGGCCGGCACGCGTCGACCAGCAATCGGCGTAGCTCCCCCTCCTCCTCAAAGAGGACCATGTTCCAGGCGTGAGGCTCGTAGTCTAGATAACCACGCACCAGCTCGCACTTAATTAAAGGGCTCGCGCGGTCGCACAGGTACTTGAAGAGGATCGCGCGGTGCCGGCAGATGCCGACCGGGAGGGCCCCGATCGGCACGACGTTCGACCCCCGCCGCTGCTTCAGGAAGCGCACCGCGCCCTCGCACAGGGCCCGCAAACCCGGCAGCGCCGCCGCTGCTTGCGCCGCCAGGCTGGCGGAGCCCGCGCCGGGTGAAGTCATCGAGTGGCTGGATGACGTCATCAGGGGGCTGCGCAAATTGGGGGAAGGGATGCTGAGAGTCGCCCGACGAAAGGTGACGAGGTCATCGCTGCGGTCGCTGCCGCCGAAGCAGTCGGAGACGAAGAGCGCGAGCGCGCGCGCGCTGTGCTCGGTGCTGGAACACGCGGGTTGGAGGTTGGAGAGGAGGCTCCGGGCGGAGCTGGCGATGACATCAAGGTCCTCGTCACGGGCCCTGCACCGGTAGGTGTGATTCTTTCGTCTGGAAAGCAATCACTATCTGATTGGCCGAATCGGACGAAGTAGAGAAACACTTTCTGCTCAATTGATGAGTTCAGAGAGAAAGGGCAATAGTAACCTGCTGGATCCGCACCGACACGAAAATGGCAACGATGACGTCAAGCAAAGGTTGAAGTTGCCTCGAAGGCACCCTGAAGAGGCAATATTCTATGAACTGCTTCTTGGAGACCAGCAGCGGACAGCTTTACAAGTGAACCAGACGAACTCGGGTTCCAGACCTGTCTTGAAAGCGAAAACAGCAGATGGTTGAAAAGTTTCAACTTTGCGGTGGATACTACAAGAAGTATGGCTGCCATGATCTTTCGTCACACGTAGAGGCCGCCAGGACGGATGCCAAATATGCACGCACCTGTCCACGAGGATGACCTCCCGAGAATGCAGGCAGGGCGCCTCCCGCTCAAACTCCTCCAGTGACCGGAACGGCCTGTCCCTCCCTGGGTCGTAAAACCCGTCGTGCAACCGATCGTCCACCCCACAAAGCGACTCCCGATGGTATTTCTCAGACACTGGAGAAGACTCTAATACCGCCCTCCGCCGCTTGGTTGGCTTTGGATTCCCGTCCCGCCTCCGCACATGCTTCCGGCCCAGCGCCATCTCCTCCTCCTCCCATTCCTCACATTCGCTATCGCTATGCGCTGATTCTTCCCTGCTTTGCGACCTTCCCATCCGAACCCTTTCCTCTTGGCCATCCCCATCGGGAGCTTCTGCCTCGTTCTCGCAGGCCGCAAGCCCCTCCTCAATTTTGGGGGTGCCGGGGGGCTCTTGCTGCAGTGCCGCTGCATCTTCGATGTTGGCCGGGTCACTCGCTCCATCGTTGGCACCCGCAGCGAGCTCCTCAGCCTGCAGCGCTACGTCGTTCATCTTCAGTTCCCGCTCGAGCCCCGGCTCTTCAGCATCTTCCCGAGCCGCATCCTCAATCGAAATGTCGTCCTCAGGCTTTGGCGCTGCTCCTCCCTCCCCCTCCCCCTCGCCTACGTCCCTGCCTTCTCCACCCAAGCTGTCCTCTTCTAAGGGAGGTATCACGTCAGCCATTCTGCACTCCCTTTCTGTTGGGGCGTCTTCTTCCCAAGCCTCAACATCCTGACGCTCCCGTTTTCGGACAGGGCTCTTTACCCGTGACTCTGCTTGAAATGCATTATCAAGATGCGGCAGCTCTACAGAGGGGCGTTGCAAGTCCGTCATCTCCTTATCTACAGACGCATCTTCTGCTTTGATTTCTGGCTCCGTTTCCTCGTCTGACGGTCTTTCAAGAAGCTCCAGCCCAAAGTTGTCACTTGTCAGGAGCTCGTTGCCCTCCAGATTGCAGGTCACCCAGGCTGGTTCTTCAACTTCCTCTTGCAGATCATTGTACTGCAGAAAAGACGGATTAGATTCTTAAAAGGATAAAGAAATGTTGTACAGGTGACAAGGAGAATCTGCAATCCTCTCTCTCTGTCCTGAAGCCAGCAAAGCTCATGTTAAATCCCAGGAGGGCAAGCTTGTAAGATACAAACAATGAGTGCACCAGGAGTACAGCTGCTTGAGTCGAGGAATCCAGCACGAAGCTCTGTCCATCTTAAAAAGGTGACTGCAAATGTTCACTTCTCATAGCCTGACAAACCCACTGGTACGAACCAAAATACTGCGGGAATCAAAGCACTCACCTGTAGATCCAAGTACGTCAAGGATAGCAGCTTGGCGAGGTTGACTGGCTTGATACTTGTCAGCTTATTGTGACTGAGTATCAGGATTTCCAGGGACACCAGGCGCTCAAGCTCCGCAGGCAGAGGCGATGCAATTCTGTTGCTGCTCAATCGCAGGACTTTCAGCCCCACAAGGCTGCCAATCTCGGAGGGGATGCAGGAGATTCGGTTGAAACTAAGGTCAAGCTCTTCGAGGCTTGTGAGAGCCACAATCTCAGGTTGAATGTGACTGCATAAAGCAGGAAGTTGGGGAAGTTGTCAATGAAAAGTCTTATGCTTCTCTATTGATTACAGCCTTTTCTTAGATTGTAGTGCAAGATACACATATCAGTGATTGGAAACAAGGGAAAGGGAACTGTTGAAGCACGCCATGAAGAGCTTTGTTATTGCGCCTTTTGATATCTTGCATTCTACAACGCAGTAAGTTCTTTTTTAACCTCCCATAATAAAATTATTCCTTTCTCCAACGGTGTATTATTCTAGGATCATATGAGCATCTTTAGTCAGAACTTGAGATGGAACCTTCCATGAACAAGGATTGGAAGCACGAGAGCCAGCAAACTTACGTGATTGCATACTGCGTGACCACAAGTCGTCGAAGAGCAGATAGATTCCCTTGGTAAGCAGGCAGCCTTGGTGTCAACAGCTTCACCGGGAGTTTGTGTATGTCAAGATCCTGTGTAGCTTCTGCTCCGTGGTGGTCAGGAAGCTCAAGAATATTGCGCTCAGGAATTTGCAAAGCACGTTTTTGGTGGTGCTTCAGGAGCCCTTCCTGCTCAGGCAAAACCTGAACCTCCTTGGCAAAGAGCGTTAAGACCCTGAGAGACGGCAGCTTCCCAAAGCCAGGCGACAAAGAGAAGGAGCCCCTTTCTAAACGTCGCATAGGCGGCCCGTCTTCTGCAACTCCAGTGCCACCCCTTTTCCGAAGAAACGTACTTGCCAGGTTTTCCTTCGCGAGGATGGGGAAGCGTCCACCAGAAATGTCAAGCACATCTAGCACTTCTGCTTCTGAAGGCTCGGCATCAGTAACCAGGTGACTCGCAGTAGCACCTGCCATCTTATCGTGCCTCGTTTCTGACCACTTTCTGGAGCTTTGCGGCTCCCTAAGGTTAGAGCTTTTAAGCACCCCAGCTTTTCACCAACTCAACAACCATCTTCCGTGCCGCCTCGTGAAACAATCTCATCCTCTGCATCAGGTGCCTACCACACCAGCTCGCCAAGCACTTTCACAACAGACTATAGTTGGTTGTTCGGAGCTTGATTGCTTCCCCCGCAGGCTACACCAGATTAGGTAGGTGCCACCAGGGTGGTACTGCCGAATTCTTTTCTCTGGCCCTCCGCACATTCCACCTCGAGGATGCACCACAGGAGCCTCCTTTACAAGCTGGGCCCTTCGGACCCTTCCTCAGCCTGTTCTGAAGACGTAACCATCTTCCCCAGAACTTGAAGCAGGCCAAACCCTGATTTAGACCCGCGGTAACCTTTGACGGCATGCAAACCGTTTTGACGTGCCCACCCGGGTACACGTCACGCAAATTGAAACGAGACCAATTTGGATACGGTCAGCCACCGCCTGACGAGACAAAGCCATCTACAATCGGCGGTTATTTTAGAGGTACCTTAACCCTTGGTTTGTGGACCGCGGGTTAGTCGAAGGTGGAAAGAAAGTTGCTGAACCGCGTCTGCATTGATTCAATCAATTCTTGGCACTCAGATCTGGACGCCATCGCCACCTTCCTCAACCTGTCGCCATGGCTTCTGCCTGCATTGCCTCCTCGGCCGTGAGCTCTTTCGTTGCTCTGACGGCCCCCTCCAGTCTGAGGACTGAGGCTCCTGCCGGTGTTCCGGCCCTGCCCGTGCGTGGGTCATGCGCAGGATCGAGCTTCAATGGCAGAAGCCTGCGCCTCGCAAAGGCAGTTTCAGGTAAAAGTGTGCAAGTTATGCAGCTTCTGTGGAGGAGCCCCGTTCGAGAAAGGGAATCTCAGTGAATCCTGTCTGGATCTGGAGCATATTCGTCGAACATGTCTTGTGCATGGCCAGAGGAAAAAGCGTGCGATCCCACATGCGAAAATGTTGAACAGAGTTTAGCGAAACCCTCGGTAACTCACAGGTAGGGGCCTTTTTACTCTGGTAGAAAGACTACTCATGCAGACTCTTTGTCGACTTTAGCAGCTTGGATTGCTGACTATGATGCTTTGTGTTTTTAGGTGCTCGCTACCCATCCCGCACCAAGATTTCTGCCAAGCAGGTCGAGGACCCAGTTGAGAGTATCGACGCGCAGACAGAGGACCTCTTGAAGGATCTCCAAGAGAAGGTGTGCGCTGCACGAATTAAGGAGCAGCCTGGTATTCATGATCTGGAAAACTGCCTATTTGATTTCAGATAGCATGTTCAAACAATTCTGATTGACTTAGTATGTACATTGACAGTGTGCTTGGAGTTGCATTGCAGTTCCGAGTCTGAGCATCTCCAAGCCCTCAACTCTGACATGCTTTAGTAACTTCAATCGATCATCCTTTTTGCAGTGGGACAAGGTGGAGAACAAGTCGTCTGTGTACCTGTATGGTGGAGGTGCACTTGTCGCCCTGTGGCTGTCATCCACAATTGTTGGGGCTATCAACTCTGTCCCTCTGGTGAGAGCCTTTCCTTTGGTTTTGTTCAGTCCCTCCTTAGTTGGATTTGATTCACTTCTGGGCTCAAACAATCAGGAACGCATTGCAAGGACAAAATTGCTTCTATTCTGTACACATTAAGAGCGCTCGTGGTTTCTGTACACATTAACAGCGATATGGCTCCGTATATGACTGTCCACAGGTAAGGAATGGGTTCTCTTGCAATGATGGCGGGTATGTTGCGAGGAGTATATTGCTCTAAGTTGGTACCGACTTTGTCTCGTTTTCATAACTTAAGAGCTGCCGCCAAGTGGCTGGAGATTGTTGACCCTCATTGATGGCAGTTTGGTGATCGGCTTGCATTCTGGGCCTGATGAGCGACTCTCATAGCAAGCGTCCCGGGATCACTCCATGCACGTCAAGTGCCAGGCTTGCTCATGTTCCGCAAGTTAACGAGCGCTGCAGAAGGCATTGACTTTCCTGCAAATTGATGACGGATGTTCCTTGTTCTGCAGCTGCCGAAGTTTGCAGAGCTGATTGGATTGGGATACACCGGCTGGTTTGTGTACCGGTACCTCCTCTTCAAGGTAAGAGTCTGTTTCTACCTTGCATGGAGCAGGTTGAAAGTTTCGTAATGTAGCAGAGCCTCCTCAACCATGGCAGGCTTCGGCTTTCTCAGCAAAGCGTCAGAATGTATCTTGCCCTGCAGGACGTGACCAGAGGATCTTGGTCTCTGTTGACAGGAAATGCATGATGTCCTGATAGCAGGCAGCCCAGCTTATGCTTTCGCCCTGTGATTTTGCAGTCGAGCAGGAAAGAGTTGTTGTCTGACATTGAGGAGCTGAAGGGCAAGATCACCGGCGCCAAGGACGAGGTCCTCTAAGTGGCAGCCCCTCAACATTGCTTGAATAGCAATGCCTCCTATAGAGTTCGTTTGTGATAGACTTTGAATCCAGTGCCCCAGACATAAAAGTTTACATAGGATACCGTACGGTAGGAAGATTTTGAGTATCTCATCATGCATGTAACCTTCCTGGAAGGACCCTTCATGGTGAGAATCTAAAAGTTTGTGAATGCCTCAACCTGAGAAGCCATTTTTGGTGAAGCCCAGCCAACAAGCATAAACCTGTGCATTGTCACGCATTGACATGAAACCGAATTTACAGTGGCATGCTCATACACTGGATGCGAGCAGCTTTCATTTACCATGACAAGCGTCGGCAATTTAGCTTGAGCTGTGATTGGCAAGACTGTCGAGAAGATTTAGGTGGGTAGGAGCGCTACAGAACGCTATGCGTGCTGCACATGCATATCGGAACAGCTTTGAGTACACAATGTGGAATCGATTGCAATCATGAATGTACAGGCGTGCATGTGCACATACGAGTACATTCAGCCAACCGTCCCCCATATTGCAATTTCAGGACCGGTACTCGCTGAATCGTTGTGAAACTTAAGAATCATCCATGCATGATAGCATGATTGGCACTGTGCACTGGCTTAGTACTCGTGCATCAAGCTTCCTAACCAAACCTAGATCTCATACAGTGTCAACGTCCCTAACTTGTTGTCTGCATGTCTCTGACCTACAACTTGTCAACCTGGTCATGCAGGCCCTAGGGCTGCACTGCAAATTGCGATTAGCTCAGCATCTGTGGACTCTCTTGTGGACTCTAGGACAACGTCACCGCAGGCCACCTGCTTGTCAATCACCAGACAGTCACCAAGGAATTAATTGTGTCATTCAAGTACCATTCGTCTAGGCTGACTTCCTACAACATGCAAACCAATCTTGACCTCACCAATCATACCTGGTCTGAAACTTCGTCCCTGACCTGCGGCTTCCGGCAAAGCAAAAGCAATCACGACTGCTTCTGCTTGGCGCACTTTCCTCTCAGCCCCTCTCGTCATCCTGATACACCTGCGACCTGGGAGGCCCCCGATACTCATTCTCAGCCCTCCGATATCCATCCCTCCCGGGTCCCCCGAACCCTGCACTGCCACGCCCACTTGAATAGCCCCCTCGTCCGCCAAAATTTGCTGGCCCCCGGCCAAAACCGCCGCCCCGGTCTGGCCTCCTCCCCAGGGATCCCTCACCAGCGGGCGCCTTGTTCGGGCCACCCCAGGGGGAAGCTCCGGGCCCCCTGCCCTGCCCCCCCGACCCGAAACTGGTCGACCGCGAGAAAGCTTCCGCAAGCTGGAGCGACGTCAAAGGCGCTTCCCACGGATCCTTCTTCGCAGAGGCGTCGATAAGCGCCGAACGGATCGGTGGGGACGCGGGCTTCGCCTGGCGCCACTGAGCGCCCCCCCGGTTGTCTCCGAAGCTCGCGGCTCGAGCAAACCCTCCGCTGCCCTGTCGCTCGAACCCCCCCCCGTTGCCCTGCCTCTCGAAACCCCCCTCAGGCTTGCCGTTCGGGGATCCCCGGAACGCCCCTCCATCTTGCAGTCCCGGTCGTTCTGAGCCATCTCTCCAGCCGTTCCGGGTCGGGCCGTTCTCCCGGAGGTCGCCCCCGGGGCGCCGCTGAGCCTCGGGTACGTACCGCTGAGCCTCGGGCCTGACGTACCGGTCCTCCCGGGGCTCTTCGCCGAGCTTGCCCCACTTCTGCTTGTCAGGGCTTGCAACTCGAGCTGGGGAGGGCTCCGGCTTTGGACTGTCAAAATGAGACTAGGAAGGGTCAGTGCAGAGATTGTATTAGTGCCGAGCGGGATTGCTCCGAATCCGATCAATTTTGAAATCTGATAATCACGCAAACAATCGAAGTTAAGATGAAGTCAAGCAGGTAGACTGAACGGCTTCGCAGTTCGGTCTCTGCAAACTGCTACATCTGGAAAATCTCAGAGCCTTCTGATCGGCAAGAAGTGCTGGCTGGATCAAAACCTTGATCGACCTGCCTAACAAAGAAGTATTCAGAACGAGTGGTTGGCGATGGTCTACTTGCCCTGAGGAACCGAGAAATATTGGAGGACAAGTTGGAACAAGAACCAAACTTGGTGGTGAAAGAAGAAACGACGCACCTGTCCACAGGTCGCTTGTCCACAACACCAACGATAGTTGCCTCGTCAACTCCACGCTCCTTCAAAACCTGGAGGAGAGAAAGACGTTTCCATTGCAGCAAACAAGTAAAACAGAAACGCTCGCTGACATCAATATGGTGCCTAGATGCGGCCTGATTCGACTGAGCACTTACCAAACATTGAATACCTTCACAGGCATCCCCGTCCAACAAGCTTATCCAATCTGACGCCCAGCCACCAAAGAACGAAGAGCTAATTCCTGCAATCGCTGGACACTTTTTCCAAGCTGAAGCAACCTTTGCCAAGCTTGCATTGAACCTGAATCGAAGCTTCCACAAGTACTTCAATGCAACCGCTGCATAGTCGGCCAGGACTACTCACCACATCGCGCGGCCGGGCACCCCCAAACACCCCAGGCCTGCTCTGCTCCCCCTCCTGCGCGGCCCCGACCTCCTGCGACCTCGGTTTCAGGTTCAGTTTCGGGCGCTCTTTCGGCCGCTCTTCGTCCCCGCCCTCCCCGCCACCCCGCCCCTCGTCTCCCCCCGTCTTTGGCCGTGCATCCCCGCTCTCCTTGAACGCGTTCCTCTCAATCGTCAGCACCTGCGCCCCGGGCGTGATGCTGACGTCAGCGGTGCTGTCGTCCTCCAGCGGCTTGCTCCGTGGCGTCAAGGTGAGCTTCGGCCGGTGCTCCGCTTTCGGGGGGCTGTTCTGCTGGGGGGGGGGCGTGCTTGGCAGCTCGGCCAGGCGGGAGGAGAACCCCCCACCGGATGGAGGGAAGCGCTCCGTCACCACATGGCTCGGGTAGGCAGGGGCGCCCCCTGAAAATGCATTTTCTGGCCGTTTGGCGCTGCCCCCTCCAACCGGCTTGCGCTCGTCTTCCTCATAGTTCTTGCCGATGGTGGAGGAGTCAGGAAAGTAGCCGCGGTCGGGCGGGGGGGCAGCGCGGGAGTTGCCATGGCCGTAAGCGGGGACCAAGCGGTCGCGGCTTGGGTCGGAAAAGGCCCTGTCGCCGCCGAATGATGCCTTGATGTTAGTCTCCGTTCCTCTGCAAGTGGTAAGGAGAATCTTAGCCAAGCTGACGCGCTCTCACAAGGACTTCTTTAGTTACTGATTAGACCAAGCAGGGAGAGGATGATCAGCAAGGCATGAGCACAGTCACTCGGCGGTGGTGCGCTTTGTCGAGCTGCTGTGCTTCTACAAGCTTTTCTGGAGTTCTGAAGTTGCTGAAGCTGAGAGCACTTCACCGGCAAGTTTGTTATCTGTGACTGCGTAAATGATGGACGAGGAAAGCTTCATAGTATCAAACCTGAGCGGCGATCCGGAAGTCTGCAGGCATCGATAATAAACACGGTTGACTTGACGCAACACTGATTGGCAATCGGTGTGCGTTCAAGTCTTGCATCCATTCAAGAGGAGAAGGAGGCAGCTTCTTCAGCAGGCGAGCACTCTTAAGATGAGAGCCTTGCATTCCACCACATGGATAATCCTGTCAATTAAAAACTACACTTTTGATCAGAGCCACCATAAAGTGAGCTGAGAGAATGGTCGAGAAACTTCCCAGAGCCGCAAGATGGGTGAGATCAGCCAATGCAACTTGTTAGTGGTAATCAAATATGATCTGAGCCAGAGTAGACAAAGTTGCACCAACACTCAGAGATGGCCAATCAAAAGGTACAACGAAGACTTACACGCCTGGCTTGGAAGGCAATGGTAAGTCGCTCCTGATTTCTCCACCATGGAAGTCCTTCAGGCTCATTGATCCCTTCTTCTTCGCCATTCCTTGAAGTTGGGCAACAGAACAAAATTCAGCGGTCTCTTTCAACACCCACTTAGCAGCAGAGGCCTGCTCCCTCCTCCGACCCCCTGCGAAGGCGAACCAAATGCAATACCACACTTACCACCACTCCTCACTCAAGCACCAGCAGCGAGCGCACCTCCCACCATTCGAAGATGAATTTTCTGCTGTCTCACACTGACAGCTGGCAGTGGAGGCTGCTGCCTGGCAAACAAACGTTTCCGTTATGGAGGATGATGGTCCAACGCCGACGGCGACGGAGCCTGACACCACATCTGCTTCGAAGTCGATGGCGAAGGCTGAAGTCCGAGCTTTCTGCCATTCCGCTGTTCCAACAGCGGAACAACGGAACGTTGGTACCGGACTCTGCTCCGAAAAAGAAATCACGCACCTCTGTTTCGCACATTATCATTGACGAAGCCAGAATTCATTATTCAGCATCAATGAGAGCTCAGGAATGCAGCAGCAGAGTGCCTTGCCAAGGGAGACTTTCTGGAAAGGCTGCTCCAATTGTGAGCTCTGGACTGTGGTGTTCGTGGAAGTCCTGATCGAGAGACCCGCAACCAGATTCGATTGCAAGTTCATTGCGAAGGGGCGCTGTCTCTTGTAGGATATTTGTCAAAGCTCAGAGGGTATTATCAGACCTGATTCGTACGATGTCAGCTGACAGCCTCCTAGTTTGTATTTGAGTAAGAGAGCTCAAACTTTGGGTTTCGATTGAAACACAGCCCTGAAAATCAGCATCAAGGCCCGGCCTTTCACCATAGATCCAACCATCTTTGCCCCTCCGAACTGCAAATTGCAAAATGCAAGCTCCATGGATAGGGCAGGAGTCATACCCTGTGTGGCAGGACTTAAAGTATGCCCTGTTCTTCGCCTGCGCGTACCCTGTGCTGCAGAAGCTTCTCTACGTGACAATCTTTGACGTTAGTCTCAGACCTCACTTTCTCACAAAATTTCCAAATCTTGTTGCCTGTTCAGATAGGAGCGGTGGCTCATTCTATCTTTCAAGCTGAACTGGCAACATCGATTCGCACCTTCCTGTCTCCAACTTCCGATATAATTGCAGAGATTGCAGGTGACACTTGCTGTAAGGATGATTGCTCCATACCTCAGCTTTGGTCTGCATTCATCGGTTGGGTCTGGAACGAAGGGCCGAATGTCAAAGTCTCTCTGCCTCCTCGTGGTCGTTACAGTCCTCTTATACGCTATGATCGCTATGTTCATTTGATTCTAAATAGGCTACTAAAGTTGCAATTCAGTGGTCCTTTCTCCACGGTTCTCAGAACGGGTTCAAGAAAAGGACCAAGAGATCCTACAGTGTGTGCCTTTGACTTACACCAACTTACATCTTAAGTCACTCCTCCTTATAGCCTTACTGAAGGGTGGGGGGCTTACTCGACCGGAGAATTGGACTTTGTTAATTTGTTTGGGGTGAGGATCTTCTTCTTGGCCCAAAAACCTGCAAAACCAGTTTGCTTCCCTGATTCTTACCACCACTTCCACTCCATTTCAAGATGGCCGCCAGGGCAACCGTCGACGATGGGAAGAAGCCTGTCAACAAAGTAGCTGCAGAGCGGAAGGAGGTCGCTGTGAGGAAGTACAAGGAGAGCGCCTGGAAATTGCTGTTCTATGCGCTCGCGTGGTCGTATGGAGTGTATATCACCTATGACAAGGAGTGGTGGATCACAAAGGGCACGCTAAACTTCTGGAAGGGGTGGCCGGAACAGAAGATGAGGTGAGAGGAGGCTTCCTGCTTGAGTGGTTGCCAGCCTCAGCAGGACATGAGGAGTGGAGAGCCTAATCTTTAAACTTTCTGTAGACCATCACAGATCAGGGCGCCGCCACAAGTGCTCTTTCTATCATAGAACTGTTACCCTCAATCCTTCTTCTAATGTAGTTTTGCACATCTTTGCATCAGTTTCTCAGACGCCCCATCGTTATTGTGTGCCTGAATGACATCCCTTGCTTCTCCTCATCCAGCCGTGCGCTTGATTTCTGATTGGTCCTCTGCAGGATGGATCTAAAGTTGTTCTATGCCTCGGAACTCGGGTTCTACTCTTACGGGATTGTCTTCTTACTCCTTTGGGAGACCAAGCGGAAAGACTTCGGAGTGATGACCATTCACCATATTGGCACGCTCGTCCTTATTAGCTACTCGTACTTCACTGGGTGAGTATCAGTCACACGTCTTTGATGTCGCTAATGTATCTCGTCCCATTCTGTTGTTGCCCTCTGACCGCTTCAATGACCGTTCGTTCGTAACAAGATAGGATTGCCGCCTGACTGCCTCTTTGCATCTTGTCAAATTGCACTGTTAATCAGACCCACTCACCAATGGTGAGCATAGTCAGGTTTCAAATGAGAACGGACTTCTGTTTTACTTCTGCAGCCTGTAAGGTTGACGAAGTCCAGCCGCAGTAGCTCGGGTGGATTGTGGATAATCTCGCCTTGCAACAAGACTTGTCAACTATTTGCTGTATTGTAGATCCGTCAAAGGGATCATACTCCCAATCAGCACAAGCTCGATTCAGAAGGCTAACTGCATTGCGTATTGAAGAGCAAAGTTCTGATTGACACATCAAAGCCGAAGGAATTCCTCTCCTACAAATCTAAAAGGGTTTCTGAGAGAACAAGCAAGCAAAGTCCTATTTGAGTCGTCAAAGCGAAAGAATCCCTTGCCTACAGATCTTAGAAGAGGATTTGAGAGAACAAGCAAGCAGATACGAGAACATTGCTAACCCAAAATCCGCCCGCAGGTTTGTCCGAGTTGGGAACATGGTATTGCTCGCGCATGACATCAGCGACATCCTACTCGAGGGCGCCAAGCTGTTCAAGTACAGCAAGAACGAGATTGGGGCAAGCGTCACGTTCGCCCTGTTTGCCATCAGCTGGCTCGTGTTCCGCCTCATCTACTATCCCACGTATCTCATCCGGAGCACCGCGTAAGGATTCGGCAATGAGCCGGAGATCGATATGGTGCTCGTGCTTTCAAAACGCTACGGATGTGGCACTGGCCTGCAGTCGCCCAGTTGTTGCACGTTCTGTTCTTACGCTTGCTGATACTCTTCGATTACTTTTGACTCGCCTCATGGGCGACCAATGAGCATGCGCTATCCGCTGTCGTCGTCGCTCACAAGTACGTGCTACCCGAAAATCCAGTCCGCTTGAGCGACGGGAGTCCGTAGACTGCACTTCCTCGGTCGCCGCATCCATGTCGCTGCGGATATGTCGGAGCTTGAATGCCAGGAGTAGCAAATCTTCATGATCCACTGGTCCGAAAGGTTTTGCTCGCACGTGCTTCTTCAAAGTCCGCAATCACTCATTGTCGTGCAGATTCGAGGCGCAGAAGGCGTTTCTGGAGAACCGGACCGTGGCGGAGACGGTGGTGTACTATTATTGCTTCAACACGTTCCTGATCATGCTCCTCGTGTTGCACGTCTACTGGTTCTACCTGATTGGCCGCATGATCGTTAAGCAGGTCCAGAACTCGGGGGCAGTGGGGGATGACGTCCGCTCGGGTGAGCCCGCCGTTCTCCACTCTAGTTGTCGAGGTTTTTGTATCCCTTACTGACGTAACATGTTCCAAAAGTGGTGGAATGAACTGTCATCCTCTTGGGTGATTCGCCATCCTCTTGGCTGACCCCTTTACTGGGTTGACTGCCTCGACCAGAACGAGAAAGCGCACCAAGCCCCTTTGAACCCCAGCTAATTTCTTAATACCAGGAGCAAAAGATATACTAAACTCCCAGCAAACCCCGTATTGACTTTCCAAGGAGGTGGCAGCTTCTTGGGACTAGGCTTTTTCTCGCAGTCACAGCGCAGTCGCACGGCAGTCTTGAAATCCTCCTTATCGCAACTCAAGTGAAAGTTGCACGCAGCAGTCGCTGTTGATTCGACAAAATCCTTTTCTCGATGAAACTTTCAGTTTTCGGGTCTCCGTTTACCATTCCAGACAAGCGGACATGTTGAAATGCAGAGAGGAATGCAAATGGCTGCTTCTTTCGCTGCTCGAGTGTGCACTGGAATCTCGGAGATGGTTGCAACCATCATGAGAGGTTCACCAGACAGGTACAAAGTGGAAGGATGGTTTCTTGTAGCAAGGAACTGACACCGGCGACTTTCGTGAGCAACAAGTGGCTTTCATGACGTGGGCTCTGAAAATTTCGACGAATCAACACCTTACAGCGGTCGTGCTTTTGATTGGTAAAGAAAGAACGGGGCAACAGTAGGTACCATTTCTTCGTGACCTCGATATCCCTCCACTTGTGAGCTACTGACGTCTTGTTGACCTTGCTATTACAGATTCGGACGACGACTAGGCAGGAATGGTTTTGTTTTATGACTTTGGTTTCGTAGGAGGTTGTCAAGTGCTTGCACCAGGTATGCGCCGAAGGTAAAGAAGTTATGTACATCTCTGGCAAGGACCTCCGCTGCCGAAATGGCTTTTATTGGGGGGTTGACGTCTTGTTGTTGGAGGCCCTGGACTTATACTGAAGTCCCACCGTTATCTAGGATACGCTAGCCATTGTTGAGCACGTTGAAAGTCCTAAACATAAACAACGAGTATGCAGCTTTGCAGTGTCATTGGCCTTCCCTTCGTATCTTCTCGAGCTCGCTGCTATGCACGCAGATCCGTTTCACTGGCAATGCTGTGACGATGAATATAAACCCTTTTGGTAGTGAGGCAGCCATTTTAAGTCTCTGTATCATTAGCTTGTACAGATCGCCAGTGATTCATGAGATCGATCATGCCAGAACATATGAGTTCTTCAGTCATGCGTAGCAAAGTCTGCCGCACAGTGATGGTGTTCAATTATATGGGTTATAAGTTATAACCAACTACCTAGTAACCATGCCAGGGTCGAGTTCAGATATGTTTTCCCGCATGCAAACTATATTGCATGCATATTGACTGGTTGGGTTACATGACATGTTCACATGCAAAGTCGATACCGATGACATCGCCGGAATTTTGGTTGCGAGCGAGCGTATATGCGCGTAATACTAAATGGAGCTAGCTAGGTTCGCCGGTGCGCATCGTGCCACATGTTAGTATCGTAAAGCTGCCCTACTCATTTGCATGTCAACACTTCATCGCATGCATGCAATTCGTTGCAGCTTCTTGTCCATGGTCGACTCCGTTGGCTGCATCGAGACGGTCTGGCATTGGCTGTAAAATCCATATTGTGCAAAGTGAGCGGCTGGGGCGGTTGAAGATAGTCCCAGAGATTGAAGGCCGCAACTGAACTTGGACTACATCAGGCGACCCACATATTTTGTCCTCGGATAGCTTTTGCAAAGCGAAGGCCACTGCACGAAGATCTGGTCCATCAAACCGAGCCTATAGAAGATAAGGCCGGTCAGAGACAGCTTTTTCACTCGTGCGATGCTCTCGACGTACACAAGCTTTACGTCCCGCAGCCCAAAAACCTGCATGATTGCAAACGTTTAACGTCAAACGAGATCTTGATCAAGGACACATGAGTGTCCACATACTGACCCACTGGCAGTATCATCGGTCCCTTCGACCACTCGCATGGACGTGTTTCCTCCTCCATCTTATTTTCACTCAACTCGATGCTGTGAGCTGTGAACGAAAGGAGAGTGGCCTCTGTGCAATTGCACATGACCCGTATTTTCAGCTCGACTCAATCATCAAAAACGATCGTCGAGCAGATGCAATCGAGCAAATGGGGGAAGAGCAAACCTTGAGGAGAAAGCCGCCGACACAGATGGGGAGACACGTGCCGGGGCCGTTGCAGAGAATCTGCGAATTACGAGGAGTCCGTGGGTTACCAAGGTGTGTGGAATTGAGCAGATGTGTGCGCGTCAGCAGTGAAAGGAAGAACTGCTCTGCGAGAAGCTGTGGCTGCCAAGGACGGATTGCAGAAGCTTCGAAATCCCACACGAGAGCATCAAGCTGTCTTAAGGGACAATAGTACATGCAACAAGCAAGAGAATTCCCTGTGAAATCCGGCGAATCTTGCCAGCACGTGTTTCTGGTATCGTGATCGACTTCTCGACGAACATGAGCAAGACTGGCAACAACCGGAGCGACAATTCTTAGCAACACCAGGATCCTTCCACGTCAACTACTACAATCGCTCTGGAGACAATGACGACCAGAGCGTCCTCATAAACAAGTCCTCGATCCTGAGCAAGGTTCAACAGCCGCACAGAATAGGTTTCCCCCGCTCTCACTGGAGACCAATGTTGAGCACCTGTTGATGGGCAGCTACGATTGCCTACGTCCGACACAAGGGTAGTCAACAGCCAACGCCCAGATTGGTCGCTTCCCATATACCTAGGTCCTAAGCAGTTATCCTGATATACCAAGCAAACAAATGGGTCGAAACACACGGAAATCTCAACACGGTTAAAACTTAGTTGAAGCACTTGCTGATGTTTATATTCTTAGGAAGTAACCGGCAAGACTTCAAGTAAAGCATCCGCTGATTGTACAATCGCGAAAAATCTGCCCAACCAGGGGATGACTCACAAGCTCAGGACGTATCCGGAAGACGAGCGCGACCGCGGCCCAGAGCGCCACAAGGGTGGTCCAGACTGACGTCAGATACGATTGCCCCACCTCCCGACTACGCGGAATGCTCCGGTAGTGAGCCGTCTTCGCAGGGCCCCGCCGCACCTGCAGACCCCCTTTTTTTTTTTGCCCCCCCCCCCCTTTCCTTTTTCTTAGGATTATTTTTGTTTCCTCCTGCTCTTCAAAGCTCAATTCCGGTCCTTCTATCTTACCTTCTAGCATTTTTAATTGGACCTCATATTGCTGCAAGCTGACCTGAAGCGAATCCTCGTCTGCCGAACGGAAGGGGTCAAAGGTGACTTGGATATGCGTACGCAGTGCGCAGTGAAATAATGAGGACTCGCTCTTGCAACAAATAGCTCTTTGCAATTCCAGTCAGGAGGGAGTGATGGATCCAAAGGGGGTCCCTTTCGTCTTCTCCGAGTTGGATTGGATCCAGGAGCAGTCCCACTCACTTTTCCGTTCACACAGAACATCTAAGACGCCTCACGTTTTAGCCTCGAAGTTACAGTTCTTAATAGGTGCATCCTGAAGAAACTCGGAATGCGATCAGCGCCAGCATCATAGCCCTTGCATCATTAAAGTGGGCGTCTTGGAACCCGGAACGCCTGATATCACACAGCGACATCGAAGCATGACTTTGTGGTATTCTGTCGCCAAGAAGTTGGTATCAGAGGCTATGCCCCGAGCACTGGGCCCTGCTAAAAGTGGCCGGTTGATGACGTTGCGTAGACGCCCTCTTTAAGCAAGATAAAATGGAGTGAACGAGCGTGACGGGCATGCATGACAGGCAAGGCCCAGGATGCGGTGGTGTATCTCCTGAAACTCACTGAAAGCACACACCGAGCTTCTTAACTAATCATTCTTACAATCAAACACTTCAACCAGAAACCTCCCCCTAAAAAGCGAAACACCATGACGAGGAAACTACTCCAATAATGAAATGCAGAGTCCTGGTTGCTCTAGGCGCACCTTTGCCTGCTGTTGCTCTGCCGCCCCCTCTGCCGCCATAGCCCTGTTCAGGCTCATTGTGTCGGTCTTCGCGGCTACGTACCACCGGGGCGAGTAGCGGGTGCGGTCGAGGGCGTCGATGAGCGTCAGCATCTCAGCCGTATGGCCTCCTGCAATTTCAGAGGATACTTGCTTAGCTGTGGTTTTATAGGATGCAGTCCTAGGAGGAAGGAGAGAAGCAAGGGGAAAGGGACACAGCGTTGTTGACGATCAGGAAATGCACCTTGCCCCCCTGATCTTCCTCAATAACCAAGTTACAGATGCTCTTCAGGACAGGTTTAGGCGCCCTGCTTGAAACCATAAGATTCTTTCTAAGCAATCCTGCTACTCAAGGCATGTGGGAACAATTTGCTGACTTTTCATCGTCCAAGCATGCTCAGTACAGCTACACACAAGCTGTGCTAGCAAGGGGTTCGCATGATTCGCACGATTTCGAGTGGCATGATGGGGTCATTTTGATTGATTAATCAACAGAAGACTGTCCTGTGTTAATTGCCACTCACCGGAGCCTAAAACTATGAGGGTGGTGCATGGCTCGCTCGCCTTCCGCTTCTTTGCGTGCCGATTCCTGCTTGACTGCCGAAGGACAAACAGGACTCGAAGGCCAAAAGCAACGGCCGCCAGCACCAGCGCCAGCAGTATAGCCTCCAGCTTCATTGCTCTAAGATATGTTTCTCTCTTTGCATTTGAGATTAGCAGCTCCGCCAGACATGGACTGCAGCAAACCCCACTCTCTGGCGTTTGCCTCCCAATCAGATTAGGGACCACCCTCTATTTTAGCTTATTTTCTTACAAGTTCAAAGCTTAGCTAAAGACTGTATCCAACATGAAGGGGATGCTGCAGAGCATTCAGACTTTGAACAAAGAAAGCGCCTTCCGCAGCATTGCAGGCTTCTGACTCTGACGAGTCTGAGCTGCTGTGACGAGCTAGAGGAAGAAAAGCGCTTTGAACATTTGCGCGACCTTTGCAAATCGCCGCGCAAAATTTGTAACCCTCAGATCATACCGTAGTCAACTGGTCTAGGCCCTAGGGTAAGCTCCAGGAACGCGCACAGATGTTTTGGCACTGGCGCGATTCTCATTCTGCGGGATCCCTGAAAGTGGCCATCGCATGAACGGGTGCTGTTTGGCGCACAATATTCGTTCATGTCGTGCAGGAGCAGAGTCAGCAGATCATGAGCGACCATGGCCGCCATTCCTTGTAACATTTTAGGCAGATTTGACCTTTCTCCTGAACGATAGAGCAGGTTAAGTTGTTTTGTCAACGCTGCTCCTTGGCACAGGGGAATTCAGAGCTGGATATTAGCAACAGGCATGATTGCTCCGCAGAGGAAAGGGTGTTGCCTTCTTGTTTGATTGCCGCATAGGAGCAGTGTTGGTTTCAACACTGAGTAGTTGAGCGCACGAACCGAGATGCCAGTAAGTAAATGTCATCGGGCTGTCAATTGCAAGGCAAGCAATTGGTGGTGGTTTGTGCCCGTTCGTGTCTGAACAAAGTTGTAACTCAGGTCTTCAATACTTGTGAGGGAGGCTTTTGTGTTCTTCTTCGTACCTCTAAACTTATAGCCACTTGACCAAGGTCTCTACGTACCCAGCTTAAACAGCAGCGATCCTTTCTTATATACCGCTCCGATGGATCTTAGTTGATCGCTCAGCCAGCAACTACAAGCAACTCCGTAGCTTCCTCATTTCACCAACTCGGTACCACTATCAATTGAGTTGACTGCCAAAGAGTCGGCAAATTCCCTAGAATTCTCATCATTAGCTCACGCTGTACTAGGAGGAAAGCTAACAGTAAAAACCCAAATTCAAAGATCTACCTGCTCCGCACCTGACGTGCCCTCGACCCCCTTACCAGCCCAGTATTATATCTGGAGCATACTGTACCAACCTAGAGACCGATAGAATCACCAGCCCTGCCTAGAAACCACTCCAGCATGACAGCACAAGCCTCCCCCCAAAACCGCAGCCCTAGCCTCTGGCAAAAGTGGCTCGACTTTGCCTGGGGCGGCAGACACCCCTCCGACCTAAGCCTCTCTGCAAAGCTCATTCAACAGCTCAACCTTCCACCCGACGTCGCTGCTCGCGTCCTCGCTTTCCGAGACAGCCGCAGCGGGCCGACCATTTATGTTCTGGGGGGGTTCAATCTGTCAGAGCGGAGCGCGAGCGATGTGGAACAGCTGATAGGGGCGGCAAACCCGAAGGCGGTGGTGGCAAATGTTGGGATCCTGCCAGAGTTCCAGGCGGCGAGGGCATGTGCGGAACTAGGCCCTAGGGAAGGTGGGAATGTCGTTTGCTTCTAATGTCTTCTTCGCAGAGTGGGAGTCTACAGTTCTGTCTTGGTTGAGATGACGTCCAATCGCAGCAGTCTGAGCTGGTGTGAGGCTGCAGGTTAGACAGGCCAAAGTTCTGGTCGGTGCAGTCGGCGAATCGTACATGGTAAGCTTTGGCAGGCAGTATTCTGCGGTTCTGCCTCAGAGAATGGTGGGCTTATGTCAGGTGGTGGGGCTCAATGTCTTGCATTTGCGTGACTAGACACCTCTGGCAGACAGGACCTCATGCACATGGGTGCAGAGACAAGGGTCTGAGAAGACCTGTGAAGGACCTCAACGAGCAACGAAGCTTCCCGTGTCTTCATTTTTGTACGTTGAGCTTTTGTTTCATTTTGCATACCAAAGAACTTTAAGGCTCTGCAGGGCCGTCACATGTTTTTGGGTCGTACTCACTAGAGTTTTGCGACTTGCTTCAGTGAGTGCTGTAGTTCTTCTTGGTTTGTAAGCAGCAACAAATATTGTATTTGATGAGTTTTGAATCAGGGTTTATGCACTTCTGCACTGCTTGCCACAGGCAAAGCGCTTTCCAGTACCCCTTTACCACATGTTGGTCCTTGCATTGGGATCCCACTGGATCTGGAAGATGCTGACATCGTATAAGAAGCTGTGACAGTCACAATCTCCATCAGCTTGCAAATCTTCTTGCATAGATCCTCTTTTGGCTCCTGTTTTGGGGAAACGAGACCCTTGTTTCAACGCAAGTGTTCGTCTTACCCCCTTCCGAAACCGCTGACTGAGTCATAATTTCCCCATCCTCTCGAACCAGTTACTTTATTCCCCCTCACCATTTAAGTAGAATAATTTCTATCTTGGTTCCACTCAAACTGCTGCTTGGTACAAGCGGGACCCTTGTCACATCTCCATAGGCATTCCAACATCCTCCTTCGGCTTGTCGATTTGGATCAGATTCTGCCACCTGTTGACCACCTGTCAATCTACCTTTTTGCAACTACAGGCTTGACCGATCATGGGTGAGGCTAACCTCCGTGTCCATCCCTTCCCCAGGCGTTCCCACCTCCGCTTTCGAAGTCCTCCAACGATGCGTCACCGGCGCCGCCAGCTTGGACGAGTTTCAAACCCAAGCCGCTGACCAATTCCTCCACTCCCTTTTCGGCTCCAACCTTTTCCGCCACATAAGCGCCGCCGAAGAAGCCGCCAACCGCCAAAACGCCGGAGTCACTTTCTTCTCTTGGCCCCCAATCAGCCTGGGGGGGCAATCCGAAGAGGAAGAGAACCCCCCCGAGAAGGGGAAGGCGAGTTGGGGGGAACAGCTCAGCCGCGCGTTGCATAAGCGCTTCACCCCCCACGGCACATCCAGCGCCGCTCTGCGTTTCCAGGCTGTTACTCACGCCACGGACGACGCCGTCCGCTCTTTAGCGGTCCGAGCGTCCAAACTCCCCCCTCCCCAAACGGCCCCCAGAAACGACCCCCCTGAAGTCGATTTCGAGGATCAGGTCGCGGAGGCCCCCCCCGAGGAACACCCCTGGTTTCTCCCCCCCGCTATCGAAACGCTCATGACGGCGCTGCCGAATGTTCCCGGCGTTTGGGAGTGGGGGGACTGGCCTCTCTCGCACGCGCGCGCGGTGATGCGACACGTGGCGGGGGGCGAGCCAATCGCAGAGGAACAGCTGGCAAACGCGACGGTGCTGCGAGTGGGGGTGGAAAACCTGCGGCAGGGGTACTGCGAGGTGGCGCGGAGCGCGGCGTTCCAGCCCTCAGGTACGCTTAGCCTCCGATGAGCACCGGTTCAGGCTCTTCTGTCATCTCAAAATTGTAACATAGCCGTTTTCTTGGCTTTTCCTCATTTAATGCCTGTTTCCCTTCTCATCAACAATCCAGAAATGAACCAAGTGTTCGTTGTCTTCCAACCCTCCTCGCTTCCTTACCTGTGACGCAAGTCGAAAACCCCTCCGAAAAGTGCATCCCTTTCAGGCTCCCGGGCCCGCCTTTCCTGTGCTGTGTCTGTGTCCCTCAGTCCTTCTGACAAATTCTGGTTTCGTGGCAACCTTACTGTTTCACTCCCGACAATTTCCTGTTCGGCAGGCAAGTTTGGGCCTTCTCTTACCACTCTCTTGTTCCTTCGAGCGACAATGGTCGCCTGTATAAACGTTTCCTTTCGTTGCCCTTCACTTCGAAATGGACAGGTTTGCGAAAAAGTTGTGTCTCATGATTCGGAACCTCCTCTGCGTCCTAGGTAAATCGGCCCCCAGTCTGGATCCTTCGCCGGACAACCTTCACGCACAAACGCTCATCCACACGCTCAAGCAGCAAGCGGCGCTGACGTCAGGTGACGTCGTCGCCCTGGTTCCCGTGGATCAGCTCCCTTGGATCCGGAAGCTGTGGGCATCGGACGGTCCGAAGGAGGTGGCGCTGTGGTCCGAGGAATGTGTCCGAACGCCGCAGGATCTGCGGCGGAGCATCGACGGTAAGCAAAGCGCGGGACTCTAAAGGTTCAATTTTCTGACCTCGTGATTGCCTACCTCCTAAAAAGTCACTCGAGAGGTCTTTTGGGGCTAGAAGTAGTTCCGTTTTGAGGGCTCGTTTGAGGCGAGTCTCAACTTCTAGTAAAGTTGCTTCTTTTGCTTTGCTTGAGTTTTCCGGTCACATCTTCGTAGGGAGCGGGATCGCTTGTGTTAAGGATCTTGGGCGGGAACTGTCTCATCGTCCACGTCGAATACGTCTCCTTCAACGATGATCAATCTCTCTGCGCCTGTGTCTGGCACAAACTCATGCCATTCCGTCTCCATTCGCCCCAGAACTTGCGTCCGCGGAAGACGCCGAGCGGCGCGCCAAAGAGAAAGACACCTGGATGGCGGTGATCGTGGCTGGGCTCGGGATTGCTGGGGGGGCGACCTACGCTCAGGGCGGCACCCTAGCGAAGGTCGCCTCGGCGGTGCCCAAAACGGTTCACCTGGTCAAAGCGGGCGCTGCGCTGCTGAAGCGGAACGCGGGCGTGGCGGTGGCGAAAGCCGTTGTTCCGCAGGTGGGTTTACGATCTTAACGATCTTTGTTTCAGGTACTGCATAAGCAGGAGCTCTGTAGTGTTCGTTATCGATCGTTGTCTGCTCATAAATATCGATAAGAAAGAGATGTTGCACAGGTTTGAGCACGTGAGCTTTCGAGGACGGACGTAACCAGAGAGTTCGGAAGCAGGTGGCGAGGTTTGCCCGGTATTTCTCGAAGCCCGCAATCGTTGTTGTGGGGGGGCCTGCTCAAAGAAACTCGACGTCTGTACAACGAGTAATCCGTTCATTGTATGCATCATGCTTTGTGACATTGCTGCCGGAGAAAATATTGGCAAACACTGTGGTGTCTAAGAGGTTACCTTAAAGGCCGTGCACATGCTGTCAATTCATTGACGCTCTTAAACTGTCCAACTGCTCCTGTCTTCGGCGATGCGCACCTTCAGATCAAGAATATGTCGTGGAGGGGGGGGCAGCGCAACTGATCATTGCCGCAAAAGCGATGTCGCTATTCCCGAAGAACTGCTCATTGTTGCGTCCCTGAAAACAGCTTCTTGTCTCGCAGGTGGGTGCGGCGCAAGCGGGCCTCGCCGCGAAAGCGATGGCGCCGAAGACGGCGGCCGCGGCGGCGAAAGCGGCGGTCGTGACGAAAGCGAAAGCGGCCGCGGCCGCGGAGCAGATGCGAATGGTCGCGCACGGGGTAGTCAACCAGTTGCAAGTGAGGGGGCGGGGTGATGTCCTGCTGACGTCAGTTTTCGTGATGAGTGCCGGGGTGTCTGGACCCGCATATAGCGTCAGCTTATGGAGAGTCGATTTGGCGTCCCTTCATTTTGGCATTCTTGACTTTGGGCTCGATTGCTCATTGCAGAAGCCGGCGGTGCGTCTGTCGTCCCTGTGATCGATAATCTGCACGATTCCACAGCCAAGACTCGATAACCTAAGTTCACGAGATAGTCTGCATCATAGTAGCGGAATACTTTGTCGAGGCCAGGTACTGTCGAACGGACGTTTCCGATTGTCCTAACAGCCCAGGCTCTGGATGGGCCCTAAAGAAAAAAAAGGAAGTCTCGCCTGCCGACCGCGACTGATCCGACCTCTTGAGTACCTCTTCCGGGGTTGTTGGATCAGGATCTAACCCTATGATTTTGTTGCAAGCGTTGAGCTGGACGCAGTGCGGGTGACGGGGTGAAACGTGATAGAGCGGTCTGGCAAAGCCGCTCTATCATGTTTTCAACCACCATACTAACCACCGACTCATCATCAGCAGATCTAACCCCATTCCTCGAGCGCAGGCAATCAAGCTGCGGGCAGTGCGCGTATCGTAGTACGACGCGACACAGCGGTCCAACTTTTTAACCACCTCTTAACGACCTTTTCCCGTGTTCTTAAGTAGCAGACTCAGCCCCAAAGTTTCTCAATTTAGGCGACGCTTTGCGGGTGGTACGGGTGACAGGGTACAACGTGCTGCGAATGCTGCAGCACTCTCTTTGTGTAACCAGTTCTTAAGCACCTTTGTAGGTGTTGCTAACCAGCAGATCCAACCCCATATCTTTCATTGCAGGCGATTGCTCTGCGGGCGCTACGCGTGACGGGGTACAACGTGCTGCAGCACTTTCTTTGTGTAACTAGCTCTTAACCACCGTTCCCCGTGTTGGTAACCAGCAGGTCTAACCCAAATTTTTGACCGCAGGCGATCGCGCTTCGGGCGGTGCGCGTGACGAAGTACAACGTTTGCAGGGTCCAACCTTATCACCTCTCAACCCCCTTGTCCTGGGTTGTTGACTAGCAGATCCAAATCCAAGTTTTCCACTGCAGGCGATTGCGCTGCGAGCGGTGCGCGTGACGGGGTCGACGTGGTACAGCGGCCTGGAGACCTTTCCAATCATTCCTTGACCACCTTTCGTGGGGTTGTTCATTTAGCAGATCTGACCCCATTTTTGGATTACAGGCAATTGCGCTGCGGGCGGTGCGCGTGACGGGATACAACGTGATGCAGCGGTCCAACTTTCGGCGGCCGGGGCCGTGGCTTCTGCTCGGGGGGAGTGCAGCGTCTGCGCTGCTGGCGTATGCCTACAGGTGAGCGCGGCTGACGTCACGAGTGTCGGGTGGATGACGTCACGGTTTTCTTGGGCTGCTGGCGTATGCCTACAGGTGACCGCGGCTTGCCAGAGGCCGCTGACGTCAAGGGTTTGCGAGGATGTCGTCAAGGCTTCGCTGGATTGGACGGTGCCTGTCGACAAATTTGAGAGAACAGTTGTTGGGTGCCACTAGTGTGCTGTTCGACGTTTTAGGGAAGTTCGAAGGTCCAGAAAAGAGCCGAGAAGACGAGCAATCCCGAAGACCTTTTTTGGTCGGTGTCTGTGGTGACATCTCAAGCCGTGTTTCAATGTGACCGACGTGGCTTCATCTTCTGAACGGTCTGCTCGTCGAGCCCTGCATACTCTACTTTTACAGAAAAAGTTTCTTGAGCTTTAATCTTTTGCGAGCATCAGGTAACAGTGAATACCTTTCGCTCGTCCTTTCTTATGAGTGCTTTGCAACAGGTCATTCCCTCTTGTGGCCAATCAATTTGTCGCCCAGCAAAACTTCGACTGAACGGAAACAGATGCTTGTCTAGCCTTGCTCAAGCGCTTGCACCTTGACTTTTCGAGCAGTTTATGAGGGTGAACGCCTGTCCTTGAGCACCCGACCCGCACTGAACACCTAACCCCGGTTCCCTCGAACCCGCTGCAAGGAGCTGCAGACGGCGGTAGCATCCTCTCCTGCGTGTTGCATACCGCTTATTTCCATCTAACACGTGATTAAACCTTATGCGACCCCTTAAGCGAAGTCCGCTATTCAAGCACTGCTCAACCTTCTTCTCCTAACCCGCAGTAAGCAGATCGAATCCGCGGTGGCGGTTATCCTCCACTCGTAGGTAACCAGAGATGCATAAAACCTTGAGTCACGTCCTAAACAGAGTGCGCTGACCAGAAGCAACTGCTTAACCTCAACTTCTTAAGCTGCAGTAAAGAGCTGGAGTCGGCGGCGGCGATCCTTCCCCACGCAGGGTAACCACATACTTCCCATTAATCCGAAACCCAACCATTGCGACGTCCTAACCAAAGTGTGCTGACCAGGAGCAACTGCTTAACCCGACTTTGTTGATCCGCAGTAAAAAGCTGGCGGCGGTAGTGGTCATTCCCCACACATCCGTCAACAAATAACATGAACACAATTTAGTGCGACCTCTAACCGAAGTGCGCTGACCAGGAGCATTAACTGCGTAATCCAAATTTGTTAACCCGCAGTAAGGAGCTAAAGATGGCGGTGGCGATTCTTCAACACATATTCGTGAACTCTTAAACGAACACAACCTAGTGCGACCTCCTAATCGAAGTGCGCTGACCAGATATAACTGCTTAACCTCAGCTTTTGATCTTAACCCGCAGTAAGGAGCTGGAGACTGCGGTGGCGGTTCTCCCCCACGCCGCCCAAGTGGCGCGCCTGGGGCGCGGCTGCCAGAATTTGAAGGAGGCGACCGAGAAACTAGAGGAGCGCAAAATGTGGCCCGGCTTCTATAGGGTTTTGACCGGCGCCAACGACCGGGGCCACTTACCGGTGACAGCGCTTCCAGGACTTGAAAAGTCGTGACTATCGAGCCCTTGTACTTGTATCGAAACCAGGTCGGATGTGAAATAATGCAGTGATGTGGCCTGGCTAATACCGGCTTCTGACTAGTGCCAACAAGTTATAAGGCCAACACTCATATTGTGGCTCGAGTACTTACGGGTGCTAACGGTACCTGACAGGGGCCGGTGACGGGTCTCTCCTCTGATGCGGAAGGGTTTTGCACCTGATGAGGTGTGGCCGGCGCAAGGAACAGTGATGAGTCGGAGCAGACCGGTCTCCTCTCAGTCCATGTGGAAGAGCAAGGAGAATGAAGGAACCAAGCGTCTGCTCGGTCTCGCCTATTGTTTGCGATCACCAGCAGACTGCGAACAGGCGCCGCGAGCAGACTACGTGTTGGCGGGCGGAGTAGGGCTGTTGAACTGTTGGAGAGCTTTGCGAGAGTGACACTATTCAATGAGCTGGGCAGCTCGCATCCGGCACAGGTCGTAGCGTCACCCCCGTAGGCTGCTTCGCGTTTGTAGCATTTGACAGGAAGAATGACGGTTACTCGGGAACGAGGCCAGGCCCAGTACGTGGGAATCTCTTATCAATCTCTTGTCCCCCTCTATCATTGAACGTTAAGAGTCAAGTTCAATGCGCTGTTCCGCTGTGGCAGAGTCGATCCGACGTACCGTGACGTTTACGCGGCCGCGGCAAGTTGTATCTGCACCGCTGCCCGTCCGCGGGGTTTGCGAGAGGTTCGCGACCAAGCTGCCACGCAGGAGAATGTTGATTGGATTCTGTTTCTCACCATCTCAACCGTCCCATAAAGAATATCGGACGGCTCAGATCTGCTATGGGGGGTAACGTACCTCCGGGCGATCAGCTCACGAAAGAAGATCGTCACCATTGCGAGGGATCCTGCAACTCGTCTTCAGAGAAAGACACCATCTTCTCTAGCTCTCTGCGGAGGAAGAAGAGAAGGACTTGCAAGGAGAAGGGAGTGCCTTCCTCAGCAACCCTGTTTCGCCACGCCAACAAAAGTTGCACGCCTACACTCCGGATTGTCGACTGTTTGGTGCTGTATGTTCTGCGACGGGTGTCGGGTCTCTGAGTCGGGGTCAGAACGAGTATGCTTTACGGGACTCCAAGAGAAGGACACATGGAGTTGTGACTTACTGTTCGTCCACACGGGGCTTGCAGCACACTCCCAAGATGGATACATTGCAGAGTATCGTGGTTCAGAGGAACAAGCCGAATCTGGTTGTATGGAATGCCTTGGTTTGCATCATGGCCGGCATCTAAGACTTCGAAGATTTGAAAGCAATTATGGCCAGTCCGATACAACATGCAGAACTGGAAGATCACTATGTCGACGAGCATCTGGGGGCTCTACATGGGGCGTTTGGAAAAGTCAAGGTTATGTCAGATCGGAAGACGGGAGAGAAAGTTGCAGTGAAACTGTTGCAAAGAAGCAAGGTAATATTAGCATATGGCTATCGATACTGGTTAACTACAATACGTGCAGGTTGCTGGTGCACCTGGTTGTTCGCTTGGCTTCGTGGGTCCAAGCGGATTCGTTTCTGGGGAGCTGGTCCTCTGGATATTTACTACAGGAGCGGGCCCTAGGGGCTGGCTGGAGCTTTGACATTGTTGCAGGTCCAATTCGACAAGTTGGAACCGCTCTTCGTTTCCATCGATGTGGGAAAGCGTTGCTATGCTGCTTGCACGTGACCCAGAATTTGCTCTGTTGTCAATCATTGGATCCCGCAGGTCTCTCATCAAATCCTACCATAAGAGTCTGCCACTTAGCTGCTGACAAAGCCGCAACTCCTTGCATCAGGTTACTGAGCAGGTTGAACGTGAGATTCGACATTACCACATGCTTCGTCATCCTTGTGTGGTTCAGCTACGAAGGGTGAGGCAGCTCTGTTGAGGGGTGTCTTCCAAGGCCTTCCGGTTGGCAGTCCTTGACCTCTTTCACCTCATGCTGGGAGGCTTGTACGTATTCTGCAAGGTCTGCAAGAGATGGAGAATAGTCAATGCTTCTTCTATTTGCGTTGGGTTCTCAAGGGTGAGGCCTTCAACTTCCAGTAACTGAGCTACCCTCTTTGCGCTTTTCAGGTTCTCTTGACGCAGTTTTATCTGGCTCTAGTCCTTGACTACGTGCCAGGAGGCAGCCTGATGCGCTTTGTGGACAGGAAGTTACTGTCTGAAGTCCAGGTACGATTCTGACTTTGCCTTCCAATTCATGTTCAGACTTGGCCAATCAGTAGTGTTTTGCAACATCTGTTTTCAAAAGGTGGAACAGGAAAGCTCTTTCGTCCTTTGTTCATTGCGAAGTGTTCAGACAGGCTGTGCTTCTGTTCCACAGGTCCGCTTCCTCTTCCAGCAGCTTGTAGCTGCTCTTGAGTTCTGCCACAGACAGGTGAGGGATCGTGGCTGCACTTGATGCCTGACAGATCTCTTCGATGCCCTGCTCAGCTGTTCTCTGTATTTCTTGCGAAAATGCGGTCACGCATGTACCGGAGGTATTAAGCTAACCTCCTGAATCATTCAAGTACCCTGCATTGACATTTTTGATGCGGTTCATGACAGGGCGCCCTGCCGCGGAGCCTTTCTTTGGATTCGATCCTTGTGGGGGGTCAGTCGTTCCCGGAGCTGAAACTGACGGATTTCGGCTTCACAGCGGTACGCATTTTGGTCAAGTGCCTCTCCCAACAATGCAGAATGTGGGCATAGTTTTCCATCTTATGCAAGAACGCTCGCGAGTTATGTTTTTTGTGTCCGTCTGCAAGACTTCTAGCAGGATACGACGATCGTCTTTGGATGCAAATGAAACTGCATGCTTTTGTAGATTTGCCCTGCATGAAGTCCCACAGAGCGTTAAGAGGTTGTTGAAAGAAGGGTCACACCCTTTGTCCTCCGTGTCTGTTTGATGCAAGTTTTCAAGTGCTGCGGTGCTGCATTTGCAGATTGTTGATTCCTTACAAGACGAGCACGGCCCAGGGATCACTGTGTATGCTGCACCAGAGGTCCTCATTCGCAGTCAGAGTCCCACAGCGTTTAGGCCATTCAATCTGAAGGTGAGCTGGTGCGCAAGCACATTGAGAAGACTACACTCCCTGTGCCAGCAGGCAGGCTGCACAAAGCCTGATTCTTACAAAGAGCTTGGCTCCTGAGACTGAAGAGGTGCCCAACGACCCTCCCTCTTGCAGGGCCGTGTGTGACCAAGAGAGTCAGGCACAGCCAGGCGCTGCTGCACAGGGATCGTGTGGCAACGGCCTCGCGTCTCTGAGGTAACATGCACGCTGAAGATCAGGCGCTGCATGTTCCCGCACGTGTTCTGCTCTTTCTGAAGACTGTGCCTAGGGAGCGCAATCAAGACTTTGACAATATCATCCTCAAGAAGATCTCATCTTTGTCACTTTTGGAAGCTGCATTCAGGCGGCGCAATCATCCTTCCGCTCTTGACAATTTTGCTTACCGCTCTTGACAACTTTGCTTAAGCATTGCAAGGTCGCAGACAAGTTTGCAGATCAAGAAAGTTGTCTTGAAGACCTAGAGTTTGGGGTTGACAAGGCAGCCTTTCCACGTCTTGCCACTCAAGAATGAAAGCCTTCTGTTCCGCGCACCAATGATAGCTGGTTTGGGAAATGCAATCCGGAACCATTTACTGATTGAGCTTGGGTGGCAACAAGATTTGCAGACAGTTGGAATCCCGTTTTCACGCACGAGTGTTTCCTTATGATCAGGACGAAGAGGACCCGTTAGAGAGATCAGTATTCAACCGCTTGTCACATCACAAAAGTTTGCCTGAGTCAGTATCGACTCTGCTCTCTTGGCAGGCGGCTGCGCAAACTGCAGATCTTTGGTCGCTTGGTGTCATTCTGGCCGCGCTTCTGTTCCACGCGTACCCATTTTCGGACCCTGAGGAGCCGAAGAACGTGGACAGGACGTTCAAGGTACATTACGGGCATAGTTTGAGTTACTACAGATGGCATTTTTATTTTTCAGGGCTTCTTTGCGATCGGGACCGTTAAAGTAACTGTGGTCACATCAAAGCGTCCTTAAGTTTTGTTCAAGTCGCAAGTGTTTGACCACACTTCTTGGCACACACTGCAGGACTTGGGTCTCGGTCCACGTTGTCGAATGCATTCTGGCTCAGCGCTCTCGTTCTGATGAATAAAGGATTCTCTCATGTTCTCTAGGGAATGCAGTCTGTGCTTGCCTCATTGTCTGAGCTGCACCAATTCTTCTTGTTACAGCGGATCATCAACGCAGATTACACCATTCCTGAGGGCATCTCGCTTTCTGAGCCGTGCAAAGACCTCCTGAGCAGGCTTTTCAAAGTCAAACCCGAAGAGGTCAGTCCATTTTCGGTCCCCTCTCCCTTCCTCCGTCTTCTTTTCATGGTTCTCAGCCCCTGCCTTTCTTTCCATCCTGACCTTTCCCCTCCTCTCTACCTCCTCTGCTGTCTTACCCCTGTCCCGTCTATCTCTCTTGCCTCTTCCCCCTCTCTCCCCTCTTTTCTGACTAAGTCCATCTCTCCCAAGCAGCGCGCCTCCATTGCTGACGTTAGGAAGCACGAGTGGTTCCTTTCTCGCATCCCTAAGCAGCTGCGCGTACCGTACGAAGCGCTCCCCCCGGCTGACGGGTCTCAGTCTATAGAAGACATTATCGAGATTCTGGATATTGTCCGCAGCAAGAAGTTGCTGCTCTGAGTATATAATAGATATTCCCAAGGCGAAGTCGTCAGTCCCAGTCAGGTCTGAGTGACTCGAGGGTCTTAAAGTTGGAATTTGTGGAGGTTTTCTCGGGTGTCTAGCCCATACAGCTTGAGACGTTGGCTACTGGAAAGGAGAGCACTGAAAGTTCCTACACTGAGATCAGAGACAAGTAGCGGGATTCCCTCCTCCGGTCAGAGTTGGCCCCGCTGCTGACTTCTGCTAGGTGCTCTAATGTGTCTGCGTGGTTCCTCCGGTCAAGGTTCCCGCATTGCACTTGATTACCTAAGGAAGAACTTGTACAAAATGGACAAGTTTTCCGAAGATGGTTACTCTACCTTTCTTGGGTCGATGTTTCAACGACCACGCTCGTTTGAGTTGCGCTTTCTGGGGATGCATGTGCGATCAAAAGCTAAGAAGACGACTAGCTTGAGACAGCAATGACAGCAAAGCCAGCGATGGATCTCAGTAGACCATTAAACGCAGTGACGAACCTAGAATGCCGAACAACGAGGCTGGACTGTTGCAGGCTCGCTGCAAGGCTCATTGTGGTGCAGATTGCTCATGGCCAAGACTAACATGTCTGCTGCAACTTTGACACTTGTCGTCACTAACTCTGATGGTGGCATTGCCCAGCTTCAGTTTCAGTTCACTCATAGCCGGTTTGCTACCTGTCGTTCAAGCCCGCATGCAGGTTTTCATACAGCACTTGTGGGATCCAAGGGTTCATGGAGAATAGCATGCTTGAACATGCATATGTACACCTGGTACATGCAGCTGCCACGGACTCGCATGCAATCATTTTTGCCTAGTCATCAGATCGAACGCCTAGCTCACAACGTTTGCGGTACGTACCCGGTAAGCATATATGCAGCTCTGCCGTCCGCGGCCCGGCCTTGGCAACAATTATGCATGTGTACGCATGATCATGTTCTAATTTAGAGAGCTGAACATACCGCGATACTATCCAGATTCCAATCCTCAGTTGATACGCTGCTAGACTGTGAGTCGACAATGCCGCCAGCACGTGCGCCCAAGTATTCACGATTCAATTTCGGACTGGCCTGCCTGCACCGTCGTGTCATGCCCATGGGTCCTGCACTCGCAAGCCCAAGACCGCTCTCGCAATTCAAGATCATTCTGCTGATCACATCTTACAGCCGTTGTTATCGCTTGATCTATCGTAGCCCGCGTATAGTCGTCCATGTGGGAAGGCCGGGCCTGCTGCATAGTTTGGTCAAATTGTCAAACGAGCGCATCCAACAGGATCTGAAAGGGACCTCAACGTTGCCAGCACTGAGCTGTGATGCAGTATATTCGGGGTCCTACGTCGGTTACAAAGAGCCCAGCGGTCCTGCAGCCCTCGAAAAACTTAGCTTCGTCCGCTTTCGGTATTCTCCTCCGCCAGCTCATCAGGAAATAAGGGCGCGCAAGCCTCTTAGGGTCAGCTTCTTCCGCTACGTTTTCCTTCCCACTAATCTGCGGCTGGTCGTTCGGGACGATGTCACTCGATTCCCCTGAGGCTGTAAGCTGCCTGCCGTTTAACACTGAGGCCGCTCCCTCCTCCCTTGCCCCATTGGTAAGAAGATACTTGAGCGTGTCGATGAGATTCTCGTACTGTTTGACGTCTGCGAATGCAATTGCACAAGAAGTCAAACGTGTGGTCACCCTATGACATGTTCGAAGTAAAACCAACAGAAAAACGTTCGTCAAACCAATTGGACAAATTGGAGGAGTCCGTAATTCGTGTAGATTCACACTGACTCTAGACGGGCTCTAGACTCAGACAGACTCTACATCAAAGGAGAGTCGGATAGCACCCCCTCTTGAACATAGACAGTGCACGTCCACTCTCACTTAGGGTGACCAAAGGTGCAACTTTGCAACTGTCGATACGCGAGCCTTCAATAGGAGAGGCTTCGAACCTTGCTCAACGGACTCGAAGCTTTGGCGGGGCAAAGGTTGAATACTCACACAGAAGAATATCACTCGCCACAAGCACGTCCCACGTATGACTGTTCGCCTCCAGTGGAGTCCCCCAGGTGTCTGGTCTCCGTATGGTCAAGGTGGCCTTTGCCTGAGGATTGGGAAATCTTTCCAAAGAGGTTTGCACGTTCAAAGCTCAATCCGCTGGCAACTAAGCTTTCCTTCGACAATCTTAGCAATGGAACGTACATTCAACCATTCTGCACGTCCTGCATCATACGTATTCCTTTGCGACCTCACGACTTAAGACTCCCGTGTCGTCACTAAGCTCTCGACTTCCGTCGGATATGGTGAGCAATCTTAGGACGGGGTTCGTGCCGCTGAAGCAAGCTGGCAGACCTCTCTTTTCTCTGAAAACAAGCAGAAAAAAAGCTGCTATATTATATGATGGATACGTCTGAGGTGGGGAGGAGGGTCGAGGCCGTTCCTTCGAAAGTTGTACGCAATGTTCTCTTCGATCTCTGCATCGTCGTAGTCGCTGGTCGTCACTCTGCACCGCAGGGCTTTCGCCAGGAAGATTGCCAGGATACCCGTACCACTGCATGACCAAACGTTATCTGATACAGCTTCTCCCGACCAACCTGCCAGTTTTAGTGTCATCTAATTTCACTCAGCAACAGACTGACTAAGTCACACTAATATTTTCACTATATCTAGCAGGTTGCTCGGAAGAGATTTAACGATAAAGATTAGGAATGAGTTGCGATGTCGTCAAGGGGTCGTCAAGAGGCAGAGGTGGACACACTCGGAGGCTTCAGCCACCGAGTCGATAAGAGGAAGCAGTAGTGCGAGACAGGAACATGTGTAGGAAGGTTTGCAAGGCAGATGCTCAGCAGACATGCGATCACTGCAACCAAGGGACACGTCAAGTGTAACAGCATGTGCTGTTGAAGCTGAGACTCATTTGCAATTGGACAACAGGAAAGCTGTACAAATTCTCTGAATCTCGACAGTACAGAAGTTGCTACAGCTTCTGGCCGTCTGCTGATACCAGTCTGTAACTTCTGAGATAGTTTACTTCACCTGCCAATTTCCAAGACCTTCTTTCCCTCGACAAGCGTCCGGTTCTCCACCAGCCACTCGGCAAAGGAGGCCGTTCCTGGCCATACCAAGTTGGCGTTCACAGGGTGGAAGTCGAACTCGCGGATGATGAGTGACTGCATAGTACAGACAGGGACCTTGAGACCCGCAGCTTGAATTCCCCTCAGGCGGAACGCACAATCTCGAAATGGCTGGGGGACAAGCGACCAGGCTGTCATCATCGTCCATCTTGTCAACGTCAACAAATTGACGGCTACGATTCGTCCTTTCCGGCGCAAGAGAGGAGGCCCAAGCTTAAGAGTCCGGTCCTGGTCGCTAGCAGCTAACGCCCAAGTGCACTCTCAGACTGGCTTCATTAGGTGAAGATCGGACGGCTGTGACAGCGTTTCGGCCATCTCAGAATTGTGCGTTCCGCCTGCCCAGCCTTATTATGATGGTTCCGCGACTCAATTTATTGAAACCTGTTTTGGAGGCATAGGGCTAACAAGGGATGATCCAAATCAGCACTGCACCCTTCTCTAGTACAAAGCACCCTTTTCCATTACAAGGCTTCCATTAAACTGAGCTGCAAGGTGCTTGAAGTGTTCTCACCACTCCAGGGAACTGGTGCTCATTCTCAACGTACTGTTGGTTCTGCGTAGCACCACTTTCTTCCCCTGCAAATCCAATCAAATTCTTCTTTAAGTAGTGCAGCCAACTTTTGTGTTCACAGAGAGGTGTTTAGAAGTTCTGCCTGTCGGGAAGGGAGGAGACTCTAGTAAGAGCAAGGGCCCCAGCCAGAGAAATCTGAAGGTGACAGTTCGTCACTCTAGGTGCTGCTAGAAAACTCTGTTGAAGTGGTGGCAAATCTGCCGCAAGCTCATTGTTGTCTGCCATTCTGGTTCTGAGGTTCCAGCAATTGCGCCTTTCATCGAGCTTTTCCAACGCCTGAGTTTCTGAATCAAGATCCTGCTGTGGCCACTTGCGCCCATGACAGAGAAGAAAAGCTTTTGACAGCTTCAGACGGGAAATCAGCTGTACATACATCTCATAATCCTCAAAATGGCAAAACTTACCATTGGCATGTGCACCACCACCACCATCACCATCAGAATCGCTTGCATTCCCAAAGAGGTCCATCATGGGAAACACTGCAGCCTCCATCAGGACAGCCTGCGGCGCTGCGCCTTGGTCGAGACGGAACCAGCTGCCAAGGCTCTATTGGAACTGAGCGCTACAGCCAACGATGGCCTGAGGCGGATACTTCTGCAGCATTCTCAAAGACAAGCTCAAGTGAAAGTGTGCTTGTGACAATGTGAGAAAGAAGAGAACGCAGATAGAAGTATCAATTTCCGAGTAGCGCGCTCTCTCTCGAAGATTGACACCAGCAACAAAGAAAGTGGCGAGTCTTGGGCACCGGCAGACGACGGCCGCGGTTTTCAAGAACCATATGTACATGTACCGTGATCTGAGGGGCCTAGATCTGGTAGGGAACCGGCACGGGGTGACGACGACGGGTCATGTGAGTGTCATCTCTAAAATGGACTTCCCAACTTCGCAGATTCAATTAAATGTCAAGCTGCACATTGCATTTGAACAGCGCCTTGCACATTGCAGGCCTGCCACTTGTGAATCAAATATTAAGGCGGCTCTCGCTGCTCAGGATCACGTTGTGCAACTCAGAGAGGAGACCTCTCAGAAAAAGTGCGTGAGGCGCCGTCCTAAATGGCGCTGACACATGCTGGGGCGCCTGGGACGTCAGTAAGCATAAGTAGAGCCCTTCAGCGTCCACAGGAACTTCGCCCAACGTTTCCGTTTTGCAATTGCAAGCAGGATCGACGAGCACAGCCGATCCTCTCTAGGCGGCCAATTTCCAATCTCAGCACTTTCCTTCAAGGTGGCAATGCTGGGGCTTTGCAAGATTTGAGCAGTACCAGGTCTTCTAAATCTTGCAACACTAGGAGAGGTGCACGGGCAGCACTTGCTGAAAATGATACAGAAAAGGCAAGCTCAGATGGGCCAAAGGAGAGAGTAATTGAGATTGACCCATTCGAGATCCCAAAGGCTTCCCCCTTGCAGACAGCAGCCAGTCTGGCCCTCACGTCCCTCATTGGTGTGCTTCTGTTCCGTTCAGCAAGAAGAAGAGCAAAGCGGGCCACCGGGGTGGTGAGCAGATTTCAGCTCCTTCTCTTCTCCAGTTGCTTGGATGCCTGCTGGTGTACCAGTGCCATCTTCAGGAATGTGCAAGCACTTGACTCCATGAAGACACGCTGCAGTGCTAGTGGGGCCGACACAGAGTGCTCACACTGCAAAGCTTTGCAAAGGACGATGAAGCTTTTCAGACGCTGCCTGATTGTACCATTCGCCATAATTGCAACTTTGGACAAAACGGTATGACATCAACAGATTCATCCCTCCATTGATTGAGTGTCCTGCGAAAGCAGCTGGGGGACAGAAGGATGCCAGGAATGTGCAATATCAGAAGCACCTCAAATTCGTGTGCCACGTCTTCTTCTGCGAAAGGCTGCTTCAACGCAGTGTCCCATTGTTGTTATTTTGCAGTCAGCTCTCCAAAAGAAAGTTGTATCCAGATTCTGAGTGCTGAAGATCTATTACGTGGTTCTCATGAAAGTCATCAAACGCAATTTGTTAGGTTGCGATTGGTGATTTGCGAGAGAGTTGTCTGTAAACAAACTACAAATGGATGCTTTGCACAATTCAGTGATAAGGACTTCCAAGCGTCTCAATGGTTAAGTTTTGGCTTTGTAGCTGGTTCTATTGTCAACGAACTTCCTTCGCAGCTCTTATGGACCCTTTCATGAGAAAGATGGTGGTACATCTCACAAAAGCTTAAAGCAATCCTGTTGTTTGCTTCATTGGACAACCTAACCGGTTCAAAGCGGTGCCCTTGTGAGAATTGTTTATGACCATGTGTCTTGGGCCTGCTAAGATACCAAGCTCCTGACATTCAGATCTTCACACGAGACACCTGCGCACATGAAATAGGAGGATTACAACCACCATTCACCAGCGGTGCCTTTCACAAACTTCTCAGCAGTCATGGAGAGTCTCTCCAAGTTCCAGTGTCTCAAGCTGTTTCTTGTACATTCCAGCAACATTTAATCAGATTGATTCATCTGCAGCGAGTGCGGTCCGACAGAGAGGAGGTCGTGGATCTGCTAGCAGAGGCCAAAGCGAACTCTCTGGAGTCCGTCAATCCCAAAATCCCCTCCCTCCCGGCCTCCAAACAAGACAGCGAGGCTTCTCAGAAGAAGAACCCTCTGAGCGTGCTCAGCGGCGCAGTCGTCGCGGGGGTGATTGCTGCAGGCTTGTGGCTGTTCACCACAAAGGTTGAGGCGGTCTTTGATGCGCAGAGGCTGTCTACAGATTACCAGGTAAGGAGAAGTTATTGAATCGGCGCACAAGAGACTGTTCCTTGACGTGCTGTTCTACGCACTGTGAGAAGCCCTCTTCGTGAGTGTGTGTAGGACTGACGGGCGAAGAACTTCATCGTGACTTCTCTGTTGTCGCTTTGCTTGTGAACGGAGTCCCGTCCGCAGCCACTGCGAATGTTGCAGAAGAACTTTCCCCAGAAAATGAGAGCCTTACTCGTCGACCTATTCCGCTGTCGAATCAAGAAACGGATTGAGAACCGAAGCTCGAACTGCAAGGAGGATGCTCAGGCAATGCCCTGTCAAAGTCTGAAGAACGAAACGGGTCGTATTCCTTCCAGAGTAATCAACGACCCTTCTGAGATCACAATCCTTGCCTACGACTCAAAGCCAGTTCATGTAGCAGCTCTTTGGTTGGTGCCTTCTTCGTAGTTCTTTGACTTAGTGATGAGCACGCCCGATGTACATCAATAGTAGGTGCGTGGGAAAGTCACATTGCTATCCAGTCAAGAAGGAGCCGAAATCCTCTCAACTTTTCGTTTTGGATGGTGGGAATCGTATATCTCAAGATTCACAAGTCTCGCACTGCGCCTTAGGTATCGTTGACAATTCATTTCCAAACATGAAATGGATTCGAAAGATGATCATGTTGCTGAAAGATGCTTCTGTACTGGTTTTGCAGATTCGGCAAATATCAATCACTGTCAGGTAAGCTTTTGTTATATTTGCACCACAGATAAGCTCTCTAAGCGAGCTGCTGATGGTATGTGTAGCGTTTTCCCAAAATCGCGTCAGCAACCGGTGCTCATGACAGTCCGGTATCTACTATAGTTGTACGTTGCTAGAGAAAGCCTTTGTGCGTCAAGCTCGTGTGCTGCACTTGCCAGTTTGTGGAGACAATGAGTGCCCAGAGACAACGAGTGTCCCTAGTTACCACCCTCGTGGCACGAGTTGCTTTAGAGCCCCTGAATATGAGCAATCACAAGACGCTGCTTTATCCACATCCGATGTTACCTCTGTGTTCTGCAGGACCATTGTGGTTGGTTTGGCTTACTTGAGTACGTTTGTTTTTGCCTTCAACTCAGTCGGGCTAGTGCTATACGCTGGTCAGTTGGCACTCGGGCTTGACGAGGAAGGTGATAAACAACCAAAGAAAAAGGAAGCACTGGTAGCTGAGAAAGAGTCAAAGGGGGAGGACTAGAGCCTTGAGAAGAAGTCTAAGTCTACCAACTCAAGAGAGCACCAAGGTTACTCCAGAATTGACATCGAGCCGATATACATATGCGAAATCTGCAAATCAGTGCGTTTACAGCCTTCAATGACAGAGGATTTGACGGGCCTGATTGGTCGACATCTGAGCAGCGAGCCATAATGCGTCACCATAATGCCACACTCATTCGGCATAACCATGAAGGGGCCAGCAACAGTGTCCCAAGAACTTATATGTATTTCATTTGACCGGGTGCCCATTGCCATGGGCTACAACCCGCGATACTAGATGACGATGTTCGTAGTGCACTTGTGCATCGTTCCAAGCTGCATGCACTTGACCAGATATATCACCTGTGCTTTTCTGTCAAGTTGAGAACATAATGAATGATTATTCTGGACCCTCGAAATCATAGAGACCGTTGAAAGAAAAAGGTAAGAGTTGTTCGCATGGGCTCAGCCACCCCATTGATTGCGTATCATGCAACCCCGGAGACCACATAGCCACGCACATCCCCCAGGCCCAGTCAATGGCTACCACGGATTGCCCACTGAATTGCAGAGCGTTGCGGCCCGTTGCAAAATCTTCCTCTCCTTGATACCTCTAGTCCACTGGCCCAATTGCTGAAAGTTGCATGAAACTGTCTTCAGTGCGGTGTATGCGCAGGCCCCATGCAGTGCATGTGGCCAGGGGACCAATCAGGGCCCAATATCAGGGCCCAATATCAAAAGCCACGGGACGTACCCTCGGGGGGTTTTTAACGGCTTCCACAATGTCTAGATAGACCAGCTTTGATGTAGGACTTTGGATAAGAGACTAACCTAAGTGAGAACTTACCATGCGGAACATGATAAGTCTATCTCAAAAAAGCTTAGGTTGTGTCGTCGTTAATTAGCCTTGCTTCAATTCACATAGGATTGCTTCTACGGCTCACAAAATTAACAACGAGGAACTTGTACCCGTACCGGTAAAACGGTCGGTTGTGAAATGAAATCATCAGGGCGAAGAGCCACTTGTGAGCCCGCAGGTCGCGTACCCCCCATGCCAATCATGCGACTGGGATTGGGTACGATACCCTCGCGCTGAACCATTCGGCTTCGACCAATGAATTGCAGTACTGGCATGCGCGAGCGCCAATGTCGAATGGAAGTCCCCCAAACCCGGGGCGGCCGCCGCAAAAGTCAATGCATAAGGCCTCATGAAGAAAACAACAGAATTTAGAACAGATCGTCCAACCTACGGTTATGCATAGCAAACATCGCGAGCTAAACGGGTGGCCTAAATTGCAAAATTCCAATGGAACGGGATGTTATCAGTCGTATAGCATCTAACCTTCGTCTTGCCAGATCAGCAACGGGAGCTCAGTCGGTGTTGTGCGGCCTAGCTAGCTGGAAAATGGGCGGCAACGCAAAATTTCTCCAATGGTGGTTGGGTAGCTTCAGGGATGCCGCCCCCTGCTGACGTCTTTGCCAGAGCCACATTGCAAAAGGAATGCAAGCTAGCATGATCTCATGAAGCTCTGGAAGAGAAGCACTAGGTTCATCGAAATGCATTGGGATTGCCACCCTTGTCGACAGCTGGTCGACAGCCAAGTTGCGCGTACTGCATGTCTTCATCAGAAGAGCTGACATTCAGGAGGCTTTGAAAGGTAAGGTCAGCTGAGAGCTTTCCGAAGGTATCTGGTATAGTCTCGAGAAGTCACGTTGCAGCAATGCCTGGCTGCAGGGTAAGATTCGAAGGGCGACTTATTTCACAGAAGCCCTTCATTTGTGTCGGAACTGCACTATAGACTGACGTCAAAAGGAGCACTTCAACGAGGTCGTGAATGTAACAGCCAATTTGAGAATTCTGATTCAGATCAGAAATTCTGCAGAAAGGTTTGATGATTCAAATTTTCTTTGCCTTCAATCGATCGAGTTGTCGCCCCATCAGCTATTTGTCAAGAGAGTGGCAGACATATCTGCACGGTTGCTGCATTCAGTAATCAGATGTTCACAATCTATACAACAAAGGTTTTGTTCCATGAATTGCAAATCGGTCATCAAAATCTTACTCAAACCCTCTGAGGGATGAGGCGCTTCTTGTCTAAAGAAAGCGCTCACCAAAAGACGTCTCTTGAGGCATGCAGATTCATAGCAGAATTTGTCGGAGGATAGATACAGCAGAGTTTTTGCCACTTTCAAAAGAATACTAGCAGTGCTGCATTCTACAATGTACGGCCAGGGATCCCTACGTTTAACAATGTACGATTTGATTCAGTCTCACCCTACCACCTTATCGGGCACAATCATGAAAGCACCTAGGGTTTCTTTGTCAACACAGCTTGTTCTCCTCGACAGAGTGGCACTCCAATCGAGCTCACGCGCTCTGCTGGCAACACTGTCGATTTGTCAACCTGCAACAGCGACATCTGGCAGCATCAATTCGCACCCAGCCTTTGTGAATCCTCAACCTGGAGCAAAAGTCCAAGAGGCAACATGTTTAGTGGGAGCGACGATGATGGACTCCAGCAGGTGATGAGTCTTCCCTCTGATCCGCGATCGTGTTATGAAGAAGTTGAATTCGTGAGTGCAGGCTCTTGTCCCACTAAAGGCATACATGGCAAACATTGCATCATTTGGTAGACTTACTCAAAGAGGTGGAAGAGGAGTGCCCCTTGCCTGTAGCTCACGGCATAATATGCTGCAGAGAATGGCTGGGGACTCTTGAGAAACCTGATAGGTTTGCTGCTGAATCCAATGACTCCTCAGCATCAGTATTTGGTGACACCAGAGGAATCGAAGCCCATTGTAACATCAGGCTTGCACTGAGGGAGCAAACATACACTAAAGCCACATTGCCGCCACGTCTTCTCTGTCCAGGTTCTAGTCAAGCAATCTAGCGCTTGACCTTTCAAGTCATCTTTTATGTAAGAGTAACAATCCATTCTGAAACGCCAAGCTCAGCGCTCATTCAACCAGCGACTCTGGACTGTGGTCTGCTGGATGAAAGCTCAACAAAGCCGACCAGCTGACTCATATAACTTCAATGCCCATCCCCGCTGCAGGCAGCTTTCTGGCATGGTGTCATTGGATGAAAGCTCCCAAAACTAGCAGACCTCTAACAAGTGTCCATTCGCTTCCCCTCCCCTGCAGGGCAGCTTTCTGGTGCTTATGCACAAAGAGCTGAAAAGGCCAGCTGACCTCCAACTACTTGCAATTGCCCCTCATTTGGTACTGTGATTGTCAGCTTGTAAACAGTTATTGTCTTTGATGTATTGGCAGGGCAGCTTCCTGTGGAACGGCGACACCGACCTGGACCTCATGGAAGACCCCGAGCTCGTGTCGCTTTTTGACAACCTCCCCGACACCGAGATGTCGCTCGCCGACGCCATGCAGTTCACGGATAGCAGCCTGAGCGACGCCGCTGCGCGGAGCCACTTTGTGTATCTGCCAGAGGAGAGCCAGCATGGCTTGGGCGACGCTTTGGATATGCAGGCGGGGGGGCAAGGGGCCAGGGGCGGGGAGGGATTTGCGCAGCTACGGGAGGTGGCGGGGTTTGGGCAGGACACTGGGGAGCAGGTAAGGAGTTTGGACTTGAAGTTCTCTGTGCAGACGGTTGGTTTGCGGGGGTGGTTTCAGAATCTAGTGTGGCGGGAACCTGTGGTATGCTTATCTGGTCTGCTTGATTTGTGCATGCCTCCCTTAAAGATAAGTCTGGGCAGGCTGCCAGACTGTTGACGTGGGATCCTTCCCAGAAGCATTTTAAGCGCACCAGTCTGGAACAATGAAAGCTAGCACTGCACATTCTCTCATAGAGCGACGGGCAAATTCTGAGGTATCAGGCGGCAGAACCATGATGTAGGTGGGAGGACAAGGTGGTCATCGAGGCTGCGCAACAGCGCGGAAGCAGCATTGCTTGGTCGGAAGACTCATCATCTTAAGATTCTGAATCTGCAGGCGGTGGAAGGCGCCTCCGGTCAGGCCTCGCTCGACAACCTGTTTCCAAAAGTAGATGACGGCACAGAGCCTGACATCCCGGCTCTGTTTGAGGGCTGGCAATTTGTTGACACCGACACGAGGGGCGCGCCCGGCCCATGGAGGCCTCCCGATCCAGACGAGTTGGGGAACATACAACCCAGGAGCGAGGTGAGGATGCATATGCAGTCACCAATTCCAAAAACACAATAAAAGGTTCAACAAAAGATAACTGTGTGTAGATATAGATAGTAAAGAATTTTCATGACTTCGGAGACTAGGGTGGAGCAAGTCAGAGGATGTTGGACATTCAGCTGTCTTTCAGAGCCTTCTGTTGGTCAAGGATTGAATTGTGCGATGCAGGACGATGTGGAAAGTCCTCTTTCAGTAGGAAGATTTCTTTTGTGGGTTGCGCAGAGTGACGCTGGCTTCAGAATGCTTTACGCAACGATGCATGGAAATATGCCTGTGCTGCGGTTAGTCTGCATGCTATGCTGGGCACTGCCTCAACAAACTGTCGCACTTGAGCTCCTGAAGGCATCTGCAGACTATTCTTTCTCCGCAAGTGTACTTACCATAGCCCTGCATCTGTCTTTCCAGGACGACAGTGACTCAATGAACGGCGACGAGCAACCCAAGCCCCCCCCCGCATTCCTGGGATCCTCTCAGCGCCGCCCCCCCCTGTCCAGCCCCACAGAAATCACACGCCAAGGCGTCTCCCAACTGCAAATACACCGCTCCAATTCAGCGCCGAGAAACCCCCCGCCGCCCCTAACCGCTCCGATCGTTCCTCGAGGATCGGGTTTGCTTAACCCGGGGGGCGTGTTCACAAATAATCCGGGGGGCGCCCCCCGGCCCTTGCGGGGTGTGGGGCCGGGGCAATTAGGCGTTATGGTGACGGCGAATGGATCCGTGGAGGGGGGTCCTTTTGGCCCGGCGGGAAGGGGGGCACTTGGGGTCCGGAAGGGCGTGGCCAAGAACGAGAAGAATGCGTTGAAGTCGAGGCGGCACAGGGCGAGGAAAAAGGTGGGTGTTTGGCAACAAACAGCTGCGCCGCTTCGTGATTGTGAGAACGTCCTCTATTTGCAATGGAGCAAGTGCAAGTGCAAGACGGCGAGTCCGGAGTATGTCAAGAATCGACTTTGATTGACAGCTAATCTGCTATCGCCTCACGATTTTCCGGTTTCACCGTACCATGTCCCTCGTGTGCAAGGACTGTAGCGTTAACACAACTGATGAACCTGTTCTGGGAAGCCAAAAGTTCGTCGTTATAATGCCTGAGAGTCCTGCTCTCAAAGGTGCCCAGTCTTCCATGTCCCGGCCAAATTTCCGGGCCGGTTTTGACAACCGCATGATTTCCAAGCCTGTACTCGTTCCGCCCAGAATAGCATCTCACTGTTTCCGCCCGGATTCCGTGCAGGAGCAAGAGCGGACCCTGGAGCGGCGGGTGGGCGAGCTCGAGAACGACAACCAGGCGCTCAAGAGCCAGCTGGACCAGGTACGCACCAGCATCGTTGCTCACCGGTAGAGCGGTCCCTAGCTGGCGTCACGATGACGTGCCCATAGATAACTTCAAAAATATTCACTTCGTCTAATACTGCCTTGCTGTTTGGTTGGTTAGCAGGGAAAGGACCAGGATGCCCTCACGTGCGGGCCCAGTGCGACCAGCCGTTTTGTGCATTTACCTCTCTCCTTCACCTTATTTTTCGATATTGGAAAGTCCCTGTTCACAGAAAGAGTCGGGCTGCTGACCAATCTAGTTTTCGACCAAAACCCTTCGGTTACTGCTGGAGTCTGGAACATTGGGAACAATCAGTTATTAACCAGCCCGTAACCGGCAATGGCTAACTGCCAAAATAAGAGTGGTTTCCATTATTGTTTTCTTGGTTGCTCCAGGTGCGCGCCGAGAAGGACGCACTGCAGCGACGGCTGGAGGAGGACGGCCGGCGCGCGGTGCGCGAAGTTCAGGACGAGAACGACGCGCTGCGGCGGGATTTGGCGCTGGTGCAACGCGCGATGGAGGATCTGGTGAACGATCGTGCGGCCGGCGGGAGGGTCGACCGGCAGCGTGGGGGCGATGCGAGCGAGGGGGGATGAAGGGGGGGGAGGAGCGGACGGGGAAATGTAGCCCCTGATTTCAACAGAACACTCATCCGAAAGTGGGCTGCTCGAGAGCAACGAACATGGGCTCCAGGAGGAAATATGATCGACGTTGAAATATGCTGCTTCGAGGGGAAACATTCTGCGTGGCCTGCGGGCTGACGCGATCCCCCCAGCTTTTGACGGCCGGAATGATTGGCCAACGCAACGAAGGGGAATTCGTCGAAAATGCAACTGACTTCTGCAATGGGGTCTGTGCACATTGCACCGCGATGAGATGTGAGTCGACAATAAAGCTCTCTCTGCTTGGGCTGCCCAACAACCTGCAGCGAGCCTGAGCGAACAAGTGGATTATCGGAGGCGTCGCGGAAGGCTCCTCAGAAAACTGATCCAGTTATGATAAGGCCCTCTAAGCCCGAAATGCACTTCGCTCAGTCGAGCTCTGCCTAACAAGAGTCGGAGCCGGTGGTGGGGTGGATGCCTCAGAGGTTGGTCAAAATTGCAAAATTGCCGGGGACATTGAGAATTACGTTTCGGTATCTGTGTTCTCGAACGAATCAACTCAAGCCTCTGCTTCGATATTGAACAGAAAACAACTTGCTTGTGGGCTCGGACGACAGTGTCGTCATATAAGTAGCTTTAATACGTACAACCTGGAATTCATAGCTGAAGAGATAAGAAAAGATAGAATAGCTCGACATGGACCGGACAGGTCTGGAGAATAGCCCAAAAAGTATTGTCGGTAAAACATGTGGACCATGCTGAATGTGACCCGGAGTATTGTGCCATCACCAGGCTAGCCAGCTCGATCGTGAAGCATGCATGCAGGCCGCGAATTCATAGCTCTAAGTAAATCGGATTTCACAGGGCCAGGCTAGCATATGTTAAACGGCACTGGCTGCTGCCGTCATTGGACCACTATGCTTTGGAAGGTCTTGTGCCACTCGATTTGGTAAAGTTGACATGCCAGGTGACCTTTTGAACTTCGTAAGCGGCTCATGCAGCGCCGATATGCCAGTATCAAGGTGGCGGCCAATCTTTCAAGCTATATATATAGTCGGAGCGAATTGCACTAGCTCCTGGAACTAGCTTGCAAGTTGGAAAGCGCACGCGGCCCTTCAGCCTGCATGCGCATGTAGCTCTTAAAGCGCATCATTGCTTTTTACTTTATATTGAAGCCCCTTTGTATGTGAGGGCCACATGTATATACGCGCCGTATAACATTCATGATTTGAGGCACGGTGCACGTACATCATTCATGTGCAAGGTGCTCAAAAGCAATGCTTGGCTTGTATAGATGTGTACCCCGGCCTATACCGTCTACTTATAATGACGAAGTCACATTCGCGTTAAGTTTCAAACCGTCATTTGCACGTCCCAACATGCATGCATGCACATGCATGCATGGCGGCACGCACTCACAACTTGCAGCTCTAGCTTATACATGTTCGAAGATCAAATTTTGGCTGCACTAAATGATCAACCGTATGGCCGTCTATGTACTTTGCTGCATACAAAGTGCACCAGATCTACAAGTCGATTTGATCAAGTTGACCTGCTGAGGCCCGCTCAGTCTCCTCGGGGCTTACGAATGACGCTCATCAGCTTGTTCAAGTAAGGATTAGTAAGATGTACACTCGTACCCTAGGCAGCCGCCCGATTCCAATAAGCGATACAGATTGATAAGCGTCAATAAGCTCAGACAGTCCTCCATAATACTCAAACAGAAACAGACACAAGATCCTTAGTCGACGTGTCTTTGCCATTGTCGTAAGGGAAACGTCTCCCAGAGTCTATTCGCGATGTCTTGACTACTCCGCCAGATAGCCTGGACTTTTGTAACTAGAAAGTTCCAGAACGAGGAGGGCCAGTAGTACGGATGAAGAAGGCGGAACGCAAGGCTGATAATCTGGCGAAACTCCTTCCCCACCTGCAACAAAAAGCGGGTGCTCAGGAGGCGGAGTGGTCGCGTGATGCTTAAGGATCTTGTGCAATCAGCACTGTATGGTCGAGATCTGAAAAGAAGCACTTTGACCTTCTTTTTGAACTTCAAGACGAAGTAAGCGACATCATTGTTCTACACGGGTTTTCCGAAGAGAGCACAGCTGATCGAGCCGAGGCCACAAAAGGGACAGCTCAATGGAGTGACTCTTCTTAAGCTGCCGCTGCGAAGACGTGCACAGCGCTGTCTGCCGCAAGCGGGTCGTGAGCGAAGCTTGGGGCCCGTTCCGCCAGAACGAACGAACGGAATCCGGGTCGGAGCTGGCGTGGAAGATTGTGGTGCAATCAACACGAGAAAGCAGATCGAACGGCCTACGCAAACACCGACGTTGCCCCTTGAAAGCATGTCCTCTTAAGATTCTTATCTATGCAGATTCAAAACATATCAAAGTCCTCTCCGAGAAACGAGCCCCGGCACTCGGAATAAGAGCTGCGGGGAACTTACGGGAAACAGCGTGTCCAGCGTTTTGGTGGAGGCGTGCCTGACGGAGCGGGGCGGGTAGAGGGGTCCCCCTGGAGAGGTCATACTGTACAGAGCCGATTGCAGCCGGATCTGGGACGTCGTCCGAAGTGGGAGACCTGTAAACGGCGCGCAGACAGTTCACTTTCTCAAGATTTTGGTAGATATTGAGAGCCATCCATGCTGCTTCCGTCTCGCTCTAGTTCCGAGTCACTCGACTGTCCCTCGTGACTGCAGCCGGATCTGGGACGTCGTCCGAAGGGGGAGACCTGTAAAAGGCGCGTAGACAGTTCACTTCCTCAAGAGTTTGTACTGGCGCTTGTATCTTTGCCACGACGCGTTGCGTTCTTTCCATCTCGGAGTATCTTAAAAGAGCGCTTTTGCCTTGAGGCAAACATGGAGAGTCTGAAGAGGCCGCTCAGACTTTCCAAGCGGTCTGACGCAAGGGCGGGAAAGGCAGCGACTGTAGAAAAGGCGGAGCTAACATGAACCTATTCCCGAGTCGAAAGGCAATGTGGAGGGCAAAGAGTTGTCTGACACTGCTGCCAACTCAGGATTGCTTCCTGAGAAGTCTGGCAGGCGGGCGATCAAGAGCATAGACGGAAACGGCCATGAAAGCAAAGCTTGGAGGAAAGAAAGGGGCCAAGCGCATCCATGAGCACAAATTGGCCAAAGAAGTTGCCAAACGGGCTAATAGTCTGTAAAAATTGACGGTTTGGATACGAGGCATGCGGAACGGATGTGCTATTGACAAGTCTATCGACATTACAAGAAAGATCTAAAGCCGCTACCCAAACGGCCGCGATACCAAGATATCTTCCAAGCCGGAGCTTTTGGTCGTATAAAGTATAAAAGAAATCAATCAGAAAGGAACGGCACATATAAGCGCTAACGACAAAGAAGAGCTTTTGGGTGTTATACCGACTGGACTCGAGCATAGCTCACCTTTGAGCGCACGTAGGCTCTCTAAATAGGTCAACAACACCGGCTCGACCTTTATCTTCTGCAACTGCAGGAGAAAGCGATCGAAAATGCGAGTGAGCGTTCGCGTCGACGTTCTGCACGAGTATACGCAGGTACCCAGTTTCTGCACGGTGAATACGTAGAACTTCTGTGCTCCTTGAGCCACGCGATCGTCCAAATCCTTTCTCACTGCTGTTGACAACCGTAGGCTTTGGTGATCTTTGTGAGCTTTTGTGGAATTTCAGAAACCTGAGGAGCTGCCGACCCGAAACTCTTTTTGCAGGGCCACAAGGGGCCACAAATATTGCGGGAGCTAAGAAACGGCCGTCGCGGAATGTGGCTGTTGCCCGCAAAGTGCCATCCGACGAAACAGCGAAGGCGCAACGAATTAGACCAGCGAACAAAGGACCGTTCTAAAAAGCCAATGATTTATCAGTCGTCTTTCAACGAGAACGCAGAGCATCAAGCCCGGGGCCCTTTCCATCCAACAGTTGCGGGCTGACTGTCGACAAAATCAATCACGTCCAGCACACAGACTGCAAAGAAGCCCTTTGACACTTCCTCTGTTTGCCCTGTTATCAAGCGTAGAACAGTGCGGATTTGTACTACCGCATCCTTTGTTGTGCTTTTTATTGCACATTCGGTCAAACCTGGCCGCCTGACCCAAGTCCGATAGGTACCGATCGCAGAACTTGCCCGATGCGCAGAACTTGAGACCCTTCGATGACCCAAAAGCCTTTCATCGAACGGCCCAACTTCTGCAAGGCCTGGCCGGCCAGTCCGGTCAGAGCCGACCGTAAAACTCTTGCGAAGGCACACCCGCAGAACTTGGGCCGTTCGATGGAGCCCTTTCGCGTCATCGAACGGCCCAAGTTCTGCGGCTCGAGAAAGTTCTGCGACTGGCTCGATTCGAACTCGGGTCAGGCGGCCAGGTTTGACCGACCTGCAATATTTAGAGTACTGAACTCACGTGGTTGGTAACCTCCGTGGCGAAGATATCCAGCGGCAGGCTCCACGACGCTCTCCGCACCGAGTCGGGCAGCGTTTGGAGGAGGACCGCCAGCTGGTCAGCTGCACACCAGGTTTTCGCGGTGAGGGTTTATATTCTCAGAATGTTTTTGTGATAATGATGATGCTGACTATGGTGATAGCCTCAGGGTTCTGAAACATGCAGTTTTTGAGGTTTAGGGTCTGGGCAACTGGAAACTTCCGCTCTTGAGGTTTCAAGCAAGACCGCCAGTTGGTCAGCTGCAAATTATATGTTCAGCTGTGACACTTCTCGGTCAAATTAATGAAACAATAGCAATGTTGATACTGACTATGATTGTAGCCCAGGGCTCTGAGATGTGCAGGTTTTGTATTCTAGGGCCTGGCTAGTCGACACCTCTGACATGTGAGATTTCGAGAAGACTGCCAGCTGGTCAGCAGCATACATACCAGGATCCCAGCTGTGAGGTTTCTCGGTTCCGGATAAACCAGCCGGCTTAGGATTCTCGAACACGCAAACAAGAGAATCCCGTTATCTGACAGGTTCTGCGATCAGAATCTCAGGCGATGCAGATATGTGAACACACCAAGCAGACACTGAAAGCTACAAGCCAATCATTGACCAGGCTGCTCAGTAAATGCTTCTACGCGCGTTTGACAATGGGTCCTGACTTACCATGCTCATAGAAGAAGAGAAAGCGGGAGGCGAGCTTGAACAGGTCACTGTCGACCTGTAAGCGAATGTGATGTGTTCAAACTTTCTGAAGCGCTGAGCTCTCGGGTCTGTAGAATATCGACGATACAAACGACATGGAAGACTCGAAGAAGCGAGCTTGGTTAGAGCCGGAGAAACCAGAGTACCGGGGGTTTGAAATGGTCGAGATCTAGAAGTGGGGCCTCTGAAATACCTCACTTGGCGTCTGACTAGGCAAACCTGGCCACCGGAGCCGGTCGATTGGCCACAACCAAATAAGAAGCTCCTTTAAATGGGTACCAAACTACTACCGAACAGAGCATGAGTAACAAATTGTCGACGGTCGAGAACACCTACCGAAAGCACTCCTCCAATGGGACGAACGAAGAATACGCAACAACAGCAACGAGGCATCGAGGAGCGACCTCAGATCACGGATGAATTAGGAGTCTTTCAAAGTGGCAAACAAAGATAAGGAAAAGAAGGGAATTCAACATGGGAGAACCCCGTGGGTGGCCGCACCTGTGCTGGGAACTCTTTGACGCGGGCATCGTTCAGGACGACGTCATACAGGATGTACTGCACACACCAAGAGACGTCAGCATTCCGAGCCGCGATTGACCCCGATGTCGACAGTTCCAATCAGCAGGGGAGAACAGACATGAACTTGTCTCAGCATGGTTTGCACTCGATGGACGATGTTCTTATACCCTCAAGCTGACGAAAAAGGACCTACTGTTTCCAGACGCTTCTTTTGAGTGCTGAAAGCCCACCATTGTACGGCTCAGATGCTCATTCACTGGCATGGTGTTAGAATGCATCCGCAATCTTTAGTTGGGCGAACAACGAGGAAAGGACACCAATATTCGGGTCTATGTCGGGGTCACCCGCAAAGGAGAAGCTTACTCGGTACAATGGCTGGAAGCGGACAGCGTTGCTTTGGATATCAATCCTGCAACAGAAAGAGGTGATCAGAGACAAAAACAATATTCCCCCACCGGAGACGCTCGCCAGTTCTTCTTGCAAGAGCGAGAGATCGTGGATCGTCGAGATTGCAACACGTGTCCCAGGAGGTCCGGAAGTGCACAACGCTGCGACGTCAGGGTGTGTTGAAAATACCAGACCTTTGCCAGGAAACAACTGCAAATGAATTTCCAGCAGCTAAAGAGACAGCCAATGGGTTTTCGTTTAGTACGGCCGGAGTCGCTTTGCATTTGGAACCGGCGTACAGAGACGGGCGCTCACCAGAAGACGTGGCTCGCTCCGTTAAGGAAGGCCTTGTTGAAGCGCAGCATATCGTCTGATTGAACTGGAGGGGTTTCGAACAGCTGCAGACATGGACGGCAACGCTTAGGTTGGGTCCCAACCAAATCAGGAGCCAACGATTGCGGCTTGATAAATGAGCGATGTAGGAAGCGAGATAAGCGTCCGAAGTTGAGCAAACCTCCATTTCACTTCACAAAGACGATTATGTGTTCTCTCAAGCTAGATCGGACGCTGATGGCAAGCAACTGTCGTAGCTATTACGGTGTAGCTTGGAAAGATGTACTTGTCAGCGGAAGGGCAGAGGGCGACCGAAGCATTGACCTCACTTATCATTCCAGGTGTAAACAAGCGAGAAGTCGAGGGCAAGGTGCAAGAGCGCAAGCGTTTCCCATTCAAACAATATTTCCAAGCCGTTTTATTGACGAAAAGTGCTTGCGAACGTATTGCATGCCCTTTGCTGGCAATGCGTTTCCTCAGCCCATTTCCTCTCATCCTCTTTTCTCCCGCTTTGTAGACCCTCACCTACCGGTAGAAGTTTCGCCGCCACCGAAATACTCACCCATCGGTAGAGCAGGAGTGCGAAGATCTGGAACGTGAAGTACTGGCTCCAGAGCGCACTGATCAGCGGCACAATCTCCTTGGCGTCGTCGGGCGACTGGAAGTAGTGCTCCGCTAGGACCTCGTAGTAGCACAGGCTGCGCTTCCGCCGGCGAGCTTTGGCCTCAATTGTCGCAGTGTTGACTTTGTACAGGTTCGCTGCAGATGCAGAGAATATGCGAGTACAGAGGGCATCTTCGCAATGTCATCGCCCGGCAACTTTTAGTAGGGTCCAATGCTCGGGGCACGAAGTCTGATAGCGACTTTTTGGCGACAGGATAGCGGAAAGCCGCGCTTCGATGTTGCTATGTGAAGTCAGGCGTTCTGGGGCCCCAGGACGCCAACTTTCAAGGTGCAAAGGAGAGACAGGGGATAAGTTGAAGAGAAAGAAAGGAGGGGCAGCTCGGAGCGGGAAAATGGTATGGAGAGAAGCGTCAGCTTGCTTGAATCTGGTTTCAATCGCATCAGTATATGAGTGGGAAAAATTGTTTCCGGGTGGCAAGAGGAAGGGGAAGGGGCCGAAGTTGGAGGAGACGGAGGGGCGAGAACAAACAGAATAAAAAGAGGGGCTTTCTGAGCACCTGCTCTGCCGCTGAGACGTGCGATTGGTGTCAGGGAGAGTGCCCTTCCTTTTGCTGCTTGCAAATGCACATGAGGGCCTTGAAGAAAACAAAATCTTTCAACCATCGTAAAAACCTTGAGAAACAACTTTTGTTGCAAACCTTCAACCTCAGGTTTGAGTGGACATGAAAACGAAATCTTCTAGGGGGACCTCTTAATGAAGCAATCACAGCGTGATAGACTTTCAAAGAGAGGGACATCCGCCTTCAAAAAGCAATGAATACTACCTTCCATTTCAGTCCAGCAAAAATAAATCGTGAACATCCTTCTTCACTCCTCACCTTCTGCTTTTGTGTTGACCTCCAAAGCGATATCCGTGAACAGGTCTTGCAGCTGCCGAACTCGTTCGCTCCCTGTCTTCCTCACAGCCTGCGCAAAATCAAGGGCCCGACATAATCTCTCAACACATTCGATCGTGACGTGCTACTGAAAGAAAGGCTTGTTATTTGCTTTACATACTGCAGATAAACGGAGAGGAAATGGAAAATGTGGGCCATTTCGCCTCAAGCCCCTGTGCCTGACGAGCAGCCTCTGCGAGAAAGATCGAGTAGAAGGAAAGGGAGAAGCGATGACTTGCTCCCTCAAAGGCAGCCTGGTACAAATGTCAAGCACTTAGTGCCGTCAGAAAGCTTTTTCAGATGGAGCCAAGAGCAGGATAATGAGGTTAGGAAGGCTCAAGTGACATTGCCCCCTATGCAAGCACTCAGAACGACTGCTTTTACGTTCAAAACTTGAAAGAAGAGAGTTTGCGCCTGGCAGAAGGGCCTTCAAGTTGCAATTGATGTGATGGTAGGTATGATGGTGAAGCTGAGAAGGTGTCAGGAACATTTCTTACATAAGAAAGCCCTCTTCTCCTGAAAGTCACGTGTTGCCTCTAAGCGGTGGCTTTTGAAGAAGGACTTCTTACTTCAATCAAATGACGAATTAAGTGTTGAGGCCTGTTTGAGGTGCGTTGACAATCTTGATGGGGTAAGAAGTCGCCGTCAGAGCTAGGTTGGACACTCTGTCTATTGATATTAGTACATGATACTAGAAGAAGAGAAGCGCGAGCACAGGTGACAGAATGTCCAGAACTCATGTAAGGCAGAAGCTGGAGGGAAAAGTTTTAAGAACTTGCTCACGTGTTCTCTACCATGAATTTACGCTTTCTGAAAAACCTTCAAAATGCAAAAAGTTTCCAATTTCCCGCCCCAAATTCATTTCATTCTGCCACCCATGCAGACTTCGGTTTGGCCCCCTCCTTAGGAAGCTTTTCCTTCTGTTTCAACGTGGCCCTCCTCCTTGAACTCTCTCACCTCTTCTAGCTTCTTGCGGACCTCACTGGCAAGTCGTGCTCTGAATGGGGACTGCGGTAGTGTGGGATGGTCATCGTCATTGAGCGGAACAGCGCCCATTCCTTTATTACTTTTCGTTGTGAGTACCGCTCGCTCAAATGCAGCAGCGTTGCGCAGATAAGCAAGCTGTTGTATGACCCAGAAAGTTGCATGCATCAACGTGCATCTACGTGCATCCTGGCGGAATGAGACCTAGAACTGTTCAGCAGGAAAACGCCAGAATGGCCCAGCTCCAGCTCCTTGGTTTGAATTGGTACATGCATGGCAAGCTCATGAAACAGGGTCACCAGCTCAGGCTAGCTGTGTTCGACAGCGGCACCTGCTTATGCATACATAGGTGCTTCATATGTCTGTCATACGCGCTTGCTAAGCTATTTTTGCGTTTCCGTTTTTGGGTTCGGGCTGTTTCGGTAGTCAGGTCGAGACCATTTATGGTCCAATTTACAAATCATCAATTTGAGGCGGCATAGCCGTACAGCAGGCCCCTCTATACTCCGCCCATATACGACACGGGGAGTGCTTGGACCCGGAGCAGCAAAAGAAGAGCCCAATGCCAATGGCAAAAGAGGTTCGCAAGCTGTGCCGCCCTGTATCTGGAACTTGGAAGCATTGGAAGTGAAGGCATTGGAAGTGAAGGCAATTGCGAGATAGACATCAATTCTTCCGCCTCTCTAAAAGGAGTCACGGTGCACAAAGCAGTTGTTTCCTTGGCCTGGCACCTGAAGGAGTTGGGAATGTGGCTCTTGGGACTGAACGTGTTTGCTTGAATGTAAGCAGGAGACTTGTCCACAGTGCTTCTGGATGAGACTCACTTTGAGGTACAGGTCTTGTGCAAAGCCTGTGAGGTGCGGCGCCAAGGCAGGATGCCCAGGAGCAGCCTCAGTGACCTATAGCTGATGCTCGCAATCAGGCGCATCACTTTCTTCCCCGTTACAGACCCTCACTTTCAGAGTCCCAAGCCGTTTCTACCTCGACTTTTGCCCTTGCGCCGACCTCAAAAATGGCATCTTCGCCCTCTGCGCGGGATGGCGCCGCCCACTCTCTCGTCTTCAGGGTGATGCGCCTCTGCAGGCCAGCTCTACAAGTAGACCTCCCCCTTCGTGTGCACCCTCATGACCTCATTGCTGAGGGCGGCGCCATACCACCGCTCACAGGCCCCCCTCCTGATGGCTCGTTCTCGGGAAGGGCAGAGTTGCACAGCTCGATGGATGCATTCGGAGTCACGGGGATGCTCGTGCTCCCCCAGACTTTCGGCTCCATCTACCTCGGCGAAACGTTCTGCAGCTACATCAGCGTGAGCAACTCCTCAGGCCTTGAAGTGACTCAGGTGGGGGTGAAGGCTGAGCTACAAACTGAGAGGCAGCGGGTGACTCTAGCAGACAATACGCACTCTCCAATTGCGACGCTACCACCGGGGGGCCGGTATGATTTCATCATCGAGCACGACATCAAGGAACTGGGGGCTCACACCCTCATATGCTCGGCCGCTTACGTAGACCCGGAAGGGGAGCGCAAGTATCTGCCTCAGTACTTCAAGTTCCTGGCGTCCAACCCGCTGTCAGTCCGAACGAAGGTGAGCCGCTAGCGAGCTTCTCGGGATCTCATGTTTTTGGCGGGGGGCATATTATGTCCTTTGATGGAAGGGGTGTTGGGCTCTACCTGCTTGAAGCACAGACACTGTGGCCTGTTCAATCCACGCAATGAGTTTCTCAAGAGCAAATTTTGCAATATCATGCATCGACCTGCAATCCAGAATCTTTCAATTTGTTGCTTGATGTACGCTTCTGTCATTGACAATCTTCTTGTGTTGCTACAGGTTCGGGTGGTCAAGGAGAGCACCTTCCTCGAGGCCTGCATTGAGAACAGCACAAAAGGCCCGCTCTTCCTCGACCATGTGCGATTTGACCCCTCCCCCAATTTCTTCTGCACCCCCCTCAACCCCGACGAAACCAGTCCGGCCAGCGATGATCTTCCACGGTAAGGCACCTTTCTTAAGATTTTCACCTCTCGAAATCAGAGAGCATGTTCTGGGAAGAGAGCCGCCTAGGGCCGTGCCCCTACAGGACCCAGCATATGGATCAAGCCACGGGACTGTACAAGTGTTCCGAGAGTCATGTTCGTAGTTCTGGGGGTCTTTCGCTTTGAGGGGCTTTCTTTTGTTTTATAAGTTGGTTTTTGATGCAAATAAAGAGTACAGATCAGTGGACACCGCCGGACTCCCTGGCCACCACTCACAATACTAAGCGCCTCATTTTGTTCACCCCGTTGGTGGTTTCGAGTCCTCCGCCTGGAGCGTTGCAGCCTTTAAAATCACGAACACTGCATCCTGCCGGTTGAGAAGAGATCCTTTCCGACTGAGCTCAGCTCAGGAGTTTCTTGGAGAGGTGCACTATCACAAACCAGCTATTACAGAAAGAACCATCTCATCACGGGGTTGCCCAGCCTTGTAAACCATCGAAGCCTCCGGCTCACTCCTCACCCTCCCTCCAGCTTCCACAAAGAGACCAACCTCATCAAAGGCGGCGGCGGTTCCAAGTACTTCCTGTACCACCTCACGCGGGTCGACCCCAGCGCCCCCGGAGCTCCGAGCCCGAGCGGGAGCGCAAACGTCCTGGGGAAGCTCGATATCACGTGGCGCGGCACGCTCGGGGAACCGGGGCGGCTGCAGACGCAGCAGATCATGGGCAACGCGCCCGCACGCAAGGAGGTCGAGCTGCGGGTGCTGGATGTGCCGCCGCGGATCGAGGTGGAGAAGCCTTTCATGGTGAGGGGTGGTGGGCAGTTTTGTCTTCATGTTTTTTCCCTTTAAAGTTGAGGGGCTGGAGGCGTTGTGTTTCGTACGACTTTCATTCGAAAGAGGTGGAGAAGCCGTTCATGGTGAGGGGTTGTGTGTGTTCCTTTCAATGGAGGTGGACAAACTTCACTGGTGAGGGGCTGGGGGGGGACTTTTTCCGTACATTGTTTTTGAAGGGAGGTGGAGAAGCCGTTTATGGTGAGGGGGGCTGCGGTTCTTTTGTTTGTTTGTGTGTTCCTTGAAGTTGAGTGAAAGGCTGTTCCCGGGAGCAGAATTTTACCATTGAAGTTAACTCGGGCTAGAGATGGAGAAGCCGTTCGTGGTGAGGGTTTGTGGGAAGCCTGTCTTTGTGTGCGTTCGTTTGAATGTAGGTTTAGAAACCGTACTGGCGAGGGGCTGGGGGTTTTCGTGTTCGTAAGAGTTTCTTTCGACAAAGGGGGAGAAGCGGTTCATGGTGAGGTGTGGTGGGAAGCTCTGTCTCGTTTGAATGGAGGTAGAGAGAGTTTACTGGTGAGGGGTTGGGGAGTTTTGCGTTTGTAACGAGTTTCCTTGAAAAGAGGTGGAGAAGCCGTTCATGGTGAGGGGAGCTGCAGGCTTTTGTTCGTTTGTTTGTTGCTTGGAGTTGAGGTAAAAGATTCTCCTTGGAGCGATTGTCGGAGATTCAAGGTTTCCCCTGGCTAGAGGGGGGGAGCAGCCGTTTCTTAGGGTGAGAGGGAAATGAAAGGGCTGCCCTTTCATCATGAAACCTGAGGCTTGAGGTAATACGGGTAAGAGGTGGAAAAGCCCTTTGAGAAAACGAGGGGCCGCGAGTCCTCGCATGTCGATATGTCGGCTGGGGCCTCATTGAGGGCCTTGGTAGACGGAGGAGGAATCATCGTGACCAACAAGGAAAGAAGGGGGACTTTGAGTAGCGGGTGTTTTCGGTTTGCGCTGTGGCCTCATCCTGGTGCCCTTCGGTTTGAATCGGAAAGGCGCTACTGATGAATGGGAAGATCTGATAGTTCAGGGGGCAAAAGTAACATTCCCGGGAGCTTTCTCATTCGATGTTTGTTCAGACGGACTTTCAAGATACGTATGAAAGTGCCTTTCCCCTTTGCGGGTTCGCTTCCTTTCTGAGGTACCTGTACGATTCGTTGGCGCTTTGCACTTGAATTCGCTGAGTGCAGTGTTGAACCAGATGCTTCGCTTCCAGCTGAGTCTGACGTCGAATCTGCTCGAATACAAATTTTTTCTTTATAATCTGTCGCTTTGGTTAAAGGGTGCAGTTCAAACCGAATAAGGGGTCCGTCCATGTATCCGAGGAGATCGGGGTGTTTAACTTACTCCTGTTGGCGTTCTCATGCTTGACGTGGGGCTTGCGGAACTTGTGGTAGAATTGCTTCTAAGTTCCTCCTGTGACAGTGTCTTCTCCCAGAAGCGGTGCGTATCATTGGTTTAAGTCCAATTCTGAGTTACGGAGTATTGGTACGGAAGTCTGGTCGTTTGAAGACAAGACGAACGTCCTGAAACTGAGCCTCAAGCTTCTTCTGTCAAGCCTCAAGTGTTTTCGTGGTTAGGAACTGTCTTCGTCATGCTCCCGAAACCAGAATCTGGTGTTCGTCTTGATCATCCCGGGGGAGGAGGAACTTTCAACGGATACTTTGTTCAACTTCAGCATCCCGAGAAAGGAGCAGCCATGCCTTGTCCATTGCTCTTATCGACGGACTCAGACGAGGTCATTTGATTGGCATCATTCGCCAAGAGTTAATTGTCCTTTGCCAGCGTTGCTTTGTCTTCTCCAAGCACAAGTTTGTCTGGATCTTGACTGTTTTAGAGCTTCAGCATCCTCGGTCTTGGTGGCGGCATCATGCCTTCACAAGAGTCGCAAGATCAGGTCATTCGAACAGTGTTTCTTATCTGGCTGAAGCGTGTCTTTTTGTTGCAGCTTTCATGCCGGATACGAAACGGAAGCGACAAGGCGGTAGGCCCCGTTCGGGTCGGGTTTCTGATGGCCCAGGGGATTCAGCGCATGATAGTCACGTGCGGGCCAAAAGCATACACGCTGGAAGAGCTTCCGCCCCATTCTTCTCACGAATTCGGCCTGGTAAGATTCAAAATAACTCTCTTCGATATGAGAACCATGCGGAGCATCTCTTTGGCGGTGTTGTCAAGAAGTTGGGTAGTTCGTTGACGCTTCAAACAAACCGATGTTAGTCGGATTCCAAAGGAGCGGCCTGTCAGGCTTGAAACGTGAAATAGGACGATTTGAGGCCGTTCTCAGGTATGGTGCCTTTTCTGTTTATGTTGTCAACATGGGGTCCATGAATGGACAGATGACCGATTGAGCTGTTGCTAGATCGTGAACCGTCAAAAGATCTGCTGCCTAACCGATGCGAACTCCTCTTTTTGCAGAACTTTGTGGCATTGGAAGCGGGATTGCAACGATTATCTGGTGTTGGCGTCATAGAAACGAGGGAAAGTCGCATCATAGATACTCTTCCGCCTTCAGACTTCTTTGTGGAAGTTAAATGCTGACAGAGTGTTGGTCGGGCTGTGTCAAACGTTGATGTGTACGATGAAGCTCGCCAGGAAATGCAACCCTTACCCTTGGTTCAAAAAGGGTTCGATGGTCATAAATATGCTTGATGTCAGTTGTTGATACGCTTTTGCAAGCTGAAGAATTGTGGAGTTTGCCATATTTACATTGAAGCGCTGCAGCTCGAGAGGGGAGCCAAAGTGGAATCCATGGTGCCCGTGGTGCTGAATTGTCCAGTGTTGGCGCACACATTATACAAGCTTCTGACGTGTACTGTGTGCAGTTGCGCACTTGATACTGAATCTTGCAGAGAAGATTCAGTTTGCTAGGATAATCGCTTGACGAGCTTGTGTTGCACTTATGGTCAAAAATTGTTGGCTTGTTGAAGCGACATGCAATGATTCGAACCGTGTCGCCAACTAGAGTTTAAACATGCTTAATAGGCTCGGAGTCGCGCGCCGAGATCATTGACTTGATAAACTGCAAGCGGCCACCCCGTCATTGATCACAAAGATGGATCGAATTGCATGAGCTGGCTATCTCCGATGCACGCATGCAATCTACAGATATCATCAAGAATTATTGAACGCGGTCACCAGTTGCACCGTATAACCAGCTGCAACCGATTATGTCCCGTCCTTCTTTGTAGCTCCTGAATTAATCATTGAGGTTATTAGTATTTAATTTAAGTTTTAACGTAAAAGCATTTCCAATCCACGTGTGATTCTCATACATGTTTGTGGCAGACGCGTCGACGCGGTCCGTGAAAAGGACCGCGGGCTCAGTATGGGTGCGCAAGCTTTGAGCCGTTCAGCGCAACGTGCATATTGGTTGTACATCGTTCGAAATATGCGAGGCATCATTGCCGAGGTAGAGGCAGCGTACTACATGTAAGCATGTACACTACCGTGAGTCAAATTGTAGCTTCGGAATTGCATGTTTAGCTCGAGGAGGAGCTTAATTGCATTCATGCATTGCTATGTACTATTCCAAGATGGTAAGCGCGATACGTCAATGTTGTACACCTTACCACCAACTTCAGAAGGCAACGACAAACAAATGGGGATCATGCATGGATGCCCTGTGCAAGGCCGACTGGATTATGCTTCAAATGAGTGCATACAAGCAACCATACAATCAACTAATATGTCGTGAAAAGTTCGTCTGCGCTTTGATGTATTCAAGCAGCCATTGTTTCGGCTGTTTCGGTACCGGTTGAAGGTTTTGTTTTTCCTCTTCTCAAAGCACTAGGCTACTTGGCCTTTATAATAATCATAGCCAGACTTCTCTTATCGGCTCTAGATTCTGCATCGCTCTGGCCATTCTACTGCAATACTTGAAGAAGGGTGCCGTTTTTGAAGCCTTAGTATAATAGCGACCAGATCATCTATTGCCACATTCCTTTGCACCATCTCAGTAAGATCGATATCAATGCGTTCAAGCTTAGGCGAAAGCTTGAACATTGCCAAGCATAGACTACAAAGCCCCTCCGCTTTCTCAAAGCCTACCTTCAACCTTTTTAGACTTGCCAAAGGCTCTAGTTTCGAGACCACTTTTTGCTCTAACATCAAGGACCTAGACAGATACAAGGGAATGTGTAACTCTTCAAGGTGCTTGAAACAACGAAAAATCCCCGATAGCTCCACCTCATCCTTGTAAGCTTCACCTGAGACTGCTGAGTAGGGCTTTCCAATACTAAGCACTTTGGCATCCTTGAACATATTCAAAAGATGCAAAAAATCCTTATAAGACATGTATGCTTCCTTGATCACCAACGCCGACACCTTCCAGTCTGTTTGCTTGACAATGTCCCAAGCCCGCTCTAAATGAAGCTCTTGAAGCCTCGGCACACTGAGCGTTAGCTTCCAAACATATGCAATCTTCAACCCTAGCAGTTGGGGTGCTTCAATGTCAAGGAAGTTTGTGTACGAAGCACCTCCTGAGCTCTTCTCCATGGTCCGGTGATGCTTGTCAAGCTTTCGGATAGTATGACGGGGCATTCGAGCCCAGACACGTCTTCCAGGTTCAAAATTTGTAAGCATGGGCATATTTTGGTAATGCTTGAGAGCCACGCATCATCTAAACCGACGTTCGTCAGGCTCAATGTAGTGAGCTTTATAAGCTGATGCCTGCTTGAGAGCAAGGCCCCGCGGAATGCACCTGCTGCATCCAGCAGATAGTTTAGCTCCAATGTCCTGAGCTGGTAGCATCCTGACAAAGAGCGGAACAGGTCGTGTATCCTCTCGTCGTGATCTCCTGGTTCTGGCTGGAAGGTATCCACTATCATGAGCCGTTCCAATTGTGGAGTTGCCCCTAACACACCCTGCAGTAACAGCGGGGAAAGGTGACCCGCATTTACGCAGATCGACTTCACAGCTCTCCTTTCTTGGACAAAGCAGATCAACTTGCTTGCGTGCTGCCTGTCATTTAAGAGCAAGCGGTCTACCTCAGGGATGATCCTGTCAAAGCGGGAACACACCGCCCTCAACGTGCAGACCAGGTTCAATGAAGCCAAGGCGTGGTCGGAATCATGGGTCATACAGATCTGATGCCTCAATCAATATCCGCAGCACAAGATCGTCTGAGAGCCTGTCGAAAGGACAATGTGATCCTGCAGCCCCAGCGGAGCCCCGTGCATCCATTCTGCGCCCGACTGGGCTGGATAACCAAGAGCGTCTTTCGAGCTGCGCTCCAACATGACCGTGCTTGTCTGCTCCCAACCTGAGGCTCCCCTCTCACAGCTGCGACAAATACTAGCAACTCCAACCTGACCAATGACAGCTTTTCCCCTTCGAGACCACAACACAAGCTGGAACTTGATTTCCAGGACAGTCCTTGAAATTAATTGAGATTCAGAAGGAAGACCTTCTGGACTCTTCTGAGCTTTGATTGAACAAGCAGGTGCTCCAAAGCTTCACAAGTTGAGTACAACTGTGACCGTCGATGGTTCACCAAAGGCCGTCGATCATTACCACGTGAAACATGTGGCATGCCAGCCCGTCTTTGATTGGGCAAGGCTGCTTTCAGTTTCCCGCGTTCATGCTTGGATTCTGCAATTTCAAAAGGATTTTGAACGAGTGTCAGAACAGGATAGGGCGCTGCGCAGTGCGCTGATGCCAATGGCAATGGAGGGCATGCACTGTGGGGAACAATTCTTCTTTAATTCTTCCATCCACTCCCAATTTGAATCGGAGAGCGGAAGCGCGGCATTGCCAGCATGGGCCTACTTAAAAAGACTGTGGAGAGGGAGCTACTCAAGCCAATCCTGTCTGCTCACATGGGTCTAAGGTGCTTGAAGCTGTGCTTGAAGCTGTCTTCGAAAATGCTGCAATATTGAGCCTGACTCAGTTTGGTCTGTAAGCATTGCATCTGACAGGGTCTAGGAGAGCGGAACCTCAGCTCCTGGACATCCTCGTCAATCGACACTGCCCTTACCAACTTAATAAACTACCTTTGACACAACCAACTGCAACTGAGACTGCAACCAAGATGTCGGGGGTTGGGCCTCCTGCCCGGAAGCCCTACAAGCCCAGGCAGCATCCCCGTGCACCAGTAAGTTCTACAGGGAGCATTGTATCTACTATTGATGGCTGTTTGCATTGGCTTTTGTCATCGCTGCAAAGCATGGCAGCAGTGCACTAACCTGGTGTTGCTCTGGCTATGATTCATATCGAATCGCCTGACATCCCTCCAGATGCGTTGTTTGTTAACAACGCCCTCTTCACTTCAGAATGAACAATTGTGTCTATTGCATTACAACCCAGTCGCCCAGATTGTTCCTGAGCAATTTGTTGCAATGCAATCTTTTAACCCCCTTCATGGCAGATTGTAGAATATGCCCCAAGATGAGCCAAGAAAACCTATTGCGTCCAAGCCCAATCGGCTCCAAGGAGGCTCTGTTCAGAGCATGCAGTGATGATGTTTATATCCTTCTCAGCCATCACCATCATATCCTGGCAGGTCTCCTACACCTATACAAGGCTCAGCGAGGCAATCCAAACAGTAGGCACGGGCAAGGTGGTAAACATCTATGCTGTTGTGACGGACTTCGAGCAGCCTAGGAAGACCAGCGGAACAGACAACAGTAAGTTCAGTCCTTGATGCCGTGTTTGACCAATATTGCGGGTTTGTCCTCTGTGTGGCAGATTTTTGCAGAACGTGTCCTTGTATGTCGTGCTTTCTCCCCCCCACTGCCCTGGCAGCCCTTCCTCCTGATTCATAAGTGCCCCTTCCATTCGTCTTTGCTTCTTGCACAGTTCGTTGAATTCTCCTTACGCACTTGAAATACAGCAGATCTAAGATTGTCAAATCCATTATGGTCGCATGCCCCGCCTCAGGCGCTTCCCCATCTCAAACCTCAGGAACAACCAAGCAAAACCCTTATTCTTAAAACTCAAAACAAGTGCATATTCACATAATCAACTCCTTAATCGTGTCACTCTTAGTCTCCTGGCCACTAAGTATGCCATGCTACTAAGAATTGACTTCGTCCAATCGCTTCAAGCAGACATATCCAAGCTGAAAGTTATCTCAATCCCCCATGTATAGAGCCTTTCTTTCCCCCCTGCAGTTGCCACCCTCACAGTGGTCGACATGTCCTACAGCACCCCTGGAATGCGCCTGCTCTTCTTTGCAAAGGACATGGACTTGCTCCCCCGGGTGGCCGCCCCGGGGGACGTCATCAGGATACACCGCCTCGAGGTATGCCAGCTGGAAGTTACATCATCATATTGCTCCCTCAAGGCATATAGGCCCGTTTTTGGGTACTTTTCGTTCAATGAACAATAAGCCCAGAGGTTGATAAGCCCTCTACTTAAACCAAAACCTGAACAGAAGGTTTACGCGCTCCGCAGCCGTAGCCACCCGTATCCCACCAGTCTCATCGCGTGTCCGTTGTCCTCCTTGTGCTCATTGTTCACTGCGTCGATCAGAATCCGATCCTTCTGCCTAACCGATCAGCTACCCTCTGACAGAATATCTGGTCATACTCGATGATACCAACAATTTCAACAGACCCCCAGATGTTGATCCAGCTAGTACCCAGGTAATCGAGGCTCAGTGTTGGGCTTCTGTCCAATACCAGCCGTCGACACGAAGGGCATGATAGCAGAAACAGTTCGCTCGTACAGCCGCTCGCAACTTTCGTACAAAGGCTCTGACACTGTAAAACTACGTAAAAATTGTGAGGAATGCCTGCTCACAATTGGTCCATCGTACTCGTATCTCTCACTGTGCGCAAACATTCAAAAGTGTTTGTGCCATATTGCGGACCTTTTCTGCTCCCCCTCCGTTGCAGCTGAAGGAGTGGGGCAGCACCGTACAGGGCCATGCAAAAGTTGGGAAGAATGCGCACTACCTGCTCTTTGATGGACAGCCCGACGGGCCGACGGAGCCTTACGCACAATCGTCGCCCAACTTTACCTGGGAAGAGCAGGACATGGGCTTCCTGCGCACACTACGGCGCTGGGGGGCGACGCACCCGCTTGACCCAGATGGGTTAAGGAGTGGGTTAATTTTGAGACAGGGTTTGATTGTCTTGCAGTCAGCGTTTTCGGTGTAAATACCCGTGCGCTGACTTTGTTCCACAGGGTCCGGTCTTAGGGGCAAGTGCGTTGATTGCAGAGAGAGCACTGCTTTTTCCGTTGTGGGCAAGGTTTTGTCACCGTCGGCTTGAAAGATCATTAAACCTATGACCTGTTCTATTTACCATCTAAGTAACCCAAATGGATCATGGTTCGTCTTTCTTTGGCTGCAAATCCAGTACCCTTAAGGACTGACTTCGTTCGAAAAGACGTGTGGGCATTTTGATTCTGATCCATGACCTCCTTACTAAAGAGGATTAGTAGGGTCGATACCCTGTAACGACGAAGGCAAAATCCAGATTTGTAGCCTGAGTCATCCAGATGCATTGAACAGAGTTACAACCAGACTTGTACTTGGTATTTATTTGAACCGGAACAAGTCTGCGTTGCTTTGTGGTTGCTGCTGTGGAAAAAAACACCTATATGAAGCTCCCCCCAATGAATAGGAGAGTCCGTTTCTAGCTCAAGACTTTTATTCAAGCCAACGAGACTGCAACTTCGGTCAAGACCGACTCTCCCTTTTCTGGGAAAGGAAGCGGTGCAGGAGTGTGCCAAGTAAGCTTGAACTTTGAATCCAAGAAGGCAACACCCTGAGCCCTAACATTTTAAACATTTCGCCATTTTAACATTTCTTAAAATTGTTAGAGAAACTTCCTAAATATCCTCTGCAGACAAAGGACACCAATACATGCGGACCATCGCCTCTATGGAGGACGAGGAACACATCGACGTTTATGCAAAGGTAGAAGTCTGCACTCTCCTCTTCCCTTTCAAAGTTCTAAATCGCTAAACCTGCAAAAGCTTGCAATTCCCTTCGGAACCTATGTGAAAAGCAGAAGGTCGGTGGGCGTGGTGTCAATCTGTTCGAAACAAGTCGTGCCCGTGCATAGGTTTGATTCATATATCTTGCCGCGTCTTGCGCGTTGAGGAGGGATCACCACAACCCTGATTCGACGATCGTAGCATCGATAACGTAGAAATGACACTAAACTTCAAACTCTCTTCTCGTTTAAGATCTTGGTCGCCACTTCCAACATGGCAAATCCTGGATTCCAAATTCTCTTTCTGAACCTTCTGTTTGTGCCGCAGGTTCTTTGGGTGGAGGAGCGCGGCGAGGGGGGCGCTCATCGACTGACGTTACACGTTTGGGACGGAACAGACGCCCGACCGGACTATATACCCGAGTAAGTCAGCTTGACCTGTTGGTTAAGCTTGACCTGTTGCTCTTTGACCCATTTCTTGCTGGTCTTGACATGTCCCCGGAAACCTGTCAGGTTTGGGGCGTAAGAGGTCCACAACTCTGCGTGTCTGGGAAGTCTTAAGCTCTTCTCCTCCGGCAAGAAGGGTCTTCAAGAAGGGAAACAACTTTCTGTTGGCCGTTGTCTCCGGAATGTTTTTACGCTTAATTTCTAAGTCAAAGCAACCAGAAATCTTCTCGCTCTTGATCATTAGAACGTCACAACATAAGCTGTGTCAATTGTGCAATGGCCCAAAAGCCTCTGCTCAAAAGAGCCAGCGGGTCCTTAGCAGAGAACCAACTTTGAGAATTTTTCGTGGAATGCGGACGCTAATTACGATCCCTACTGCAACATGTCCAACTCAGGCCCCTCTTCCAGAACGCCCAGACGATGACACTGACTTGTGTCTCCTTCTCCCAAATCAGCCCCCTCCTTCCGTGCTCGCCTCTCCTTCCCCCCTTGGGAAGAACCCTTCCGGTTATCCATCCCTGCTGCAATGAATTCTGTTTCCCTTCCTTCCAGGTCCACAGATGACGACGCGGATCCGTGTTTCCTTCCCCCGAGCCAGGCTCCCATTTCCGTGCTCACCTCTTTCTCCGTCCTCGATCAAAACGACCCTTCCGCTTATCTCATCCCCACTGAAATGAATCTGACTTCCCTTCCCCTTCCAGGTCCCCAGACGATGACACCGACCCGTATCTCTGATGGCACCGACCCGTGTCTCCCCCCGCCGAGCCAACCCCACCCCTCCGTGCTCACCTCTTCCCTCCTTCTCGGGACGACCCTTCCGCTTTTCCTGTCCCTACTGGAATGAGAATTCGATCTCCCCCTTCCTTCCAGGTCCACAGACGATGGCACCGACCCGTGTCTCCTTTCCGAGCCAAATCTCCCCCCCGAGCCATTCCCCCCCCTCCGTGCTCGCGTCTTTCCCCCCCATCGGAACAGCCCTTCCTGTGATCCGATCCCTTACTGAAATGATTACGGGTTTTCTTTCCATCCAGGTCCCCAGACG